AACAAAAAATCTTGCTTTCATATATATTCCAGGTTCCACCAGGCGAATATAGGCTGTCTGCTTTGGCTGCTACACCAAATAGTGCTTCTGAGCTTCTGTTTTTGCCAGCTTATCTGGATGTTGCTGTGAAAATTCCATTGTTGAACATAGGATTTTCTCAGGTAAATTACTGTGAATGATACCATTCTCTTGGAAGTTATCTACTATATTGCCCTTTTGGTATAGCATCAAATTGGCAGGAGTTGTTGGATGGAAAATATACTTCCACATGTTCAGGCGGCTTTTCTTTCTTTTGACTCATTTTTGGGTGTTGAGTAGGCCCGAGTCAATGTGCATGGTTCTGTTACTTGCAAGGAGAAATGTGGTCCATCTGTCGCAGTGGCGCTTGTCGGAGTGGCTAGCAATCGTGACAAGAAGACAGTTGTTTTACTCGACGAGAGCAGTCAATTTCACTTTTCAGACATATTGCCTGGAAAATATAGAGTTGAGGTGGGCTCCATGGTTTATTACCAAATTTTTTTTCTGCTCTTGGGTACTTCTGAAAGAGATGGACTAAAAGTCACATTACTAGCTAAAACATTTACTATTTGCTTATCACGGTTCAATTATTTTAGGTCAAAAGCATTTCACCGGAAGCCGCATCTGAGGAAGACAGTTGGTGCTGGGACCGCAGCTCCATTGATGTGAATGTTGGAGCTGAGGATATAAAAGGGATCGAATTTGTCCAGAAAGGTTACTGGATTACTATTATCTCTACCAATGAGGTGGATGCTAAAATTGTTCATCCCAATGGATCACCTACTAATTTGAAAATCAAGGTATTATTTGTCCCTGTGGATTCTCCGTAGCAATTTAGGGTGCTATGTTTAGACTCTATCAAAACTAATTGTTTTCTTCGTATGTGATAACTACAGAAAGGTTCACAGAAAATATGCGTAGAGTCACCTGGAAGGCATGAACTTCAGCTTTCTGACTCCTGCATATCCTTTGGGAGCAATTCAATAAACATAGATGTCTCAAATCCACAGGTTTTAGTTTGTAATCTTATCTCTTTTATTTCAACATTCTTTGGTTCGTCCTTCATTTAGCATCTCTATGCTTTTCTCTCTGCAGCCTATTCATCTGAAAGCAGAAAAGTACGTCCTCAAAGGTCTGGTAAATGTGGAGTCTAGTTCAACCGAGATTGAGTCTGAGTTGGCAGAGAATATCATTGTTGATATGCAAGACAAGGAAGGAAGTGTTATCAACAGTATTTCTGCCAAACTTGCATCTGATGGGCGTGGCGTTTATGAGTACTATACCTGGGCAAATCGAGGTGAAAAGATTACCTTTGTTCCTCGGGATTCTAGGTATGGCTCATTATGTTTTAAGGGTATCTGTGAACTAGACTTACACATGTTTGGAGAGAAATTCTTGTTTCAAATCAAACAACCAAAAGAGTGTTTGGGTGCATGAATTTTTCTCCAATATCTTTGAAGCTATTATTCTTTTCAAAGTTACTTCAGCAATAGCCTTATTCTGTTTCAGGGGTAATGTGGAGAAGAAGATGTTGTTTTATCCCAAAGAGCTTCATGTAAGTCTTGACTAGAAGAGATGCTCGCCAAATAATATATATTGGCACATCAAACTAAATTTATGTTTGTTCTAATAGGCGGTAGTGTCAAATGATGGATGCCAAGCTTCAGTTTCCCCATTTACTGGTCGACTTGGTCTTTACATAAAAGGATCGGTCTCTCCTCCTCTTCCCGGCGTCAACATTAAGGTCTCTGCTGCAAAAGACAGCCTTATTTCTTCACTTAAGAAAGGTGCAGTAGCTGTTGAAACAAGCACATCAGCAGATGGTTCATTTGTTGCCGGGCCTCTATACGATGATATACCATATGACACCGAAGCTTCAAAGGTTGGTCTATATTACTGATATATTTTCATGTGCTAGTAACTTGACCTTTGAGATTATGTTTTTCTTCACTTTTCTTGTCTGAGGTTAGATCTCATGCATTTTTAGTTGTTTTGAAATAAATTGTTCCTGATCGCTGCTTATGTATGCAGCCTGGCTACCATATTAAAAGACTAGGACCATATTCCTTCTCCTGCCAGAAGCTTGGTCAGATCTCTGTGCGTGTATCCTCAAAGGACAATGCCGAGACATCAATCCCTCCGTTGTTGTTATCATTAAGTGGCGATCATGGTTACAGAAATAATTCTATATCTGGCGCGGGTGGAATCTTTGTATTTGATAGCTTATTTCCTGGAAATTTCTACTTGCGCCCCCTTCTTAAGGTAATTAAACCATTCCCTCATGCATTCTTAGGAAAGCACTGTCTGAGAATGATATGACTGGCACTACGCTGAAACATAAATGATGTGTTCCTGAGATGATCTATATATGTTTCTCGTCAGGAATATTCTTTCAAACCTTCAACACTGGCAATAGAACTGGGTTCTGGAGAGTCCAGTGAAGCGGTCTTTGAGGCGACTCGTGTTGCCTACAGGTTTAATCTTATTCTAAACCTCATTTCTCTCACTTGTGTCAAAACATACTGTTGTCTTGAATAAATCTCCTATAATTGTTTAGGCTTGTTTCTTAAAGTAGGATTGCACCAGGGATCAATAGTAAAATGATAGTAACATACTTTCGTTGATACTTATACCAGTTCACAGTGACCAGAGAGTTACATATATTACTTCAAAGTTCTCATTCAATTGCAAGTTCATAGATCTCCACTATCAACACATTCTCTTGCGATCTGAACCATTTACATATGTGGTATGCTTAGGTTACATTCCATCTAATCTTCTTTATTTCTGTAACAATGTATGTCTTGTCGATTCTTCTGCAGTGCACTGGGTAGAGTCGCACTCCTATCTGGACAGCCACAAGAAGGTGTTTCAATTGAAGCTCGCTCTGACTCCAAAGGATACTATGAGGAGACTACAAGTGATATTAATGGAAACTATCGTCTCAGAGGGTTACATCCAGACACAACATATGTTATCAAAGTGTCGAAAAAAACCGGATCAGGCAACAACAAAATTGAACGTGCATCTCCAGAGTCGGTTTCTCTTCAGGTTTGCTCAATAATCTTTCGTTCTTATCATCCACCATCCGCAGTGTCAACAACAGTATACATATATATATATATATATATATATATATATATCTGATGACGATTCTTTTTGCTGTAGATTGGTTATGAAGATATCAAGGGGCTCGACTTTTTGGTGTTTGAGCAACCAGAAACGACCTTATTAACATGCCACGTCGAAGGGAAACAACACGAAGAATTCAACACGAATCTGCAAGTGGAGATCAAATCAGCCCTTGATGGATCTAAAATAGAGAGTGTTTTTCCACTACCACTTTCCAACTTCTTCCAAGTGAAAGGATTGTCGAGAGGGAAACACCTTGTGCAGCTTAAATCCAGTCGTCCTTCAAGCCATCACAGAGTGGAATCAGAGATTATCGAAATTGATTTCGAGACAAATCCCCAAATCCATGTTGGTCCACTTCGATACAGCATCGTCGCAGATCATCAGAGCCAGGTGAATAATTATACAAATCACACAAAACAGTCTTTTACAGTTTTCAACACACTGAACCTTTTGTTATGTTCTCAATTTCAGGAAGTGACTCCTGCAGCTATATTGCCACTGGTTATTGGCATTTCGGCTATTGCTCTGTTCTTCAGCATCCCAAGGTAATCCCATAAAATTATTACCAAATCGTTTTAAAAAACGTTCCATAATAAGTAGTCATTAACATAACTTGGCATGATTTTTTTTTGTTTTCTAAAGGTTGAAAGACATTTACCAAGGTGTGGTTGGGGTTTCGTCTCCTGGGTTCAGTGCATCTGTAAAGAGAGAACCTCGAAAAGCTGTTCCTAGAAAGAAGACGTTCTGAAGCATATTCATCTTCGGTTAGAGTGTATTAGTTATTCAAAACTCTTTTCGAACAAAGAAACTCCTCTAACCAAACACATTTCAATGTTTAGAGAAACACTTTGCTCTACGGTTAGTCTTTTTGTTTTGCCATTTCATTTTCTTTGTTATATATGATTTATGTTAGAATCATTTTCTCGGTGACTATTTCAAGCTCTGTTATCAGTTCTGACAATTACATTACATGATCGGAAATAAATTTGTAATGATTAACTAGATGATAGTATTACGTGTTGTGGTGAGTTGTTTTAACAAAATCATTTTTATTGTTGTTAATTCAATGACAAAATCAGTAATATGCTAAATTGTAATCTACATATAAGAGAATGGGAGAAAAGAAAAACGTCAAACCATGCAAAAGAAGATCTAAGACTGCAGATTGATTGGTAAGTGTCACCTTCGTGCGTAACCTCTTATTTCACTCTTTTTGAAATAGAAGATATACAAAATCGAGGAAAGTAAAAAAACATTAAAAAAGTGTTAGATTTATTTCAACCTTTCACTTTTTCTTCATCGGGATCACCAAATGTCTATAAAGAGAGCATCACCGAATTCACCATTGTATGCTTTCCCATACAATATGTAACCTTGAAAACAAAAAATTATGTAATTTATTAGGACTGCAAGATAGTCTTAAATCAAAACGACAATCCACCTAGTAAAGAAATACGTGAAACATAACAATTTTTGTGTGTTCACTTCATAATTCAAAAAGTAATGATTGTAGTACATTTATGATTCCTTAGTCTAACACGCACGGAAAGCTCGTTCACACGAGGGGAAACCGGGTTAACTGCTGAGCGGGTCAAAATCAAACATACGAAAGCGTAGACTGTCTTGTCAAAACCGTTTGTCCACCTGTAATTACCGGTCACCAGTTCAGGACATTTATTTAGCAAACATCCATGTTTATTAGTTCCTCACCTCCTCCACTCGTCTCAAGTCTCACTCTTTCTTCTCTAGCTAGCCCTAATCTCTCTTTCTCTTGTGAAACATTACTTCTTTCTTTTTATTTTGTTCTTGAAGGAGATCTTCTTTACTTTCCTGTCTAGAGTGGATCTATGGAGAATACTGGTGTTGGGATGCCGTTTTCAGATTTAGGGCAAACGAGGGTTTACCAGTCATTTTCCGATTTATCGGCAGAGAGGTATCCCGTAGGGTTCTTGGATTTACTGGGTGTTCATCAAAACAACTCTCGTTATGCCCTGGTCCAGACGCCGCCGATGCAGTTACCGGCGATCTCATCTGCTTCTTGCGAAGCTGTGACTGGAGATGAAAAGAAGAGAGACTATGAAGACAATGATGATGAAGAAGAAAAAGAGAAACATAAGAGAAAAATGCGGTCAGTTTTCGTTTCTTTTCTTCCAAAGTTTATTATTATTTTCTAAAAAGAGCAAAAAAGACTTAGAGATAAACTTGGGGACTAATGTAGGTTTAAAATAACGAAGCTTAGTGAAGAGAAGAAGGTGAGAGTGCCAAGAGTGTCATTCATCACGAAGAGCCAAGTTAATAATCTAGACGATGATTATAATTGGAGAAAATACGGTCAAAAACCTGTCAGAAACAGCACTTTTCCAAGGTATAGATTGTAACCTCCTTACTTTGTGTCTTCTTGTGAGAATAATTAAATATCCTAACGAGATTAATTTATACATTTATTGTGTTTTATTTTTATTTTTTTGTTTCTATGCCAAAGGAGTTACTACCGTTGCACTACAACTTGGTGTGACGTGAAGAAGAGAGTGGAGAGATCATTCAGTGATCCAAGCAATGTAATCACTACTTACGAAGGTCGACACACGCATCCTAGACCACTCATCATGTCTAAAAGAGGCAACTCTGAATCCAATGGCTCAGCTTCTGGAGCCCACTTTGGCCTCCCTAAACTCCCTCCTCACCTTCATCATCAGCTTTTCGATTACAATAACCATCAGCAACAACAACAACACGAGATGTCTTTTTTTGGAAGGCAAGAAAAGGGATTTGATCGTGAGCACGTGATGAAGAAGAGTCGAACTCAGAATCTGCTGGATGGGGCTGGTTTAGTCAAAGACCATGGCCTTCTTCAAGATGTTGTTTCGTCTCGTGTCATTAAGAAAGAGCATTAGTTATCGCATAATGAAGTAGCTCGATAGCTATGGTTTTTCATATTTATTTGCAATCTTGAATGGATCGTGTAGATTTGATCCTGATGAGTTTTAATTGAGTTTTCTTCAATTTACAGTACCCGTTTGATTAAGCTTATTAATTAAACCGTATTCAGATTCAGGTGGAAATTATCCACCTTATAGCAATACTATGTTTTTCTAGGGTCTAACAGGTTTGAGTTTTTGTTTAGCTAAGAGGCGAGTAGATAATTAAGTTTAAGATTAGTACGTGTAGAAATCATAACATTAAAGATTGATTCATTTCTATTTTTATTTATTTTGCAATATCTGATCAATAATGGAGTACAGTATATAGAAGCAGAAAGGAACATTGATGTAAAAACACTCAATATAGTGTATGGGAAAAGAAATGAGAAGAATCAGTTTATATTTAAGTTAAGGAACATAATGGAGTACAAAGATTACAATTTATATTTTCAATTTTTTTCATGATTACCCTAGTGTGCGCGTTGGAAAATAGTTTGCATGTCAACGTCGTTTGCAGTTTGAAACTTTAACGTTTTCTTTTTGGATTTTGTTTTGTTCTTATGGTTCCTTCTAAAATGAAAATAAAGTAGAAAACATATTCAAATTCTAACCTAACCTCTAATAAATGATTTTACTTTTAAGAAGAACAATATACGTGTAGTGTACTGTGGACTCTGAATTTATGTTACCGATCTCATTTCAATTATGTTTGTCAAAATTCGAGATTCCTTCCGTCTTCAAGCTTTTTGGAAGCAGGATTAAAGATGCTAGTTGAATATTTATGAAAGCAAGAAATCAATATTTCAAATATTGGGTCTTACTTAACTTTGAAGAAGTTCGAACTTGATTATTTCTAGTCATGTGTTACAAGTTTATAGTCTTAAAACCAATATATAAATTATTTACTATAAACACTCATACTAAATACACAATAATTTAATTTTCAAAGCTGTTAATTGTACTTCATTATATATTAGGCTGAAAGAAAATAAAATAAAAATAGGTAGGATTCCACTTTAATTATATTCTTTCAAATCTCAAAACATTAATATAGGCTGTGTCTCGTGGAAGTGAAAAGAAAAATATTTCTTTTGGACCCACTGTAAAATTGAGGAAAAGAGAGTAATTTTTCTTTATAGTTTTTTTGGATGGTAAATTCTTTTAAAAAAAAAATAGTGGTCCCAAAAAAAACAGAATAATTTGTGGAGAGAGATCTTACCAGAATAATTTGTGGAGAATAATTTGTGGAGAGAGATCTTACCCTCCAAGTAAGCCATGCATCCCAGTTTTGATCTATATAAAAGGTGGAGGAAACGAGAGGAACAAACATAACATTTCTCTAGCAAGTTCCAGTTCTAAGTCATACATATCACATCTTGCAAATACAACATACATCGGTGAGACCTCATGACTTGTCTCACTCGATCTCCATTTATATTTTATGAATCGATTATGTTTTAATTAATCTCATTGATATATAAATATATGTGTGTACTTGCTCTCTGTTATATTACTACGTACTAGTTGTGCTTAATTTTCGTAGAATTAATTAGTTTTTGTGAGTTATCCCAACTTAAAAACTGACTATCGCAGATCTAACTCAATGTGCAGCTAGATCCGGACCATCCGGTCAGTGCATAAAGTAATTAACTATGGACGTGTTGCAACTCTTAAAGATCATCCTCATCCTGATCGGTGCCGGTAAGAGGTCTTGGCTCATGGGAAGAGCTAGCAAGAACGTTGAGGAGAGCGGAGGATGGGACCTTAAATTGAAGGTGGATAAATGGACGGAAGAGAGGCCGGAAGGAGTTGAGGGTACGATTGACATGAGAGGATTCAAAGAGAAGACCAACGACAATTCCACTAAGATGTGTCTGGAAGGAGGATACAATAACAAGTACAAACCATCAGAGGAGAATGTGTGCGAGAAGACCAAGGTAAACAGATTTAAGGTTTGTGTCCTAGTCGGAGAAAAGCTCATCGAATGTATATTGGAGGAGGCTAAGTCTGACAAGGAAGCATACGAAACCATCCAAGGCTGGCTTAGGTATGTGACCAGTTTTCAGTCTCTCTCGTCTCATTGACTCTCATAAGACTGAGATTATATATTCACCAACATATATTCTGACAAAACTAAAAATTCTGTATTGCTCTGGTCTTTTTGTCTTTTATTCTTGTGCTATTAATTATTTATTGTTATTCTTTATTTGTGCCGACTTGATAGGGTTGGCGGAGAAGAATAATTAAGACGGAGCTGGCCAACAAAAATAAATAAAAATACACTATACCCGTGTCTTTAATCTATTTATGTTACTAGTATTAGTATCTATCGAAGTACAATATTAATTTGTGGAGTGTGGACTGTCGTGTCACGATGTCATGTATGTGTTATTGTTGTCGAGACTCTCCTCTTTTCCTAGTTTTGTTGTTTATGGATGATGATATTCCTCGTGTGCTGTTAAAATTGTGATTTTTCTTTTTACACATATCCTACAGCATAATCCACTAACATAGACGAACAAAATTATAAAAATTTCAAAACCATGCACGATTCTACAAAATACAACAAATGGAGATAGAAAGCAAGTGAATTAACGGAGCCTCACCATTTTGTAACCAGCAAAAAATACTCATTTTGTTTTCTATACATTTCAAACAAGATTACACAACAATTAATTAATATAACAAAAAGAAAACGAAACTGAATATTAATGTTATTTCTTGTTATTTTCCTTAAAAAGTATTAAGTAATATTAGTGTTTTGCTTATGTTTTGCATATATTTTGCTTATGATATTCTTAATTAACTAAAAATAAAACCAATCAAAAACAACTCACCATGTATCTGGTCCCTCAACGATAGTGGTCTTGAGATAGTAGCCAAGAAGTTCAACAACGCATACCCAATCGCTCCCCGTCTTGAACTTTAGGTTCCTTATATTTTCTATTCTTATTTCAAATTTTAATAGTGAGAACATATACAAGATAAAATTAGCTTTTGTTTATAAGAGTTTTTACACATTAATCAAGTCAAACACTTACAAAGACCACACTATATGACAGTTTCATCACCCAAGTGGCCCAAATTTCATCTAGTCGATATCGTATCACAGGGTCTTTGCTATTGCTACATACGCCAAATTCCAATAGTGATCCTCTCTCTATATATCAATATTTCTGTATTTTTAAGATGACAAACACAAATAATATATGTATATAAAGAGAATATGCAAATTAAGGATTTTTTTTTTTCCAATTCTTAATTGTTAGTTAGTATATAGAGGATATATATATATATATTAATGTGCACATTAATGTATATATGCAAATTAATGTGTACATATATCTTTTTTTTTCAAAAAAAATATTGAATTCTTAGTTAATTTCCTTAAACTAAATTTATGTTAAAGAAAAAATCGTATATTTTGTCCTTTTTCTGGAAATTGTTATTATTACATTATCATCTCTTTTCTTCTAAGTTTTATTCTCTTTGGGCTTTCCAATCATTTATATAGAGGTTAAAGAAGTGTAAAGAGAGAAATTGTAAAAATTATTTTGTCATACTCTCTAAAAAAATGTCAAATTCTGTTGATATTTGTCTCCCTCCACTAGAAAACATAAAATTTTCCGGCTGTCTTAGTCTCGGACGTAATCCCGAAAAAACCAATGAAATCTTCAACAAGATTTTCATGGAAAACAATTCGGAATCAGCCTTGGAAGAATTCCAGTCAGATCAAGAACTAAGAGTGAACGTGATGAAAAACATCATCGCATCTTTCAATTGTCAAATCCACCATGAGATCATTAAGGAGAAAATAGGTTTCGCGGTATGGATGATTGGTGAATATTCATCATCCATTTCAGATATCGAAGATGGATTATCCGCTATCAAACGAAGCATTGGAGAATTACCTTTCCCTAATAATCCTCCTACTAATGATCACAATAATAATGTTCATACATGTCTTTGGTTTGAAGAGTGTCGTCGAAAACTACTTATCCAAGGAGACATGAAACTCCAAATTCAAATAGCCATCGCACTAACCAAACTTACCGATAAACTAACAGACGTTGTTTCTATATATCAAGAAAGACGAGAAAGGACAGAATCTGCTATGTTGATTGCGTCGATGCAGTTGCTGCCTAAACCCGTTAATTTGGGACGTTTGACAACTGCTTTTTACAGTGGAGAACTTAGGAGATGCATCAAGTCTATAAGCCATCGAGATGTGGAGCTTAAACGGGCCTGTGATAAAGAAAGTGGTGAGAAATTGATTAGCTTGCTTACCAAGAAACTGCATGATGATGAACAAAGATATTTGTGTGACCAAGCGTTGTTTCAGTTCGTAAGCATCCTCAATCATCTATTTTCTTCTTCTATATTTAATCCGCATTATATATTAAAGTGGTTGATATTATAAATGTTTGTGACTTTCGTTTATCATTCTCTTATGCTTAGGAAACAATCTTTTTCGGATCCAAAACTACTGGTGGTGATGTTCCGTAGGAGAAACAATATATAAATGCTTCTTAAAGTAATAAAGTCCATGCACAATGGTGAACTATCAATATATGTCTGTTTTTATTTATCGGGTTAATAATTCAATTTTCCCTTTTAAATTGTCTTCTGATTTTATTAAGCTGTAGTAATTTGTGTGTTGAATGTTGAATCTGTGTGTGATTATGCAAACTCTTGTTCAAACAATATTAGAAAATGGTATTCAAACAAATGGAGATCGATGATCCAATACAAGTTTTGACTTGTTACAAAACTTGACTTTTATTACAGTAGTATTAGTACCAAACGACAACGTTTTGTCCGAGGGTATATGTGCTATTTTCAGAAATCAAAGGTTCAAAAAGCGATATTCAAAAATTGGATTTTTGTTACCTGCCGATTTCAATTTTTTTCCGAACCCTAGCTAGATTATCCCGTTCAACGCTTTCTTCTCGTCGGTCGCCATTGATTCGCACTTTGAAAGGTACGATAAACCCTAACACCAGATATCTAGATACACTCTTCTCTCTCTTTCGCTGTGTTTATATGATTCGCATTGAGCTATTACATCGTGACAAGCAGCGAGTTTGGTATCAGGGTCATTCGATTTTCCCCGCAAGTTCTGTTTATTTCCAGGAGAAATAGTCACTTTTTGGGTTTAATCGAATCATATGGAGTTATGAATAAATTGTCATCATCACTTTATCTGTCCAATGGAACATGTCACTTCTCTCTTCCCAATTCACAATTTTTTTTCCATAGTTTTTGTATACTCTGTTTGTGATTTGATTAACCTTTAATCCTTCAGCTCATTTGAATCTTTATGTTTCAGATTCTTTCTGAAAAATTGAGATTGAAAAAGTGAGAATTGTGTTATGTTTTTTTTTTCAGATGGAAAGCAATAAATCAGACCCAGAGCTTGATGATGATTTTAGTGAAATCTACAAGGAGTACACTGGTCCTCTATCCACTGTGACCAACAACATCCAAGAGAAAGAGAAACCAATCAAACAGCCTGAAGAAGCATGTGATGAAGAAGAGCAGCAACTACCTGACCCCAATTCCGTACCAACTGATTTCACCAGCCGAGAGGCTAAGGTTTGGGAGGCCAAATCCAAAGCTACTGAGAGGAACTGGAAGAAGAGAAAAGAAGAAGAAATGATCTGTAAAATATGTGGCGAGTCTGGTCATTTCACTCAGGTATAACTCTCCAAAACTTCTTTGTAGTTTACACATATCATTTGTGCGTGTTTTATGATTGTGACATCATTGAACTTTGCTTTTATATGATTAGGGATGTCCATCGACACTTGGTGCCAACAGAAAGTCTCAAGAGTTTCTTGAAAGGGTTCCGGCTAGGGACAAGAATGTGAGAGCTTTGTTCACTGAGAAAGTTATCGAAAGGATTGAGAAAGAGACCGGCTGCAAGATTAAAATGGATGAAAAGTTCCTGATTGTTAGTGGCAAGGACAGATTGATCTTGAGGAAAGGTGTAGATGCTGTTCACAAGGTTAAGGAGGATGGCGAGGTTAAAACTTCTTCTGCCTCTCACAGGAGCAGGTCCAGGTCACCTAGGCGAGTCTCTGTTGGTCCCCCTCGTGCTGCTCGAAACTCTGAACCTCAAAGACAGCACCACCCGCCGCCGTCACATGGTTTCTCAGAGCGACCGGGAAGGCAAGATAGGTTTATGGAGAATCGTGTTCGTGAGAACCAGCGAAATGCTTCCCGAGGATCTCCACAAGGTAGGGACAGGATAGGATAGGTAATTGTCTCTTTTAGTTTTGTGTCTTTTTCCGGCCTTTTTTGTGCCGGTAATGTCCGTTCATTGGCTTTATTTGCAGCCAAAGGTAAGTCCTTATGTTCAAGCATTTTGTACAGTACTGAAGTAAATAAATTGTTTACTGAAATTTTGCTCGATTGAAGTTGAGACTTGAGATCACTTGTCTTCCTGTAGCTGTAACCTTTGGTTTAGTCTCGTGGTCAGGCAGTTAACGTTATTATTCATTTTATGAAGCTTACGGTAGTGAGAGAGCTCGGAGTCGTTCTACACATTCGAAATCTCCAGGGAGACCACGTTATAGTGGATGGGATAAACCGTATGATAGGCAAAAGCCTGAGGTGAGTGGTTATAGGTCTGAAAGATGGGATCAGGAGAGAATGGTTGGTGGCTCCAGCGACGTTCAGGTGAGTCATCAGTTTGAACGCCCTGCTTTCCCGCAGACGTTAGAGGAACTAGAACTGGAATATACAAGGGACGCAATGGAACTTGCAAAGAAACGTGAAAAGGAAGAAGATGAGGAGAACAACAAGCATCGAGAGGTAAGAGATCCCAGTGACTGATGTGTTGCTTTTGAGGGAACTTCAGCTTCTGACATCAATTTGTGCGAGTTTTTAGACAATGCGGGAACTGAGAGAGAGTTACATGAAGAAACTGGGTGGGCTAAGGGGTTTGAATGCTGAACAATGGGAAGAGTTCCTTCAACAGGATGCTCAGAGACGACAACAGCAAGCAAGGCAGCAGAGCTCTGGTCTGAGTTATGGTAGTAACAACTATAGACAGTTCCCTCCTTATGCTGATCAGTTTGATGATGGGTACTCTGCAAATCCTCCTCCTCCCTATGGTGGAAACAATGTGCCGATGGATTCTGAAGGCAGATATCCAAACCATGTTAAAAACTATTCCTCAAGGCATGAAGACAACAATTATGGTTCTGGTTTCCAACGCCAGAGACGTGAGGACTATGGGAAACCGTACAACAACCATCGTTATTAGACCATTGTAGTCAGATCTTGTTTGGTAAGTTGCTTCTCCCCTGTCTGAAGACAAATTTGCTGCAGATTCATGGATAGTCTATCTTTATCTCCTCTACTCTGTCACTGTGGCCTAAAAAGGTTTCTGCCATTTTCAGGGGGTCTGCTAGATCTGGGTTACGACGAACATGTCAAATCTCACCTCAGGATCTTTGGTAGGTAATCTGATTATTGATTAGGCTGTACTGTACAATCCGCAACCAAAGGGTCAATGTTCAATACTGTTTTACACCACTCATATCTGGCAATGGTGAATACTTCTGTGCAACGAGCACCTGTAACTTCTAGCTATTTACTCTTCCTTTGGGTTTGTCCCTTTTTTTTTTTACATTCCAAAGATTTTTTGCTCAAGATTAGTGAGAAAACCATATCAATGTACTCATAGTTCATTACTTTGTTTATCTTCTTCTGTTTCAACTGGGCATTATCTTTTGATTTTTTGTCGAAATGGTTTCTGTCTGGCCGTGGTTTCAGCTTTCCAGGAGCTTGTTTTGGTGTCCAAAAAGGTCTCATTCATACATATGCATTTAAGTTTTGACTCTTCGTTTTCCTCTACAAAAGTGACTGTTGCTGCTGCTCTCTTTACGGACGCATCCACTTGGCTATTTCATCATCCATCGTAGTAACTGCTAATGATAATATCTAAGTAACAGATATCAATGCCTCGTGAATCTTAAGGGTCAAGAGACGGCTATCATCTTATAAATGTCATTTAGTCTCAGACTCTTTGTTTGCCTCTTCTCGACTTTTGCAATTCCCTTTACGTCTATATATAAAGACATACTGTGTCTACGAGTACTACACAGGTCCTTTCCTCTCTTCATAATATTTCCAAAGATGTCTACTTCGGTTGTGCAAATTGGAGCAGCTCGCATCAAAACGACCGTAACTGAAAAAGAAAACGACATCAACCGTCTCGTGAAGACATTCTTGTCCAACAACAACAACAGAAAGATGATCATTGGTCTTGACACCGAACGGGTTCATCAGTTTGAACTGCCTAATAGTACAACTTCCCGATGATGAAGAAGAAAAAGAAGATGACAGTATCATTCCTCTCTCTCTCTCTCTTCAATTTTCTCAATCTACCTGATTTCACCTTTGTGGGCATTGGCATAAACAAGACTCTGATGAAGCTGGAGAGCGAGTTTGGTCTGACCTGCAAGAATGCTGTTGACTTGTTGAGATCGGTCCTTCCACGTGGAACCTGGCCAGCAAGACTGCCTATGAGAAAGATCGCTTTGGTACTATTGTTTCGATTGAGAAACCAACAAGCGCCGTCTTTGAAGACTGGGACAAATTTGTTCTCAACAAGAATCATATTAAGCTCGCAACCTCCAATGCTTATATGGCTTTTGGCATCGGGGACTTTCTCTTGGATGGGTTCGGATTCTAAGTTTATGAATCTAGTCATTTCTGTTTCCTTGATTGTTCTAAGTTTGATTCAACAATCATCGTCTCTGTAGACGTTACTCTCTTAATCTTCTAGTCCAAAAGATGTGTCTGGAAAGTATTGGTCTTGATTTTAAAAAAATTTAAACGTTTGCTGGGTCAATCTTGTCACCACCTAAATATATTAGGCCACAGAGTACAATATTCGGAAACATTTAGACTGTATTGTTAATAATTTACATTTCGTGAACTATTAGACCGGGCCTGGAAATTAGAAATCTTGATACAAGTCAATTAGCCCACATAACGGACTCTTAGGCCGCTTTCCTAATATCTCAGGGAGCTAAAGAATGTATTGTTAAGTTGTGGGGTGAAATTGAAAGTTTTAACTTTCGCCGCCACTCTCTCCTTCCTAAATCACGCTGCCGAACCCTAGCTTCCATCGTTCTTCTTTTGCCACTTGCTAAGGGCATTGTGTGTGCTTCCTCCTCCTCCTCTCTCCCTCTTACTTCCCGTCCGTTTTGTTCGTTCGTTCGGAAGGGATTCGCGTGATGGGTACCGAGAGGAAAAGGAAAGTTAGTTTGTTCGATGTCATGGACGATCCGTCAGCTCCAGCGAAGACAGTCAGAAACAATGGAATCGCCGACGTCAACAGTTTGATCAATAAATGGAACGGAAAGCCGTATTCGCAGAAGTATTATGAGATACTGGAGAAACGGAGGACTCTACCAGTCTGGCTACAGAAAGAGGAGTTTCTCAAAACTTTGAACAGCAATCAAACCCTAATTCTGGTCGGTGAGACTGGTAGTGGTAAAACTACCCAGGTAAAGCTTCAATCTTTTCTATTCCAGATACTTCGCATTTGATCAATTGTTTGATATGTCGCCTGAGGAATGATAGCTTCAGGTTAATGCTAATTGGAGATAATGCTTGATTCAAAGGCTAACACTTTTTAAAATTTGTTGTACAGATTCCACAGTTTGTGATAGATGCTGTAGATGCTGAAACCTCGGATAAGCGTAGGAAGTGGTTGGTTGGATGCACACAGCCTCGTAGAGTTGCAGCCATGTCTGTGTCCCGTCGTGTTGCTGATGAGATGGATGTAGCCATTGGGGAGGAAGTTGGTTACAGCATCCGTTTCGAGGATTGCAGTAGCCCCAGAACAGTGCTTAAGTAAGCTTATCGTCTCTCTTTAGCTGCTTAAGCCGTAGTTTTTGTACTTTTGGAGTTGGATCTAATCTTGTGTTGTTCACCATGACCAGGTACTTGACTGATGGTATGCTGCTCAGAGAAGCAATGGCTGATCCTCTTCTAGAGAGATACAAGGTGATTATTCTCGATGAGGCCCACGAAAGGACTCTAGCTACAGATGTGCTGTTTGGTCTTCTGAAAGAGGTGTTGAAAAATAGGCCTGACCTTAAGTTAGTTGTGATGAGTGCAACTTTAGAAGCTGAGAAGTTTCAGGAGTATTTCAGCGGTGCGCCTCTTATGAAAGTTCCTGGTAGGCTTCATCCCGTTGAGATCTTCTACACTCAGGAGCCTGAGAGGGACTATCTTGAGGCTGCTATTAGGACTGTTGTCCAGATACACATGTGTGAGCCACCTGGTGATATTCTTGTTTTCTTGACTGGGGAGGAAGAGATTGAAGATGCATGCCGCAAAATCAATAAAGAGGTTGGTAATCTTGGGGATCAAGTGGGGCCTATCAAAGTTGTGCCATTGTATTCCACTCTTCCACCTGCGATGCAGCAGAAGATATTTGATCCTGCTCCAGAGCCGGTAACAGAAGGTGGTCCTGCTGGGAGAAAGATTGTTGTCTCCACCAACATTGCTGAGACTTCTTTAACTATTGATGGGATTGTTTACGTCATTGACCCTGGCTTTGCTAAGCAAAAAGTCTACAACCCACGAATCCGTGTTGAGTCTTTGTTGGTGTCCCCGATATCGAAGGCAAGTGCTCACCAGAGATCAGGTCGTGCCGGTAGAACACGGCCTGGAAAATGTTTCAGGCTCTACACAGAGAAGAGTTTCAACAATGACTTGCAGCCACAGACTTATCCTGAAATATTGAGGTCAAATCTTGCAAACACGGTACTGACTTTGAAGAAACTGGGCATAGATGACTTGGTGCACTTCGATTTCATGGATCCCCCTGCTCCAGAGACGCTGATGCGAGCCTTGGAGGTTTTGAATTATTTGGGAGCTCTTGATGACGAAGGTAACTTGACAAGGACGGGTGAGATAATGAGCGAGTTCCCCTTGGATCCACAGATGGCAAAGATGCTCATAGTCAGTCCAGAATTCAACTGCTCCAACGAGATACTCTCGGTTTCAGCAATGCTCTCAGGTACACCCTTTGCTTGTATTTATCTGTTCTTGTCATCTTGGGGTAGGTATGTAGGTGTGGGTAGGCTTAATCTTGCTAGTTGTTTCCATTCACATGCTTGTTTTCTCTGCATTAGAACTCGTCTTTATGCGTAGATGTGCATGATTGTGTAGAGTTAAGTAAGTTGAGTTAGGTTGTCATCAGCAGTCTATGGTCTGGGTTGTGCATACCCATGGTTAAGGGGTATCATAAGTAAGTGCTGATGCATATAGTTGCAGTTTCTCAGTTATTCTCTCTCATGAAGCAAATGGTATCAGTCTCATCGCCTCTATGCATCTGCTGACCTCTTCCATGGGCCTCTTCTGTTATAAAAACCAATTATTTCTTAGTACCGAATTGCTTTATCCGGCCTAGAGAGGCCCAAAAAGCAGCAGATGAAGCTAAAGCTAGGTTTGGACACATTGATGGGGATCACCTGACGTTGCTTAACGTATACCATGCCTTTAAGCAAAACAGTAAGTTATCGCTCTCCCTTTCTTCTCTTTTTGTTCCTCTTCTTTCTCTCTTGTTTTAGCCGAAACTAACACAGTTGGTCAAAATGAATTCTTGTGTTACAGATGAAGACCCAAACTGGTGCTACGAAAACTTCGTCAACAATAGAGCAATGAAATCTGCAGACAATGTTAGACAGCAGCTGGTCCGGATAATGTCAAGATTCAACCTGAAGATGTGCAGCACTGATTTCAATAGCCGCGACTACTACATCAACATAAGAAAGGCCATGCTTGCCGGTTATTTCATGCAAGTGGCTCACTTGGAACGCACTGGACATTACTTGACCGTCAAAGATAATCAGGTCTGTCTAAACGAATCCACTTTACATCTGTGAAAAAATTCTCTCGTTTTAATATATCTGATTGTAAAACTAACAACTTGTTGTTTGCAAGGTGGTTCATTTGCATCCATCCAACTGCTTGGATCACAAACCGGAGTGGGTAATCTACAACGAGTATGTTTTGACTAGCCGGAATTTCATCAGAACTGTGACAGATATTCGCGGTGAATGGTAAGTTTTTACGTTTCCTCCTGTTCTTGTTTTCTTTGGTTTAGCATCTCTAAAAGATCCTTACTTTATTTGTGTGGTGGATGGATTCGCAGGCTAGTAGATGTTGCTCCTCATTATTACGATCTTTCCAATTTTCCAACCTGTGAGGCAAAACGTGTCCTCGAGAAGCTTTACAAGAAGAGAGAGAGGGAGAAGGACGAGAGCAAGAACCGCAAGTGAAATCAGACTTATCATTTTCTCAATCTTCTCTGATTCTCTCTACTTTGACAATCTATCTATAAAGCTTGTCTGCTATTTTCATTTACCTTTTTGACCAAAAAATATTCTAGAAATTATTCATCTCTGTAAGGTATTTGAGTGAAAACAAATATTTGCGTTTATTTACCCAAAAGTTTATCCCTTTCTTTGAAGATTCTTGTTTCTGTATAGTTTGCCTTGCCGATAATTAATTAATTATCAGTATCAATTTCATAAGCAAAAGAGAAAATTTGATACTTCCGAGTCACAAAAGGCACATAGACTTGTTACTTGGCTAGTCAGAGGACTTATCAGATTATATAAACACAAAACATTAGATATATAATTGGCTTTGTTAGTTCCATGGGGCAGCAACAGTTGTCCGAAACATGTGCTCTTCACTCTGAACCTTTTGGTCGAGAACCGCTGCGCGAGACTGCATCCGGTCAATGTCCATGTCCATTGTCACTTTCTCTTCCTTAAGCAATGCTTGCTGCTCCTGCAGTTCCAAAACCTTCTTCTGCAATTCCACAACCTTCCTTGACACGTCTTCAATATCTGCTTCACACTTCCTTCTTTTGTTGTCGTTCTCTGCGATCTCTCTCTCAGCAACTTGTAACTCTTGCAGTGCCAATCCCTGGCTTTCTTTAATGGACAGTAGCTTGCCAATACGAGACCGAGGTGCTGTGACATCAAACCCGTGTTTCTCGAGCTTGTCGAAGCACTCGATGATCCTGTTTATCGCGCTTGCTGGATCGTCGACTTGTAGATTGTTAACTTTCTCTAACAGCCCGGTGAACGTCACCATCGCACCAATCGCGTCTCCTTCGCGGGACTCTTCTTCCTTCTCTAGCAGTGGAAGGAAATGAGGACGCTGTGGCACAGCTTTTAAGATCTCCATTGCTTCAAGGACTTTCCAACACGGTGACCTCTTTGCAAACGGCAGCACCATTGTCGACTCTTTCGCTAGAGGAGTGTTCACAACATCGACGTGCTTCTCCACAACAGAGTTTAGCATTGGATCAGGACTCTGTGAAGCGGATTGTTGCCCTGAGGAACAGATTATAAGCAAAACACGAAACAAATGAGAACCAAAAGCTCAAAAGAGCATCTCAAACTAATTGTTCAAATGACGTTAATCAATCCTAACCAGATGATGAATTTCCACCGTTGACCCATGAAGCGAGAGGCGTATCATTATCATCCTCATCCATATTAGCAGTTTCAGTAGTCGTAGGATTTGAATCACTACCAGCTACACCTACAAGTTTTTATAATGCCAATGATGTTTCAAGATTGCAAAGAGACATAAATTCATGTAATTATCCATTAACAGTTAAAGACAACATACCAGTTTTTTGAATAGGCTCTGTGCTTATGAACTTGCGTGGTTGTCCTCTTTTCCTTTTGTTAACGCTCTCTCTGTTACTCGTCTCCTCAGGTGCCTGCATAGAGTACTCAAGAGGATGAACAACCGAAAAAATGCCATGTGTTTAATAGCCGACGACTAACTAACTTTCACCTTCTCTCCCACAGAATCATTTGAAGAGCTCTTTTGATTCTTCATTGTCTGAAGTTTCTTCCTCGGAGTTGTTTTTCCTTGAATTGCAGCTACACCCAGGACTACAGATGAGTGAGACTCTTTTGCTGGAAACAGTAGTAAAGTAGATTCATTTCGTGACACAAACAACTTGTAACAATCTTACTTTGTGAACGGTATGAACACTTACTTGCTGCTATCTCTGGTTGGTTTGGGACTGGAGTGTTCGTGTTCCCATTCATCACAGCATGAGCCATCTCACTTCCTAAAACACCAGATAACTGCTGCAGAAACACACACAAAGTTAACCAATTTATGTCACTGAACCAATATTGCTGCAAGCAAGTTAAAGTCAACTTAGACTATTGAAGTAGCGTGCAACTAGAGAGACATAGAGAGGAGAAGGAATGATGTAACTCACAGATGCAGTTTCGGAGATCAGTGTTTCACTCTCAACGACAGATACTTCACTAGCTTCTGCAACTCCTCCTCCATTGCAGGATGCCAGAGTAGGATTCTGAATAGCGCTGCTACTAGAAGAACGCGTTGCTCTCAGTGGTGTTCGAATAGTTACCCTTATGCGGTTTGAAGCAGTTGTTTCTTCAACAACATGCGGACTCTCATCGCTACCCATAACCTGAAATTGCAATACAAATACACAATCTGATTTTAAATGCATTTCCCCCACAAAAGACTTATAACAACAACCAACAACAAGAAAAAAGAAGAACCTTTTCTTTAGTTTTCCAGACTCCATCTCTCCACTTCACAGAAGGCCTTAACTTGGAGTGGTCAAAGTCCACACTCATCTTGCTTTGCCCAAACTTTACAGTGTATTTCTTCCCGTAAAGAAGCTTAGTGATTACACCTGGACACCACCCAGACTCGACAAGCACATGAACACTATCCATCAAGCCGTACACTCTTTCTCCACAAGGTGGTGGTAAAGGCTGGATTCTGGAGAAAGGAACGCTTATCTTAGCACATTCACCGCTCAAAGACTTGACCTTGTACTTGACAAGCACCGTCCCATCCTCATTCTCCTTAATAGCCATCCCGGGAGCCCAAACATCCCCAAAAGTTTCCACCTTTGTTTTCACTTCAACTCTTTTTCCGGCGCTAAAATCTGACTCTGTCAATACCTGAAAAGAGTGAAATAGGCATTATTCATCTAAACACCCACAAAAGATGAAAACTTTCAATCAAAATGAGTGAAGAGAGAAAAAATTCAGAGACTCACTCGTTTTTCGCATCGGAACCATTCTTCGTCTTTCCACACCAAATGTGGGCGCAGAGATTTCCGATCAAACTCGAGGACGTCAGGTTCGAATCGAAGGTACACAGAGAAGCGCCGATTTCCCAAGGCTTTGAGCACCCAGCCAGACCACCATCCACCGTCGCGAGCAGCATCAACCATGTCACCTTCCTCGAAATCGACGTCGGGAAACGGATCCTGCGGCGGGACTGGACGGATTAGACGATGGAAGGAAGTTGTGATTACCGGCGGTAAATAGTCTTCCTTGAGCTGAGGGTGTAAGTGGCGAACAGAGAGCTTCTTCCGCTTCGATTTCGCCAGATTTTCTTCCAAAACAGCTCGATACCATACATTTCCAGTACCATTTTCGTACTCGCTGGAAGAAGCTTCGATTTCAGAACCTTGAGAAGCGGAGAGCTTCTCCTTTCTCCCAGTAGTTGTCAACATGCTTTTTAAGAAACCACTCACTCTTCCTCACCAAAATCTCAAAACCCTAGAAGCAGAAGAAGAAAGACCAGAGATGGAAGGAAGGAAGGAAGGAAGGAAGAAAGAGAAAAGTTCCACTTTAGAGTGTAGTACTTGTGAATCCTTGAAAAAAAGCCGCTAACATTTTAGCTTTTGATTACCGATTCTTTTTTTTTTTTTTCTATTTTCGTCCGTATTAATTATGATTTGGTGGGGAAGGGAAACAGTAATTAGTTAATTACGCCGGCGTCGCATAAAATGCCCAATCCGATTTGTAGATTAGTGTATGACAGAGTTTAAACTTTACGATAATACTCCGTTGGGTAATAAAGAAGCGTTTTTTTATAGATTGGTGTATACTCCCTCCATTTTTTTAAGATGAATTTTCTAGCAATTATGCGTTATTTCACAAAGATAAATTTTTTACTTTTTTGAAGCACTTTTTCAGTTTTCAAGAAATATTGATTGTATTTGTTGGATTTTTATTGGTTTAAAATTATAAAAAGTTGTTTTATTGCAGAAATCTATGCATTAATGATTGAAAATCAACTTTTCTTTAATCCGTGTGAAAAAATTAGAAAATTTATCTTTAAAAAACGGAGGGAGTATCACTTTTACTTGAGAGCAGTTTTTTATATTAGTCGTACAATATTGTCATCACTTACCAAATCCTTTAAGTTCTAACGAAATTAGGTGAGGAAAGCTGAATAAATAAATTTAATAAATGTCGAAACCTAAGGAAATGAAATTGGGCCCATTTTATAAGCGTCTGAATTTTACGATAAAAGAAAGTAAAAAAAAACTTAAGAGAATTATTAGAACGAAGAACAGAAGTAGGAAATGATAAAGTTTGAGACGGTAGAAGAAAGGATAGAGAGACGAAGAAGACAAGACACTCTCTTCGATTAAACAAAACCACACATTGCTCTCCTAGGCCTGCATTTAAAAACACATTTAGTTAACAATTGAACAACAATCAAAGATTATATAAATCCATAACGATTTAACAAGTTTGATATACCTTGTTCGCGATGTTGTTGGAGAGCCAGTCAAGTCCCTCGTAAAGCCCTTCTCCGGAAGTAGCACAAGTGCTCTGTATGTACCTGTTAAAACCCACCAAAGATTACATCAGTTCCTACGGTTTCAGTGTTCTGTTTATGTATGCAGTTAACATTTCTTTTTTGGCTTACCAGTGTCGTTGACGGAGAGAGTGAAGTCCAAGTTTGTCAGTAATCTCAGCGGCGTTCATGGCGTTTGGAAGATCTTGCTTGTTAGCGAAAACGAGAAGCACAGCATCTCTCAACTCATCCTGTAACAGTCAAAGGAAAACATAACAAGACAATAATGTCAAACCAAAATCGTTGCCTCTTTGCTTCTTGCTTCTTCAAGTTAAAATAGAGAAGGAGATATTGGTTTTGAGTATTACCTCGTTCAACATCCTGTGAAGCTCATCCCTAGCTTCCACAACACGGTCACGGTCATTGCTGTCTACCACAAAGATCAGCCCCTGTGTGTTCTGGAAGTAGTGCCTCCACAATGGACGAATCTGTATGAGACAACAAAAGAAAACATCGTCACATTAGAATAGTGAAGTGTCATTTTAGCTTTTGTTAATTGTAGAGTGATGGTAAAGGAATGCAAATGACAAATGACAGTACCTTGTCTTGACCCCCAACATCCCAGACGGTGAAGCTAATGTTCTTGTATTCAACAGTCTCCACATTGAAACCTACCAATAACAAGATTAGTCACGTTAAGCACACACAAGATGGACTCTCCTTACCAAGTTGAGCACAAAGTGTTAACAAAAGGAGAAAACCTTGCAGATATCTATCCCAATTTCAAACTTAAAATTTCTCCATCATCTTCTAATTATTACTAATTCAACTCTAGATGCAATAATTATACCAAGACCATTGAGATAAACCTTATACAAGAAAGAGCAGGAAAAGTAAGAAACTGACCAATAGTAGGAATGGTAGTGACGATCTCTCCAAGCTTGAGCTTGTACAAAATGGTGGTCTTACCAGCAGCATCGAGACCCACCATCAGGATTCGCATCTCCTTCTTTGCAAAGAGCCTGCTGAACAACTTACCGAAGGACAACCCCATTTCTTCGAGCCTGTTCATTGTTTCACATAAAATCATCACTATAGAAAACAATTTTAAAGCAGAGCAGCTTTGATGAATCCTACGATTTCGCTAATTAATGCTCAGATGTTTACAAATTGTCCCGGATCTCAATCGTGACCTCAAGTCCCGATCAAATACACATTGTGATTAACAGTGAGAGATCTAAATTCCGGTTTCAGGTGAACGCACGATCTAGATCAGAACAAATCACGACCATGCAGATACAGATCTATCATCACCAGATAACAGAATCACAATAAATCATGTTGCATCCATAAAGAAATTGGGAGAATACACACAGATCTGGAAATGACGGACCAGGATCGCGCGATAGATAATCGAACAGACGATCGACTTAACAAAGAGAGCAAGAGAGAGAGGCGGATTCAACGAAGAACAGAGACTCACCGGAAAAAGAAAACAACGCCGAAGAAGATCCTAGACTTTCACTGTCGCCGATGGTCGTCCAAAGAACAAAGAAGGTCTTCGAACGTAAGAGGGAGATTCGTGGGACGCAGCAATTCTCTACTTATGCCAAAAGCTAAATTTCCGCGTCTTCTGCTTTAATTACAAAATAAATATATATTTTGTTTAATTATCTTTTATTAACAAATCGCGGGGATAGCTCAGTTGGGAGAGCGTCAGACTGAAGATCTGAAGGTCGCGTGTTCGATCCACGCTCACCGCATTTTCTTTTGCAATAGACTTATGGACAGACTTGGGCTTAACCTAAACGTGCAATTACAATCAGGCCTGCTTGATTATACGGTTTGGAATTTAGAAAATGTCATTTTGGCCCAGATAAACAAAAGAAAAATACAAAAGTCATAGGGGATAATCCAAAGATTCTCAACATGTTCTTCTGACAATGGCCGACGGATCTAACATAGTTAACATTGCTTCGACTTACGAAGATAACCACCTATATCACTTAAACAATATCACATGCAACATTATCAGACACTTTACTCATAACGAGATCTATCTTTCAGTTTTAGATTAATAGTACAATTTCATTGCTTTTCGAATCCTTCTCACGAAATTAAGTAGAAAAAACTGAAAAAATAAATTTAATAAATGTTGAAGACTAAGAAATTGGAATCTCCGCCGAAACTGGAACAATTTTATAAGCGTTTGAATTTTACGATAACGAAAAGAAAAACTTAGAGAATTATTAGAGCGAAGAACAAAGTATGAAATGATAAAAAGTTTGAGACGGAAGAAGGAAGGAGAGACGAAGAAGACAAGACACACTCTCTTCGATTAAACAAAGCCACACATTGCTCTCCTAAGCCTGCATTTGATCAAACGTTTAGTTAAGACTTTAACAATCAAAGATCATAGATCAATAACGATTTAAAGGGTCGTGAACTTGAAATACCTTGTTTGCGATGTTGTTGGAGAGCCAGTCAAGTCCCTCGTAAAGCCCTTCTCCGGAAGTAGCACAAGTGCTCTGTATGTACCTGTTTTATAAACGTTTACATCAGTTCTTGCGGTCTAGATGTTCTGTTTAGGTATCCGGTTAAGTTTTTTTCTATGGCTTACCAGTGTCGTTGGCGGAGAGAGTGAAGCCCAAGTTTGTCAGTAATCTCAGCGGCGTTCATGGCGTTTGGAAGATCTTGCTTGTTAGCGAAAACAAGAAGCACAGCATCTCTCAACTCATCCTGTAACAGTCAAAGGAAAACATAACAAGACAATAATGTCAAACCAAAATCGTTGCCTCTTTGCTTCTTGCTTCTTCAAGTTAAAATAGAGAAGGAGATATTGGTTTTGAGTATTACCTCGTTCAACATCCTGTGAAGCTCATCCCTAGCTTCCACAACACGGTCACGGTCATTGCTGTCCACCACAAAGATTAGCCCCTGTGTGTTCTGGAAGTAGTGCCTCCACAATGGACGAATCTGGATGAGACAACAAAAGAAAACATTGTCATATTTGGCTTTTGTTAATTGTAGAGTGATGGTAAAGGAAACGCCAAATGAGAATACCTTGTCTTGACCCCCGACATCCCACACGGTGAAGCTAATGTTCTTGTATTCCACAGTCTCCACATTGAAACCTACCAGTAACAAAAATAGTCAATTCCACAGGACTAGAGCATTAAGCACTCACTCTGTTAATCATAGTCATAAACCATGAGTCAAATAAGGAATCCCCTTAGAAAGATGAACACCAAGTTTTAACAATAGGAAATGATCTTGCAAATATCTATTCCACTTTCAAACTTAAACTTCTCCATCATCTACTAAGTACTAATTCAGCTCTAAATGCAACAAATTTACCCAGTCCCTTGAGATAAACGTATTGCAATGTGTCAAATTCACATACTCAATTTAGCGGTGGATAATAGTAAGCGCAGGAAAAACTCACCAATGGTAGGAATGGTAGTGACGATCTCTCCAAGCTTGAGCTTGTACAAGATGGTGGTCTTACCAGCAGCATCGAGACCCACCATCAGAATACGCATCTCTTTCTTTGCAAAGAGCCTGCTGAACAACTTTCCGAAAGACAACCCCATTTCTTCAAGCCTGATTCAATTTGTAGCATACACATATAGAGTCAATATCAATATCCATCACTTAAGAAAAGCATTTCAAAGCAAAGCAGTTTTGATGAATCCTACAATTTCGCTACTTAATGCTCATACGTTAACAAATTCTCTCGGATCTCAATCGCATCCACAAGTTCCGCTCAAATACACATTGTGATTAACAGTAAGAGATCTAAATTCCGATTTCAGGTGAACACTCGATCTGAAAAAAACGAGCCTAGATCAGATTAAATCGAAACCATGCAGATACAGATCTATCATCACCAGGGAAGAGAATCACAACAAATCACGTCGCATCCATAAAGAAATCAGGAGAATACACACAGATCTGGAAATGACGGACCAGGATCGCGAGATAGATAATCGACTAAACAAAGAGAGCGAGGGAGAGACGGATTCAACGAAGAAGAGAGACTTACCGGTGAACAAAAACTACGCCGAGGAAGACCCTAGACTTTCACTGTCGCCGATGGTCGTCCAAAGAACAAGGAGGTCTTCGAACGTAAGAGGGGAATTCGTGGGACGCAAATTCTCTACTTATGGCAAAAGCTGAATTTCCGCGTCTTGTGCTTTAGTAAAAACTACATATTGATCAAAACGTTCTTCATTAACAAATCGCGGGGATAGCTCAGTTGGGAGAGCGTCAGACTGAAGATCTGAAGGTCGCGTGTTCGATCCACGCTCACCGCATCTTTTTATTTTCATTAGACTAATGGACTTTGGCCTGAATTAAACATGATTTAGAAAATACCTTTTTGGCCCATACACCTAAGTCATAGCCTCATGGTGATAATTTAACTATCTCAACAAGTTCTGACAATCCTAAGAAAATATGGCCGATCGGATCTGACATTGCTTTGATATTAGTATTAAACACCAATATCATGCACACTTGAAATAATATATTAACAAATACTCACTGTTAAAAATCTCGATTTTTGAAACTAAAGATATCAGCCTATATCTAAAGCTTAGATCTTGAATCTTGGTAATATTTTTCTCTCTGTATTGATAATTTAAACAAAATGGATCATGCTGTCTCTTCTCTCCAGTGCTTCTTCTTAATCCTATGCCTATCTCTATTGGTTTGTTCTAACTCGGACAATGGTTCCAAGTCAAGAAAGAAACCCATTTTGATAAACTTCGGCGATTCAAACTCGGATACCGGAGGAGTTCTCGCTGGCTCCGGACTTCCCATTGGACTTCCTCATGGCATTACCTTCTTCCACAGAGGCACTGGTCGTCTCGGCGACGGTCGACTCATCGTTGACTTTTTCTGTGAGCTCCATTTATCTTAACATACATAATACATTTTTTGTATTTATATGCAAATTTACCAATTTACATAATCAGTTATTTACTATATGCTTAGGTGAACATTTAAAGATGACGTATTTGAGTCCATATTTAGACTCACTCTCACCAAATTTCAAAAGAGGAGTCAATTTTGCTGTCTCGGGCGCAACAGCACTTCCCGTATTCTCCTTCCCTCTTGCCATTCAAATCCGTCAATTCGTCCATTTCAAAAAACGTTCTCAAGAACTTGTCTCTTCCGGTAAGTACGTAAATTATACTCTTAATTTATACCTATATCATGTTATATATCCATTATGTTGTTGTTAACAGGGACAGGGAGAAGAGATCTTATTGATGAAAATGGGTTTAAAAACGCATTGTACATGATCGATATCGGACAAAATGATCTTCTACTTGCTCTATACGATTCAAATTTAACGTATACATCCGTTGCCGACAAAATTCCCACCACGCTTGCTGAGATTAAAAAGGCCATTCAGGTACTTCATTTCTGTCTCTCATTGACACTTTCTGGTTGCCTTGTAAAACCGTAACTAATCCAAAAAACAAAAACAAAAAAAACCGTAACTAATCCGACGACCGATTTGTAATTTGGTACATGCTGTGATGTAGACCGTATATTTAAACGGAGGGAGAAAGTTTTGGGTACATAACACAGGCCCATTGGGCTGTGCACCCAAAGAATTGGCAATTAACCCACACAACGATTCGGATCTTGACCCGATTGGTTGTTTCCGGGTTCACAACGAAGTCGCAAAAGCCTTCAACAGAGGACTCTCTAGTCTCTGCGACGAAATGAGATCTCAATTCAAAGACGCCACTCTCGTCTACGTTGATATTTACTCCATCAAATACAAACTCTCCGCCGATTTCAAACGATACGGTACTGTTAGATTTCTCTTTTTTTTAAGTCAAAACCGGTTGTGATTCGGTTAATTTCATTTTTCGGTTCAGGATTTGTGGATCCGTTAATGGCATGTTGCGGTTATGGAGGGAAGCCTAACAATTACGATCGAAAAGCCACGTGTGGTCAATCCGGTTCAACTATTTGTCGTGATGTAACCAAAGCAATTGTGTGGGATGGAGTTCACTATACCGAAGCTGCAAACCGGTTTGTCGTTGATGCGGTTTTAACTAACCGATACTCTTATCCAAAGATTCCCTTACACCGGTTTTGGTAGTTATATTTAACCGATAATCATAAATTTGTCAAAGAAGGAAAAAGACTGTTTTGTATTTCAATGAATCTTAGCGGCTGATTAATCTAACATTAGTCGGTCCAACTAGTGATGGTATTGATGAGTAATGATTGCCCTGTGAAGTGATTGTTGCAAGTCAAACTATGGTTTTGATTTCCCTTTGTTATAAAACTGAACATTAATAGTTTCTCTCCTGTTCTTGCTTGTATCCGTTGTTTACGCTGAACCTAGTCTATAGTTTATGAATACAAATATGACGGTGGATGATAAGTTAAATATGGAGTATATTTATGTATTATATAAATGACTTGGACAGGGGAGAAAATATTAAACTAATAATAATGTGAAATGCAAAATGTTGTTGTCGAGACTTGGAGCCTTTGATTTTACACTGTTGTAGTCTCTTTTTATGTTGTCGAAGAAAAACTAATAATATACTGAACTGTGTTTTGTCTCTTGCCTCTCAAAATTTTATGTTATTGCTCTCTTCATAACAGAAAAAAGTCGTCTCCTACAGACGCACCATCATTGTTGGAACAAATATTACTGCACCTTATATATTCATATAGACCTATAGTATCAGTACTGTATTTTTTTGTTATTCTACTTTTGTAATGTCATCGAATCAACAATATATACTTAAAGCTGTTGTTCGACCTTTTAACATAGTGGGTTCGTTGTGTCTGATTTACAAATCTCGTGTGTAGCACAACCAAAATGATTTTTGAAAAAGAAAAAAAAAAGGTCTACCTTTTTTTGTGCGAATTATTTGGATTTACCATAGATCATTATTTGGATTTAAAAATTTGGTCCAACTTTTCTATTAGTTTTGAAAAGGGGGACTAATGTAAACCGATGCATATATAACGAGATTTTGCATAGATTAAGTTAGCGTGGTACTATTTGATGGTTTGAACATGCAAGAACCTCGTATTAATTGAATCGGAAAGTGAAGCCCAGCTTGTATATATAAAATATATATAGGTATATAGATAGTAGATGAAAATACCTAAGCACATCAACAACATGTATAGCTTTCTGAGAAAAAAACAAAAGGCGTAAATGAGTGAATGCATGATTGAATCTTTAATAATGCATGTAGTTCCTTTCTTCAGAAATTATTATGTTCGTCGTGGAGGGGTTTATGTTAAAAGTTTCTATAGATAATAGAAGAATCAAATGAATAACAAAACTGGGTATATGGACAAACCAGACGATATTAAAATAAAAAAAAAAGATAATCAAAAAATAAATTGAAAAGGATAAATGTGAGTTTGGTGGACAACTTTTACAGACTCTGATAAAACTAACGGGAAAGTTGATTAAGCTATTTTAAATTAAGCAACTTTGCATATACTTGACGCATTATCGATCATAATATCCATTTATGCGCGAGGATCCTCATGGATACATGTCTACAGTTATAGCCGCCTTCTGTTCTTTCTAGAAGGATAACTAAAAGAATACATATAAAGCACCGACACAGATGATCAAGGGTTTGTTGCAGTCTTTCATTTTCAAACATATATGACTCCCTCCCATATTTTTAAGTTTTGACTTCATTAACCATTTACTTTGTTTGGAATATATTAAAAGCCAATCCAATGAATCAACTACGCGTAGGCAGAACGTAAAGTTGTTGCATAAGAACTCAACGTCTAGGCGGACGATTTAACTATAAACATCGAGTAGTTTATACATAGACGTCACATATGTCATCGAGGATAAGACAAAAAGAGAATTGACTCTCTTTTTCTTTCATCGCGTCGAGTATAATGACAAAATCGAACTCAGTGTCATAGACTCGTAGGCGGGCAAATTTGTAGTTATTCGGTTACATGATAATTTAAAATAAATTTCGTGTAATGTATATATAACTAAATGTTATGTCATGTCCCTTCCTACATCTCAATAATTTAATCCGGAAAATATCTATGGACATTGTAGAAGTTGACCTTTTCTCGTATTAAGTAAAGAGACAAACCAAAAAAAAATCATAGCGTGATGAACTATATATAGAAACTAACACCCATTACACAAATTATTAAGCCCATCAAACTTTTTCCTAAGGTGTAGATATGATCTACGTACATTTATATTTATTATGGCGACAATTAATCCAAATACATGATTGAATAAACCCCTGAAACGAGGAACAAGTTCAGTAAGTGAAAAATAACAATATACAAAAAAAAAGTGAAAAATAACATGGTTCGAGTAAAAATTGCAATATACAAGTCTTGTGCAAATGAAATTTCTCTGTTAGAATAGTTAGTTGGGAAAGTACGGCTGTGAATTGTAATATTTTATTTTCGGTTGTGAGATTGCGTCGGGTGCTAAGAAATGAGTTGTCCATGAACATAGCACATGGGCTTCAACCTCTTTTCATGCATACATATATTGATCATATACAGTTTTCTTAATTAGACATTAATCTGCATAGGAGAGTAGAGGGAGAGAGAGACAGATAAACGAAAATCCCGTTAAATATTTTATCATATTACTCTTTATAATAACCAATTATTCTACTGGTGTACGCACAATCCGAAGCTGAACATCGAAAGGACAAGTTAACGTGTCAGAATCTAATTCATAAAGATAATCAACTAAGTGACAAGAGGAAGAAAAGTTAGTGAAACCAATCGGCGGTGATTGGATAATTAAAGATGTTCGTATGCGTTAGGTTGATATCTTACTGTTACAACGTCAGTGTATGATTAGATGTATATTATCTGCACCACTTTCATAAAAGCGACCCATTTTCTCATTCTTTTGCCTTTTCAAAATAACATCGTACGGAACTTTTTTCAGAAGCCGGGAATATGTATAAGTGGTTTTCGATCCTCATGTGTAGATTTTTTCTTGTAAAACCGATTAGCTAACTATAGAAATCAAGACAGCGTAAATCAGTGTGTTACCTACAAATCATATTCATAGATATGTCCATAATACACAACTAATTATATAAATCCTCTGATAATGTTATCAAAAATGGTCAAAGGTATGGTTGGCCGCATTAATAATGGTTATTATACAAATTAAATAATTATTTTAAGTTTACGGTCGTAACTTCATGCGCTTCGTTCATCTCTCCTAACAATCTTGTAATTCATTTTTTTAATTTTCGTCATTACTGTTATTAAAGTGATTAGTATAGTATTATATATAGCGATGCTTCTGCTACTTCTTCTTCTTCCTTGCCACCAAAGACATTCGTACATTTGCAATTTGCACAGCTGAAACGACTTTGCCACTTTCTTGCTGTTCAAACAACACATAGTCCCCTTTTTCCCCTCATTATTGCTTCTCAATCACTTCTCCAAAAAACACTTTAATCATGTAAATTTGTTCCATGAACCATTCCCAATCTTCTTCAACGAGATTCATTGTTATTACGAGCTCCTTGATACTGGGTTCTTTTCTTCTGGGTCTTGTTATCTGGATTTTCGTTCCATCCCCTAAACTTGTATCGAGAATGTTCTGTAATATGGGTTTGTTCGATTTCAAGTAGCTTTCCTCATCGTTTCTCCCCCATCTTCGGGTTTAAGCGCATATTCTTTCTACTCCTTCTCGGAGAGTTTTTCTAAAGCTCTCCAAGTGTTTGACGATTTGCCTGAGAGAAAAAAAAAACAGAGCAACTTAAGAAACAGAGTGAAGTACAGAGAGAAGCTAGCCACCATGGAAGAGACCTTTGTTCCGTTTGAGGGTATCAGAAAAGATCTCAAAGGAAGATTAATGTGCTACAAACAAGACTGGACCGGAGGAATCAAAGCTGGATTTAGGTACTAAATCTCTTCACTTTATTCGTTTTTCAAAATTTCTCTGCTTTTTCATGATTTTGTTTTGACTAATTTATAAAATTTTGTAGGATTTTGGCTCCTACCACTTACATATTCTTCGCCTCTGCGATTCCTGTTATTTCATTCGGCGAACAACTGGAACGAAGCACTGGTACTTGAATCTCATCCTCTGAAAAAGGAAAAAGTCATCAGCTTTATGAATGTTATTAAAAAGTTATAAACTTTATGAATGTTATTAAAGATATGCAACTTGAGTTGGGGACTATGTAATTTGCAGATGGAGTTCTCACGGCTGTTCAGACACTGGCATCTACAGCCATTTGCGGAATCATTCACTCTATCATCGGAGGCCAGCCTCTGCTAATACTCGGAGTTGCAGAGCCAACTGTAATTATGTACACTTTCATGTTTAACTTTGCAAAAGGAAGACCTGAATTGGGACGCAATCTGTTCTTGGCTTGGTCTGGATGGTAAAGTCTCTTCTATTTTGACTGTTTAATTTTGTAAAAACATCGAGAAATGAGGTACTAATTCTGCCAAATATATATATGCAGGGTTTGTGTTTGGACTTCGTTGATTCTGTTTGTGTTGGCGATATGTGGAGCTTGTTCTATAATCAACAGATTCACTAGAGTAGCTGGAGAATTGTTTGGACTTCTTATAGCTATGCTCTTCATGCAAGAAGCCATCAAAGTAAGAAGATTTGCGAGTTTATTTTTTCATACCAAGAAATTGGATTTGGTTTGCCTCTAATGTTTTGATTATATATATATATATATATATTCAGGGACTAGTTGATGAATTTCGCTCTCCTGAGAGAGAGAATCTGAAGCTTCTGGAGTTTTTACCTTCCTGGAGATTTGCAAATGGGATGTTTGCTTTAGTTCTCTCCTTTGGTCTCCTTATAACTGCACTTAGAAGCAGAAAAGCCAGATCATGGAGATATGGAACAGGTAAATGAAGTAGTTACTAGTTAGTCAACTGTCTTTTTCTTTATTATCTTGTGAGCTGGAATCTCCTTATTCTAGGGATCTTGACCAATGAGTGATTAATTATGCATTCATTGCTCACAAGTGGGGAGATCTCACTCAAATCTTCCTTGTTCTTGAAGAAACTTAAATTCCAACTTTCTTAAAAAACATTATCCTTGAAACAGGCTGGCTTAGAAGCTTAATAGCTGACTATGGTGTGCCACTCATGGTTCTGGTGTGGACCGGTGTCTCCTACATCCCAACAGGAGATGTTCCAAAAGGAATCCCTCGGCGTCTTTTTAGCCCAAATCCTTGGTCCCCTGGTGCTTATGGGAATTGGACCGTCGTAAATGTGTGTATTTTGTTTTTGCTATCATGATTCTCAAACACATTGCACATGAATGAACATATGACTAATGCCCTAGTGACTGTCTCTGAAACTCCAGGAGATGCTTCAAGTTCCAATTTTCTACATAATTGGAGCATTCATTCCTGCAACAATGATTGCAGTTCTTTACTACTTCGACCATAGCGTAGCGTCACAGCTTGCGCAGCAGAAAGAGTTCAATCTGAGAAAACCATCTTCTTACCACTATGATCTTCTTCTTCTTGGGTTCCTGGTAAGAATCTGCAGGAATTAGTAATTTTCTCTTCTTTTTCATGAGCTCAGTCTACTAATAAGTATTAACTCCACCATTATCAGACCTTAATGTGTGGTCTACTTGGAATCCCTCCATCAAATGGAGTCATCCCTCAATCACCAATGCACACCAAGAGCCTAGCAACACTAAAATATCAGGTACCTTACCCGCAACGATTCTGTTTCGGGATTTTTCTTCCTTCAGGCCTTGGACTTAAGTCTTGTTGTTTGGTCTTTCCACAGCTGCTTCGGAACAGACTAGTTGCAACTGCACGGAGAAGCATCAAGCAGAATGCGAGTTTAGGACAGTTGTATGGAAACATGCAAGATGTTTATAATCAAATGCAGACTCCATTAGTATACCAGCAGCCTCAAGTAAGGAACCTTCTCTGTAATTTTCCAATTCGCCAATGAATTACAAATGGTCTGAGGCTCAACTGTGGATAGATTGTTTCTTCTTCAGGGTCTCAGAGAGCTGAGAGAGTCAACAATCCAATCCACAACATTCACAGGAAACCTCGATGCGCCAGTGGATGAAACTCTGTTTGATATAGAGAAAGAGATTGATGATTTATTGCCAATAGAAGTCAAAGAACAGAGAGTAAGCAACCTGCTTCAAGCAATAATGGTTGGAGGATGTGTTGCAGCTATGCCTATCCTCAAAATGATCCCTACATCAGTCCTTTGGGGCTACTTCGCCTTCATGGCAATCGAAAGCTTACCCGGAAACCAGTTCTGGGAAAGAATCTTACTTCTCTTCACAGCCCCAAGTCGTCGATTCAAGTAAAGTCTCAATCTTTTTACCTTCTTTTTACTTTCTCAAGTTTCCATTACTCAAGTGCTTAACCATATTTGCAGGGTTCTTGAAGACAACCACGCGACATTCGTGGAAACTGTTCCATTCAAAACGATTGCAATGTTCACCATTTTCCAAACAACTTATCTTCTAATCTGCTTTGGTCTCACATGGATCCCACTCGCTGGAGTTATGTTCCCTCTAATGATCATGTTTCTAGTACCTGTAAGGCAATATCTCCTCCCAAGGTTCTTCAAAAGTGCTCATCTTCAAGACTTAGACGCAGCAGAGTATGAAGAAGCACCCGCTGTTCCATTCAATGTCGCAGTAGCGGTAAACGACTCCGTTACCAATTTAATTCAAACTCTCCATTTTTCTTTTGTTTCTTAGATTCTTGTTGACAGTTTCTTCGTTTTTGCAGGAAGCTGAGATGGGATCAACGGCTTCGTATCCATGTGATTCTGAGATTCTTGATGAGTTTATTACAAGAAGCAGAGGAGAGTTTAGACACACATGTAGTCCTAAGGCTACTAGTTCAACTTCAACGCCGGTTTATAATCGGCAACTGTCTCAAGTGTTTAGTCCAAGAGTGAATGAATTGAGAAGTGAAATGAGTCCAAGGCTCGCTGGAAAAGGCCAAAGTAGTCCAAAGCCGAGCCCTTTAAACCCATCTTCGTCTTCGCCGTCAAAGTGAGAAAAAAAGGCGTTATGAATGCTTAACAAAACCCGAGTTTATGTTTGAATTAGTTGATTAATTGATCTACAAACTTTCCTGAGTTGTTCATTTATCTATCTTTTGTGTACCCTTTATATTTTCTGCTCTTGATCACGATTTGTATCACTGTAAAAACTCTTACTTACCCTTTCGAACGTCGGTAAATTATACTAGTAATAAAGGGGCAAATATGTGTCACAAGCAATGTTAGCTTTGATGTTTGTTTTGATGAGACTCAACGACCACATTACCTTATAATCGTCCGTATAACAGAAAGAGGTCGAGAGAAACGAGTGGAAACATGAAATAAAAGTTTGGCAAGATTAGTTAGAAGCTAAAGCAAAAGAATTTATCTTTCTTGTTTTGGGTCCAAAAGAGTGGCTCTGGTTAAAGCCTAGTTATGTGGTTCGAAAAAGTGCTACCAAACAAGACAAAGGTCAACTTCTGACTCGATCCACGAAAGACAAAAGTAGGATATGTGTGTTTGATGTTTTTTAAGTAAAACTACTATTAGATGGGATTGTGTTTTAAACTTCTCTCACTATTACTGCACACACACAAAAGGAGTGGCCTTAAATCTTCATCCAAACCACTATAGAGACCGATCTTCTTGAAATGGACCGATCACATAAGTCTTTCTTTCGTAATCATGTCTCCACCTGAATATGAGATTCATCGCCCCTAAAAGCCAATCTTACTACACTCTTCAAGTGGCTTTGTTGGTCGGATACTATTAGGTTAGACACTCTCGTTGACAATCCATGACCATACCACAGTAACGTTATCATAATAAAATCTTAACAAGCTTCAACAACATTCCCTAGTCCATCGATCATCGGTTCCAAATAGTTCATCAGTTTAAATCTTAATGGGCTTTTCGCTGATTATGGCCCATCAAATACCATCCGTCATCACTCATCATCAACGTGACGATCTCGTCATGTTAAGTCATAGAGTATTCTCCATTGTACCAGCAACATTTTGCCGACTCATATATGCTGAAAGGTTAGTGGTGATTATTTGTTAATTTCTTATTGGCTAGATATTTTCGCTAAAGACAAGTTCTGTATCTAGATTTTTTTTAATTGGTTATCGAACCCGACCCAAAAATAACAATAAAAAATTGGTTATCATACTTTCCACGAAACACGTTTCACATTTTAACAACACGTTAGATCTTGATTCAGTCTAAAAGAAGCATATATTATACACAAGGCGCATGATAAATATGATTTCTCGCTGTATCAGTTTAGATACTCTTATTTATTTCCTTACAACAATAAAGTTTAGTAGAAAAAATAATGTAATGTTGTTAGATTATGGTTTTGGATAATAGCGAGCGCTTAACTTGCTGATCCATCATTTCTTTTTGGTTCATATAATTGGATCAATGAAAATGGTTAAAAGGTTAATGCCACTAAAACCATTCGTGCCAAAAATAAAAACACCAACAAAAAACGAAACAACAACTGATGACGTGGCATGACCATTCGGTAAACGTAGGACCCCAAGGCCATTTTGATGATCTTAACGGTCCAGATTAATCTATTTTCGGGGATACATGCGTCATTTTCATAAAACGCAGGTGTGAACACGGACAAACCTCTTGAGATTCTTCGAGTTGACAAAGTCCTATATTTCATAAACAACTCCTTATTAGTTTATTTAATTACAGAAACGTCCCAGTTATTTCCGTGTAAGTCCTCGGTAGTTGGTAAATTCAAAAAGAGGCGTTTACACGGCCACGCGCGTCAAAGCCTGAAACTCCACAATTATGACACGTGTCATCGGTAGGGCCAAGTCTTAGCCGTGTGTAATCCACAAAGTAAACACCGATAATAATCCACGTAAGATCTCCGATTCGCCACAGATGACCGCCACGTGTACATTGTCTCCACCGGTTAACCCCAGTCACCCAAAATTCGAGTTCTCGATCTTATATATACACAGAGGAAGACCACACGACTCAGAATTTTTTGTCCAAGAAAAAAAAAAAAACGCAAACTTCGAATTTGTCAAAATTACTTTGAAACCAAGCGAACGAATTAATCAAACTAAAAGGCGGTGATTTCGAGTAGAAAGCTCTCAAAGAATCGATCTGGTTATATATAGTAACTTACTGGTGTTGTGAAATTGAAATTGAAATTGATTGTGAGAAAGTAAAGTGAGAAAGATGGTAGCGGAAGCAGGGGTTGTTTATCAACAGAGTTTGCCGGTGGTTCTGGATATTGATGGAGACATGGTAAGTGTTATGCTTTCTGAGATGTTAAAAAGTTTTGAATTTTTTTTCCTTTCTGTTTAGGGCTTTACCTTTGTGAAAAGAGAATTGAAGAAGCTAGGCTCTGAAATTAACCGTCTAAAATTAGAAAGTTTAAATTGATTGATATAGGAATCGAAACTATCTGGGTCACTACCGAACATGATCCTTGAATCTCTTAAAGCTTAGATAGTTGTCTGAAAGTTGCTTTGGTGATAGTTGTCTGAAACCTTTGAGATATTTTATCACTCCAAATGAAGAGACTTATAGCTGCTGATTTTGATAACTAACGGCTAACTACTCTGGAGAAGCCCTGTCTGTAGTTATTATGTTTCTTAATATGTCTTGTCTTCACTAATTAAGAATTTTTGGATCTATTTCTCGTTTATTGAAGAATAGGGAACTTAATTTTTATGTTTTCATCAATGTGTATAACTTTTCAGGGTCTAAAGCAGGAGAATGATTGCGATTCGGTTTATGTTCCAACCATCCGGTCTGGAAGCTACGCTGATATCGGATCAAAGAAATTCATGGAAGACGAACACATTCGCATAGATGATCTTTCCTCACAAGTCGGGTCTCTTTTAGAATTGCCAAAGCCAAGTGCTTTCTACGCGGTAAAACATCGTTGCTTCCTTATAATCAAATGCTCTTTCAAAAATACAGAATCTGACATGACTTACCTCCTGTTTTAGGTTTTTGATGGCCATGGAGGATCAGAAGCAGCAACTTATGTACGGCAAAACGCCGTAAAGCTCTTCTTTGAAGATGAAAATTTTCCACAGACATCTGAAGTGAACAGTGTTTATGTTGAAGAAGTTAAGATCTCTATGAGAAATGCGTTTCTTCAAGCTGATCTTGCTTTAGCGGAGGATTGTAGCATCAGCTCTTCTTCTGGCACCACAGCTCTCGCTGCTCTTGTCTCCGGAAGGTTTGTGTTCTTTAACTTCCATCTTACATTCTTGTTTAACTGTGATTGCTTGCTTATGAATTCTTGTCCTTTGCAGAGTCTTGATGGTTGCAAATGCTGGAGACTGCAGAGCGGTTCTATGCAGGAAAGGCAAAGCGATAGAGATGTCACATGACCATAAACCGGTGAATCTACCGGAGAGAAGAAGAGTAGAAGAATCAGGCGGTGTCATTGAGGGCGGTTACCTAAACGGAGAGCTATCCGTAACAAGAGCTCTAGGGGACTGGTGCATGAAACGGCCACACGGCTCCAAATCTCCACTGATTTCAGAACCTGAGATCAAGCAGATAACGTTAACAGAGGACGACGAGTTTCTTGTGATCGGGTGCGACGGGATTTGGGATGTTTTGAGCAGCCAAGAAGCGGTCAGCATCGTGAAGCGAGGCTTAAACCGACACGACGATCCCACGAGATGTGCGAGAGAGCTTGTGGTGCAGGCTCTGAGGCTGGAAGCGTTTGATAATCTGACGGCGGTGGTGGTGTGTTTTGTGAATGTGGAGCGTGGGGATGAGGTGGCGGTTCCGTTGGAGAGGAAACGGTGGTGTAGCCTTACGCCGGAGGCTCTCCGTAACTTGAGGAATCTGATGGATGGCTGATACTATTGTGTGTTCTTGAGGATACCACTGATGATGACGAAATATCTTCTGATTTGAGATTAATTTGTATATGTCTATGTGTATGTGTATATATATACGTTGTGTGCTTGTGTTGATGTGATTCAATTTTGTGTACAAACTGTTTATTGTTTTGTGTATAGTGAAAAGGAAAAAAACAGTATAATTTTCTTCGGAAACTCAAACGGTTCATTTCCATCTCACTTAAAAATAACAAAATTATTCAACGGAGAAAATATTGTTCGTAAATGTGAATTAAAATAACAGAATTATTCTCATGAATTTAGAGAAAATATTGTTCGTCAATAGTTAATTAGATACAAATTTAACAGCTTTACTGAAAATAAAAAGTTAACTCAATCGGCGATAGTATAAAAACCCAAAAGCCGATGAACAAAAAAAAAAAGACTAATTGGGGTCTCTGTCTGGATTACGGCGATCGAAGCAAAGCAGACCAGACCTAATCTCATGTCCGGTGGAATCGCACGTGGTCGACTCACAGAGGAGAGGAAAGCATGGCGTAAGAACCATCCCCACGTATGTTCTTCTCCTTTTTCTTCTTCTTCTTCTTCTTCTTCTATTGATCCTCCAATCGATAACCTCAAAATCAAATCTGTTTATAGGCTTTTGTTGCCAAGCCGGAGATATCGTCCGATGGAACAAGTAACTTGATGGTTTGGCAGTGTACCATCCCTGGCAAATCTGGGGTGAGAGACTCTTTCTCTTTTCACTGTCCAAGTCTCTCTCTTTTAGTCAATTCGGTTGTTTTGGTTTATTAGCTGAGCAATATCAGAGTTGATCATCCATGGTGTTAATTATTATCTGTAAAGAGTAGAGATTTATTACCTGAATCTTTTTTGCAACTTGGCTAGGACTAGGACTTGGATGGGATTGTGAGAAAGTGAGAAAGTGTCTGTTGTCTGAATTGGTTAACCTGTGGAAAGCATTGGGCTTGTGGTCCTCATATCAAATATCTGTTCTGTTTTGGCAGATTTGCCTTATTCACGGTGTTTAATGTTTGCTTATCATACAGCGATCCATTTGCATATGCTTGTCACATTTCTTGCATTCTTCCACTAAAACTGCATTGAGATTAACGCCAATAATATATTGCAGGCATGCTAAATTTTGATCTTTTGAATCATTAACATTAGTCAACAGTTGTATTTGGAAAAGCAATTGATTCTAACATTCTCAAGTTGCCAATTAGCTTCTAACTGCGTTAGCTATCTTCTGTATGTTATATATATATATATATATATATCACTGGAAGCTTTTGTTGTTCTGTGAAAGCTATTGTTATAGTGAATTAAAGTAAAATGGGTTTTGCTTGTTGTGTAGACTGACTGGGAAGGTGGATTTTATCCGCTGACACTCAATTTTTCGGAGGATTACCCAAGCAAACCTCCAAAGTGCAAGTTTCCTCAAGGCTTCTTTCATCCTAATGTCTATCCTTCTGGAACTGTTTGCCTCTCCATTCTCAATGAGGATTATGTAAGCATTTCAACTCTTCTCTTCTCTTCTTGAGAGTTAACAAAAAGATGGTTTGAAAAGAGAAAAAGCTTACAAGATTCTTTACAAACTTACAGGGATGGAGACCAGCCATCACTGTGAAGCAAATATTGGTTGGTATTCAGGATTTGCTTGATGAACCAAACCCAAATGACCCTGCCCAGACCGAAGGATACCAGCTCTTTGTTCAGGTCATCTTTCTTGCTTTTTTTGCACTTGATAAATCCCTTATAAACTTGTTTACACCGTCACTGACTCATTGTGATCACTGAATTACAACACTTGATACTTGGAAAGTAGCAAAATCAATACTTTCTTTAGGAGTAGCAGTTGTTATGGAGATCACTTCACTTGTTCTTGGCTTGAGTTCTAGAAAAATTGGGATTTTGAGTAGTGATCTAAGCAAGTTAAGTTTTCTTTGTGGTGTTGCAGAATAAGGATGAATACAAAAGAAAGGTGCGACTACAGGCGAAACAATACCCACCAATTATTTGATATCTCTGTCTTGCCTCACTCAAGCCAAGTCTGTTTAATGGGAGACCTTGACAATATGTTACTTTTTTTTAATTTTGATTTTTGAGTAATGAATTAAGAACATGCGTTGTTGCTTACGCAGTTTGTTTGGGAATATATCAAAATTGGAAGAATGGAAAAAGTCGTCGGAATTTGTCTTTCGCTTGGTTTTGATTTTTCATTTGAACGAGACATACACTGACTGATACACAGCTAGAGCCTAGAGGTGGTTTACGATTACGGCGTGTTGTTTAAGTAAGATGTGACAACCAAGACAACATTATATAACTAAAATGCAGCTCAAATAAGATATCCGATTTTTAATTCAAAATCTAAGTAACGCCTTAGAAAAACTATTAATCAGATCGAATTACGTATCAAATGTTAAACAATTTCTTGCGAAGAAAGACCAATCAAACACTACGGTCATTGATGATTACGAAGTGCATTTCACAATCCTATCATCATTTTACAAATTCACGTTACGATAATCTATGGAGCATATGCTAATTGGTTGTGGGAATCCCCAAATTTGTTTCTCCAGACTATAAATCATCAAATTCGATCTGAATTGAAGAAATGATTGAAAATGTCGCACGCAATGTGTATCAAATGACGAGAATAATTAAAAAGCCTAGAAATTTCATTATTCTAGATAAGAAATCCAGAAGCAAAGATGTTCAAACATCGAATCCATTACAATGTAAAATTACCAAATAGAAACCAGTTCTTAAACGATAGAGAGAAAGGGAAAGAGAGAGAGAGTAAAATGATGGATCTACCGATTTAAGAAAATCATTCCTCGGCTCCCTCCTTCTGGTAGACGTAAGTGAGTCCACACTTGCCGCAGTAATGGCGATCAAAGTGACTCGCCATGAAAGTTCCGGCACCGCAAGTTGCGTTAGGACACTCCTTCCTGAGACGCTGCACCTTGCCAGATCCGTCGACCTTGTAGAACTGGAGGATGGCGAGCTTGACCTTCTTGTGCTTGTGCTTGATCTTCTTCGGCTTGGTGTAGGTCTTCTTCTTCCTCTTCTTCGCACCTCCACGGAGACGGAGCACGAGATGAAGCGTCGACTCCTTCTGGATGTTGTAGTCGGCGAGCGTGCGGCCGTCTTCCAGCTGCTTCCCGGCGAAAATCAATCGCTGCTGGTCCGGCGGGATTCCTTCCTTGTCTTGGATCTTCGCTTTGACATTGTCGATGGTGTCGGAGGACTCGACCTCGAGGGTTATGGTCTTCCCCGTCAAGGTTTTCACGAAGATCTGCATCGTTGCGGCAAATGCGAAGAAACGGCTGCGGAAAAATGTATCAGAATTGGGATTTTGTAGTTAAGGAGAAGGGAACTTAGGGTTTTGGACTCTGCTGTAGCTCAATTACGTTACTACCCTTTACTGTTTACGAACTAATTGGGTTTAATTTTGGGCTGGGCTTTAAATCTCTTTAGAGGCCCCGTGGCTCACGATAAAAATAAAAAAGAGAAAATGGAGATGCAGGGAATCGAACCCTGTGCCTCTCGCATGCAAAGCGAGCGCTCTACCATATGAGCTACATCCCCGACTGAAAGTCAACGATTCTGAAATTTATTTATACAATTATTAAACGTTTTCAATCGTATTGGTTTGACTGGTGGTCAATATATGATCGTTTTCTCCATCTTGCCTTTTAGCCTGTCCTCTGAGAACCCTAGATCTCTTTCTTCTCTCGCTTCAAATCAATTTCTCAATCCCAATCCCAAATTCAGCAATAGCCATGGATGATAGCTGTGCCGTCTGCGCCGATAACCTCGAATGGGTTGCCTACGGATCCTGTGGCCACCGAGAAGTTTGCTCCACATGCGTCGTTCGTCTCCGTTTCGTCCTCGGCGATCCTCGCTGCTGTATCTGCAAGTCTGAGTCTCCTATCGTCTTCGTCACCAAGGTAATTAGGGATTTCCTCTTATCAATTGCACCTCTGTTGCCTAATGCTATCGCAGCATGCAGCTCTTTCTCATCGGATAGATTCAATTTTGCTAGAACATATCAATTAGAATTGCTTCTGTTAAATTTTCAACTTTTTCTCTCTTAGCTCCTCTCTGTTGAATGCTTATCGTTTTCCCCAAATGAAAACTTTTGCAGGCATTGGGTGATTATACGAGGACGATCAATGACTTCTCGACCTTCCCAACAGCACCAAAGGAAGGCCGAGTGGCTGGAGGATTCTGGTATCATGAAGACACTCAGGCTTTCTTTGATGACTTGGATCAGTACAGGATGATCAAAGCCATGTGTAGACTCTCATGCAGTGCTTGTGACAAGACGGAGGAACAACAACCGAGGGAAGGACCTGGGCCAAGGCATCGTATGCGGATCAAGAGTGTTGAACAGCTGAAAGGTCATTTGTATCATAAGCACAAATTGAATATGTGCAATTTGTGTCTCGAAGGGCGTAAGGTGGGAGCTTCAAAACTTCTTATGTGTATGCTTATTTGCTACTATCTTCTTGACACCTCTGTTTAACACCTCTGTTTCTCTCTTTACATGGACAGATATTCATATGTGAACAAAAGTTGTATACTAGGGCACAGCTGAACCAACATATACACACTGGTGACTCTGAAGTTGATGGAACTGAGAGTGAAAGGGGAGGCTTCGCTGGACATCCGATGTGTGAATTCTGTAGAAATCCATTCTATGGTGATAATGAGTTATATACTCACATGTCTACGGAGCATTACACCTGTCATTTGTGCTCAAGGTAATGGCGATGTATATTTATAAAATCTTAGTTTCGAGAGTTTGTAAACCTGAATGGCTTCACTGACTTTGATAACCTATATAGGTCGCAGCAAGGACAATATGAATATTACAAAAACTATGATGACTTGGAGGTAAGCATTAACTATTTTCATTAGAGGTTAGATTAAATCGTGGCTGCATATGTTCTGATAACACATGTTTTTGCAACAGCTTCACTTCCGCCGAGACCATTGCCTTTGTGAAGACGACTCCTGCCTTGCTAAGAAGTTCATAGTTTTCCAAAACGAATCTGAGTTGAAAGTAAGCACTTTTGCTACAGTTTCCTATTGATCTTTTTTTCATTCTGCTCTTTGGACTTTTGTTAAGTGTTTTTTATTGTTTCAGAGGCATAATGCTATCGAGCATGGAGGTAGAATGTCTCGGGCTCAGCGAAGTGCTGCTTTGCAGGCATGCAACCCCTCTTGCCTTGTGTCTTTTGTAAATATATCTTCCGGTTTGCTTTCTTATGCTTAATATTGTGATTTTGCTCCAGATACCAACTAGTTTTCGATACCGACGAGAAAATAACCTAGAGAATCGTCGTGGAAGAGCTCGATCATTTCGTCGTGAGCCTGGTGATGATGATTATAATCAAGCAGTTCATGCTGCTCTTCGTTTATCTGAGGCTGAGTATTCTCGGCAAGAGCCTGCTCCTGCTCCTCCACCTTCAAGTGCACCGCCACCTGGATTCTCTGAGAACAACAACAGACACATTGATGATGGCGATCCTCTTATTCAACCAATGGAATCCCTATCGACTACCGATATGGAACCCTCATCCCGATATCTTCAAGCTGTAGGCAGCTCCGGTGGTGTTGGTTCACGTCTTGGAGAATCTGCTTTTCCTCCTCTTGCAGCTCAACCAAGATCTGGACAGAATTTGGAGAGTTATCCTACTAACACCTTGGCTGCTCGCCTAAGACGTCAAACAAATCGAACTGCTCCCGTTACTGCTGTTGCTAGTCCTTCTGAAGCATGGCCAGCGGTTAACCGAGGCCCATCACAATCTTCCAGTATAAGTAGCCGTGGCAATCCTTCTTCTGGATGGCCAGCAATAGGTCGCGCACCTGTACAAGCCACCAGTTCTTCAGCCCAATCTAGGACCAATGCCAGAGTTTCCCAGCCGGTTTCACAGTCTGCTCGTAATGCAAACAGGATTCCTCACTCATCCTCAGCCCCTAATCTAGCTGATACAAGATCACTTCAGCCTTCTGATTTTCCTCCAGTTTCCTCTGCTGTGATGCAAAATCACAGGGCACCATCCACCACTACACAGGGATCTTCGAACAGCCAACCGCTTCCTGATGTACAGTCTGCCAACAAGTCATTGATTGAGAAAATGCGATCTGCACTTGGTCACGATGAGGATCTATTCATGACCTTCAAAGATGTATCGGGACAGTATCGTCAAGGTTTGATTGATGCGAGGACTTACTTGGAGTACGTGAAAGGTTATGGGTTATCTCACTTGGTTATTGATCTTGCTAGACTCTGCCCTGACCCTAAAAGGCAGAAGGAGCTCATTGATACCCACAATCAAAGTTTGAAAAACGTTACAAAGGAAAATGGCAAGGTTGCTGCACAAAGCTCGTCTCAATCTCAAGAGAGTCAAGGTTCAAAGAAGAACAAAGGGAAAGCTGTGAAGGTTGCTGATCCAAAAGAAGCATTAGCAGATAACTTCATGGACACAGTGAGGAGATTACAATCCTCACAGAACTTTCAAGAAGAAGATGAAGTGATATCAAAAGATAAGGATGCGTACCGGTCTGACAAAGGCAAATCAACAGTAGCAGGAGCGGATTCTTCTTCAGCCGGAAACAAGCAGCAACGTAAGAAAACATCAAAGTTTCACAGATTACGGCTTGGTGATGGATCAATGGCTGCGTTGCTAGATTTGAACAACTCTAACCATCAGTCTGAACCAGAATCAAAGGATGACAATCAGAATCAAACCGGTGGATTGCCGGTACGTGGTGTTTGGCGTAAAGGAGGTGCACAACTTTTCTCGTAAATTCTGTTTTCTTTCTGACTTGGCCTCTCAAGGAGCGCGAAGAAGGATGAATTTCTTGAAAAAGCTTGTCTGGCCACTCATTTTTTTGTGTTGGTGACAAAGAGAGCATTTTGAGTTAGTGTTTATTAATAGTATGACGGTTTTCTTCTGTTTCTGCTTTTTTCCCCTTCCTCTTCCCTTCTTGCTTTGTTTTTTATTTTGTACTCTTAACGTTCTAATCTTCTTTTTCTTAAAGAGAGGTTATAAACGAAATGAAACCAAACTGTAATAGACAAAATCAAATCTTCTTTTATAAATTGAACAACGGTTTTGCAAATGTATGGATACAAACAGTAATCACATTGTTTTCACTCTTGCTTATTCGAATACAGTTTAATAACTGGCCACTCATTTTTTGTGGCAAAGAGAGAATTTTGAGTTAGTGTTTTATAATAGCAAGACGGTTTCCTTCTGTTTCTACTTTCCTTTTCCCTTCCTCTTCTCAGGGTACGTTAAAGGTTATGGTTTGTCTCACTTAGTTATTGCTCTTGCTAGACTCTGCGAGAGCCAAGGTTCAAAGAAAAACAAAGGTAACGCTGTGAATGTTATTGATCCTAAAGGCGCATTAGCGGATAACTTTATGGACACGGTGAGGAAATTACAATCCTCACAGGATGTTCAAGAAGAAGATGAAGTGATATCAAAAGATAAGAATGCATATCGGTCTGACAAAGGCAAATCACAACTAGCAGGAGCGATGTTCTTCAACAGGAAACAAGCAGCAACGTAAGAAAACATCAAAGTTTCACAGTTTACGACTTGGTGATGGCACATTGCTAGATTTGAACAACTTTAACCATCAGTCTGAACCAGAATCAAATGATGACAATTTGAACAATGATTTGCCAAATGTATGGACAACAAATTATCTTTAATGGATAACAACGAACGTCTTTTATAAATAGAACAACGGTTTTCCAAGTGTATGGATACAAACAGTAATCACATTGTTTTCACTCTTGCTTATTCGAATACAGTTTAATAAGTGGATAACACACCCACAAATAAAATCCAGTCTTGAAAAGATTGATGCCATTTTCAACCGTTGTGTAGATAAACCTGTAACACATTCGAACTTGCCGCAAACTCGTTCCTCACCTTAGTCGCTGCATAACGTGCCCACGCCTTGTGATCTTCATCCACTCCACTCGGCAAATAAAAGTCAAGCCTCTCCATCACAAGACCCCACCGCATCAGATACATCAAAACTTGAAACACGTATGTGTCTCCATTAAAGTTCCGAACTTCAACAACCTTAAGCGTATTCCTCAAACACCCATGGCTGCTTCCATACAACCAAAACGTTGCTGGATCGAATCCAACAGCGGTCGTTGAGGCAGCAGGACCAGGAGGAACAAGCTCGAAAGTGAGTGTGTGTAAATCAGGACAGCTATTAACCATGAACCTGACCCCAACAAAATCATCCTCTTTCACACTCGACCTGATCACCAAATGGTTTGTTTCCATCGCTGCTTGTAACCGAACCGGATCTTCACTGTGCTTGATCGCCTGGATGAGAAACGGACAGACTGTTAACTTCCTTGCCGACAGAAGATCATAAAGGAGACCGCACAGAATCGTTGCTGTCGCTTCATCCTGTTCTGTCTCTTTATCAAACTCCAAATAAACTTCCTCCATGATCCTATTCACTCTCATGAACTGAAAGCAATGGACTGATCCAGTGTACTTGAAGATCTGGATGTTGGGCAAGTCGAGAGTAGAGTACTCCGTAGCGAAGTCACAATTCTGGAAAACCAGTTCTCTCAACGGATTGTGAGTTTCCGTTACCGCTTCCTCCATATCAATGTTCCAGCAGTGATGAAGGCTCAGGCTTTCAAGGAGAGGAGACTTTGACAACAAAGCCATGATCTTTCCGAGTTGGGTCCAACCAAAACAGAGCCTTTTCAACGAACCTTGTAGCGGAAACTTCGATTGATCAAAGCCGCAAGCGAATAGCTTCAACGACTCGAGAGTCGTCGCTTCACTGTAAACGCATTCCGGCAACTGAAACACACTCGCTTCTGCTTCTTCTTGTGCTTCATGAATGGCAGTCCATGAAGGGTCAGAGAAATCGAGAACAAAGTTCTTGACTTTTCTGGAGACGACAAACTCGATCAAGGCTATGATCTCTGTCTCGAAACCCATCGGTTTGGAGAGACAAATCTCAAACGACTCGATGTCTTCGCCGGAAAATGTACAAAGCCATCTCACCATGTGGCGAACGAAAGCAGCCCTTTTGGTTTCCTCATCTCCGGAGACAGAGTTCACGAACTCGGACTCTTTGAAAGAGATGTTGGTGGTTGAACTTGAAGCCATTGTAAGTGATTTTAGGAAGAAGAAGAGGAGCAAGAGAGTAAGTGGAGTTTGCGGTAGGAAGCAGAGAGTATGTTTTCTCTTTTATATACTTGTGAAAGGTTGCGACTTTTTGGTTTTCCTTTTTTTTGGCGGTTTTTGTTATTCTCCTATAACCGCTATTCTTACAACGGTTTAAGGTTTCTTCGTTATCTCTAATCATTTTTGCTACCACTTTTCAAGACTCAGAGCATATACCAAGACCAACTATGAACTGCATTTAAAATTAGGGAGGGTAATTTCGAGTTCTATCCTTGCTCAGAAACAAATCAACAGCGCTGCAAAATAGGCTCAAGCAGAGGTGTTCCACTTGGACAAATCTGGGAAACTATTCTTTGTGTCTTCTCTCTCTCATCATCTTCTTCTTCTTCTTCCTCTCTTCCTCTGTTTTATTTTCCGTCTCTGTTTCCTCGCTTGTATTAAAACTCGTTTAAACTCGTCTTCAAGACCTTTTAACCAAAAAAAAAAAGGGATTCCGTTTGTCGTCATCCAACGGCGTGAAAGAAAAGAACGTTGACTAGGTGTCAAACGTTGACATTTTTAGTCCAAGTTAGAGCACTCGGGAAGAAGTGGGCTCCACCGAAAAACGTTTGATTTCTTCCAAAAATCTCTTCAGATATTTTCCCTGAGATTACGCTTTTCCACAGATCTTCTCGCATTCACTCTTTCGCTTTACTGATCCTCCTTCCTCTCTTTGTGTGCTCTTCTGCTCCGGATCAAGGTAATAAGCGTTCCGATTACTTTTCGGATTCGTTTTCTTCCTGCTTTTTCCCGATTTGAATGCCAGTGGATTTTCTCACAAATCGATTTAACTTCCTGTCGACTGGATTTTTTCCTTTACCATTTCGTATCATTTGATTATAGATTCATGTTGACTTGCCCCTTTAATCTGCTTCGACTTGAGGATTTTGGATCCTAGTTTAGTTTCTGTAGATTCTAAGTCGCATTCATTCACTAAATCTGCTAAGAGAACTCGACGCTTTAGTAGCTATGATAGACGCTTTACGAGTTGGGTGTTTGCTCGAATTTCTGTGTCCTGTGTTCGATTTACGTGGAAGTTTCTATGTATAAATATCTGAATTTCGAATTGTGTGATGTTGAATGAAGTCAGGAACAATGAGCTGTTTCGGCTGTTGCCGTGAAGATGATTTGCTTAGAGCTGCTGATTACGGAGGCCACAATATCACCAAACAATCTGGAGGTAGAAATGAGTTTACTTTGTGTTTCTCTTAATCTTGTTTCTTCATATATATATGTGTGTGTGTGAACTCAAATTGAATTGACTGTAGGGAATGATGGAAGGCGAAATGCCACTGAGACTGCACAGAAAGGAGCTCAAAATGTGAAGGTGCAGCCAATAGAAGTAGCAGCCATTCCCACTGAGGAACTTATCGAAGCAACGGGAGATTTTGGACCAAACTCTCTCATCGGTGAAGGATCTTACGCAAGAGTGTATCACGGTGTGTTAAAGAATGAACAGCCTGCAGCTATCAAAAAGTTGGATTCTAACAAACAGCCTGACAATGAATTCCTTGCCCAGGTTTTGTTTTGTGGATTTATATACACATACTACTTTGTTATCTTTTATGGATTGTTATCATTTTAAATGTGGAATATGAAACTTCAGGTTTCCATGGTTTCGAGGTTGAAGCATGATAACTTTGTTGAGCTGCTTGGTTACTCTGTTGATGGGAATTCGAGGATACTTGTCTTTGAGTATGCCCAAAATGGATCTCTTCATGATATTCTTCATGGTACACTACTTGTTGTTTTTTACTTCCCTTGAGACAGAACGATTTTGTTGTTGGTGTTTTGATAATATAAACTGGATGCTTCCTATTCCTCAGGGAGAAAAGGTGTGAAAGGAGCAAAGCCTGGACCACTCTTGTCGTGGCATCAACGAGTCAAGGTTGCGGTTGGAGCAGCAAGAGGGCTTGAGTACTTGCACGAAAAAGCGAATCCAAATGTCATCCACCGCGACATAAAGTCAAGCAATGTTCTGATTTTTGATGACTACGTAGCTAAAATCGCTGACTTTGATCTTTCAAATCAAGCTCCTGACATGGCTGCGCGGCTTCACTCGACTCGTGTTCTTGGAACCTTTGGTTATCATGCCCCTGAGTAAGTTTCTTGTCTTGTCCAATTCTTCTCCATTGCTCAACGCTCTCACTCACTCTCATAATGCTATCTTTTCTCTTTGAGCAGATATGCAATGACTGGGCAATTGACTGCCAAGAGTGATGTATACAGCTTCGGCGTTGTGTTGCTCGAGCTTCTAACTGGTCGAAAGCCCGTTGATCATACATTGCCTCGAGGCCAGCAAAGTTTGGTCACTTGGGTAAGTAATATTCATCTCTTTTTTCAAACAATCTCGCTTCATTATCTTTACAAATATCTTACTAAACAATCAAAACTCTGCTTTTCGATCACTTAGGCTACACCAAAGCTAAGCGAAGACAAAGTAAAGCAGTGTGTTGATTCAAGACTCGGAGGAGATTACCCTCCAAAAGCTGTTGCTAAGGTATAATAAACCAAAACCAGTCTTTATCTAATTAATGATTATTAGAACACAAGAGGAGATTCATATGTTGTAAGTTTGTTTAAACGACTCTTTGTTGTTGATAATACAGTTAGCTGCTGTGGCTGCATTGTGTGTACAATACGAAGCTGATTTCAGACCAAACATGAGCATTGTCGTCAAGGCTCTTCAACCACTTTTGAATGCTCGGGCCGGACCTGCCGGAGAAGGAGCACCTTAGTGTTTAACTCTTCTTGGCCGTCACCGTTTAAGAATGTATTATTTTATACCGGAAAATTAATTTCCCTTTCCCATCAAGTCATCAACATAGTGTTCATAGAATTACAACTCATAATCCTAATGATTTGACCACCTGTTTAGTTTTTGAATCTTAAACAAGTCGGAGTGATTGAAAATAAATTAAAATAAACGAACCTTAAACCACGTTTTACTATTTATTTTTATTTATGTTTTTGTCTTTTCACTAGTAAAATAAGTAAAATTTCCAAAATACGTTCTAAATCGGACGACTGATTTATGAACACTTTCAAACAAATAACCGGAAACCCTAGGGACTCGTTACTTCTCTTGTGTCCCAAACAACATTGAGATCAGTTATGGTGATGAGAAAGCTAGAGCTACCATTGAGCCAGACGCAGAAGGTCAGGTTCCAGACAGCTATAGAGCGGCTACAGTCTCCGGCAGAGTCTGTTATCGTCGCCGATTCCATTCCCGTCTACAACGAAGATGCCTTGCTTAACTAATCTCCTTCTCCCAGCTTCTCTCTCTTTAAACTTTTTTTTGCTTTAGTCATGTTTGATCAAAACTTGTTTTGAATAAAGGGGACACGGAACTTCTGAGGTCGACGATGAGTTGCTAGCTACTGTCTGTGGAGTTGTGGTGCGCGTCGACAAGCTCGTCTATGTACGCACCTTGCGAGCCAGGTGGTTTGATTTTTCTCTCTGGCTGCTCTTAAAATTCTTTCATATGATTTTTGAACAATTTTAACTTGGAACAATAATCTGCTTGTTTAGGTACAAGCCTCAAGTTGGGGATATTGTGGTAGGCCGTGTCATTGAGGTATGTAGAGTTTTGTAGTGTGTGTTTTAGGTTTTAAAATCAGTTAATTTGAGAGAGATTAGTAATCTTAAAATCCTACTTATTGACCAGGTTGCTCAAACACGCTGGAGAGTGGATCTCAACTTTACTCAAGATTCTTTCATAAATATGCATGATGATAATGTTCAGGTTACAACTTGATTCCCCTAACTCTTTTTGTATTTTTCAAATTTGCATGATGTTGCTTGCTTCCATAATATAACTTTTGATATCGGTGTTGGCATGCAGAAACGAAGAACCTCTGTGGATGAACTCAATATGCGGAATATATTTGCAGAAGATGATGTCGTTTGTGTAAGTCCTGTCTCCTGTGATTGATTAATATATTGTTCCATGTTTAAATATCTTCATCTTTGAACACACCTAATATTTGATTTGTACAAAAAATAGGCCGAAGTAGGCGAGTTTCATAAGGATGGAAGCTTGATTCTACGAGTTAGAAGTCAGAAGCATGGCAAGGTTTGGGATTCTTATCTTTGCACATATATATTATTTGTTAGTCTCTTCCTCTAAACATTATCCTTCTTCTACAGCTCGACAAGGGACAACTTCTGAAGGTTGATCCTTACTTGGTTAAGAGAATCAAACCTCAGTTTCATTACATTGAAAGTCTTGGGATAGATTTGATTCTCGGCTGCAATGGCTTCATTTGGGTCGGGGAACACGGCCACGTCAGAGATCCTATGACCAAGAACACAAGAAAAGAACAAAGCCATACTCCACTCGAGACTCGACAAACCATATGCAGGATCGGGAATGCCATACAAGTCTTGTCTAACCTAGGCTTCACCATGACTCTAGAAGTGATCATGGAAACTTTTAAGTTAAGCAACACGAGAAATATCGATATACACGACATGCTTGGATCAGAGTTTCACGTTTTGGTCACAGAGAACGAAGCTGAAAGAAGACATGGATAGAGGAAACAAAGTAAAAGCCCCCATCAAAGTTTTTTGTTCTGACTCAGCTTATATAAAACTCGAATTCCAAATTCTAACGTAACGATATATAAGATGGATAGGTTTCTTTGATATGAGAGAATTCGTGGATACTTGTCTTCTATAACCCCAGAAGATACATTGAGACACAAAAAAAAGACTACATTTATGCGTATTATCACTCCACGGATATTTCTCATAAGAAAATGACTACATCAATGTATACTTTTCTAAACAACATTAACAATTCGTTCGAGAAATATCTCAGTTGTAAACAACAGTAGTATTGTTCCACAGAATACTACTACTCACCAACTTACCAAGATGTCGACAAACAGAAATATCTTATAAGTATTGTTCCACAGAATACTACTACTAATTACCAACAGTAGTATTGTTATATTATTTGTTTAAGATGCTTTAGCCCAACATCAACTTTTCTTCCATCCAACAACATTCAATAGAAGTTTATCGGCCAATTTGTTTCTAATTTCATTTACGTGAATATATATATTGCTTTTCTTGGGTTTGTACTGTTCATTGATTTTCTTCTATTTTTCAAACATAACATCACTAGTAAAACTATAGTAAAAGATAGAAATTAGTTCATTGGTTTTAGACTAATTTCTATCTTAGATGTTGGTGTTTTATTTCTTCTATGTTGGTGTCTTGTGAAATACATTAAACTGTTAACTATAGGGCAAAAACAAAAAAGGACATTGTCTTTGTCTCCTTGACACCTACCTTGTGGAAAATTTGGATGGGCAGTGACTGAGGAAGTTAGGACGTAAACATCGTGACGATTGGAAGACAACAGGAAAGCGGAAGGAAGTTTCTTCGTGGAAAACGAAAACGCCAAGTCTTTCGTCGACGACTAAGTCAACGTGTCAAATAAGAAACGGACTGAAATGAGACGTTTGCACTATAATTTCCACAACCACACCACTACTCACTCAATTACTGCCAACAAGCAATAACCACGACTCCACCAATCAAAACGCTTCATCATCCCATTCCCGAAACTACCCTTCCTTTAGAGTGCCACGACGAATCGTCGCGACTTTAAGGGCAAAACCGTCAATCACAGTCGCTTTCATGATTAGCGGGGAATATATATAAAGGGAAGAGAAAAAGGTTTATTGGTGAATCATAATAATTCAATGTCTTTTAACACTATAGAAGCGGCGATGAACACGGCGGGCGAAGTAGATTTTGTGGCGGCGGAGATGGCTGAGCCGCAGTACGTTAACGCGAAGACGGCGGTGTGGTGGGACATAGAGAATTGCCAGGTCCCCAAGGGTGTCGACGCTCATGGAATTGCGCAGAACATTAGTTCGGCCCTTAAAAAACTGAACTATCGTGGCACGGTCTCAATCTCCGCCTTCGGCGACACCAATCGTATCCCTCTTGCCATCCAACAAGCCCTCAATTCCACCGGAATCGCCCTCAATCACGTCCCCGCCGGTGAGTTTCCCGTAAACTCTCTCTCTGTCACTTAAGTGTGTAATTGCGATTTTTACTATATCTTCCTCTTTGCGTCTCTTTTCATCGCTTGGATTGCAATTCTGAATCGAAATTACTTGTTAGGGTTTTCGACTGTTTTGATTTTGGTACGAGTAGCTTAAAAGTGTTTCCTTGTTCGTTTTGCTAGGAGCGAAAGATGCGAGTGACAAGAAGATTTTAGTGAACATGTTTTGCTGGGCACTGGACAATGCTGCACCTGCAAACTTCATGCTAATCTCCGGTGACAGAGACTTCTCCGACGCTCTTCACCAGTTGAGACTGAGAGGTTACAATGTTCTCTTAGCTCAGCCTCGCAAGGCATCGGTGCCGCTAGTTCACGCCGCAAGAACAGTGTGGCTATGGACAAGCCTATCAGCCGGAGGAAACCCTCTCTCACGAACTGAAAGCTTAAAGCTTATTGCCAATTGTGAACCATCAAGCCAACCTCTGGAGTCGAATACTGACACGAGAAGGATTCTTGATAACAAGTTCAAGGTCAAATACGTTCCAAAACCGTCGAATCACCAGCCTGCAGCCGCACAAAAGGTTCAAGAAACCAAGCCTAACAATAGCTACCAATACCGTCCGCAGCAGAACAGTCAAGTGAAGGTGATTAAGAAACCTCATGAGTTTTTCACAAGCAATGAGCCATCATCTGCTTCCTCTGCTCCCATTTTACCTTCAAACAATGTCAACAACTCTTTCCCTGGTAACGTGATGAGTAATCCTCAGAGTCAGTACAACAACTATCCTCCTAGACCTGAACCACCTGGTCCATATCCTCCTAGTCAACCTTACCCTAACCCTGATCCTTCTTGGAATAATAATGGAAGTAACATCCCAAACCATGCGCCGCAGAACTATTACCAGGTGCCGCCTTATGGTAATGGTAATGGTTACCATCCTCCTATTGGTAATGGTTTCCGTCCTAGGTTTCCCCCGACTCCACCTCTCATGGCTGCACCTGATATCAGCAATCTAAACGTGTCTCAGTACTCGAATCAAACTCAGAATCGTCCTAGTTTCAATCCTCAAGTTAGACAAGAGTTTAGACCAAAGACGGAGTCTTCATATCCTCCTAGCTTAAACGGCGCTCCAAATAAAGTTTATTTTCCACGGAGTAGTAGTGCAACCACAGGCTCTTCTACTCCTAGAGTTTCACTTTCACCTTCTCAGCCTCCAGTGGCTAGTACTGGAACTGGTTCCAGCAATGGGTGGGGAACACAAGAGTGTCCACCACCATCGGAGTATGTTCAAGGACTTATAGGCGTTGTCTTGCATGCTCTAAACATCTTGAAAACCGAAAAAGTTATGCCTACCGAGCCAAATATCTCGGAATGCATTCATTATGGAGATCCAAAGCATCGTGGTACCGATGTAAAGAAAGCTTTGGACAGCGCAGTGGAGCATCGTATGATCATGGTGAATTATATGGGTAAAGTAAAGTTCTACATTGGCAAAGATGAAAATCTATGGAACTGTGTTAATCCTTCAGGGACTAACGCTAAGCAATACCCAAAAGCAACTTGGGATAAGTTACAACAGTTTCTAGCATCGCCTTCTGGGCGGGTGGCGATTATGGCAGCTAATTGCAGGTCAGAAAGTTTGCTTATTTGAAGAAACTATGGAGTTTCATTATTTATGTGAATTATTCTTAACTTGTTTACTCTTGTTTGGATCTAATATTATAGGTATGAAGCTGCACAAAATCTGAAAAGGGAATGCCTAAAAGAGTATAGTTTAGGTGACGTAATTCAGATCTTGAATATAACAGCAACCACAAAGAAATGGATTGCTCATCATCAAACAGGATGGAAACCAGTTAATATCAACCTTGCTGCAGAGACTACAGACATGAAAGCTACTGAAAAAGCTACTGAAACCAACCTTGCTGCAGAGATTACAGATATGAAGGCTACTGAAAAAGCTACTGAAACCGTGACAGGTATCGAAACTGTTGCCTGAAATTCCATGAAATAGTGAAGGATGGTAGTAGCCATAAACATGGGTACACCTTTGAATACCAAACACAGAGCACTAAGACATGGAAAATAGTGTTTTCCATATCGAAAACATCTAAAACTGCAGAATTGCTATGATTCTGAAGTCTTGATTACTAGTTACCTTAGTAGTAGTAGTAGCACGTTTTCTTTTTTTTTTTCATTTTACTTTCAGCACAAGTGATTCGAGGCTAGATATTTGGGGGTGGTTAAGGTTTGGGGACCTATTGGTTATGTATTAGTACATGGTTGGGTTCATAGAAATCTTAGTGGTGTTGCCATCAAAAAGAAGATTTGCTAAATTTCACATCATCTGGAGGATAAACAAGTTTGTGGGAGAAGAAACGTTGGTTGGGGAATCTCTGCATCACCAAAGTTTCTGAAATCTGCATCACTTTAGTTTCATCTCTCTCTCTCTTTTTTTTTTAAAGTTTCTAGTGTCTTATTCTGACCCATGAAACTTCCTTTTCTTAAAAGCCTATTACGTTTATGTATGAAATTTCTACTGGTACGTTTTAGCTTTTTAATGTCAGCGTACTTTTTCTTAAAAGCCTTTTTACGTTTGTGTGAATCAAGAAATATTTTCACCTCTTTATATTTTCAAAAATAAGTAAAGGAGCTGCTTGGTCAACTCTTTAAATTTCTCTAAAGAGTAAGCAAAGGCATTGGGATAACGTTAGTAGAATAAAACTAAAAAAAGCAACACACTTATTCAATGATTGAAGATGTTAAAAGTTTTGAGACTCTGAATCAAGGAAGGAAAGGATTGTGAGACGGGAACGTCTGTTTTTGCATATTATATGCCCTGCAAATGCCAAAAAACAACAAACACCAATGAGATTATTAATTAAGAAATCACTAGTACTTTCAATTTTACAGTATAGATAAGCCGAGTGAAATGTAAATACATGTGGAGAAGCGGACCTGTTAGCTTTGACTCCACCAAGGCCGATGGTTCCAAGGACGATCAAAAGGAAAGGTGCACCGATCAACCACGCGTTACCTCTTTTGGCATATGCATATGTCCGTGGGACTCCAGTCTTGACCACCCTCGAATACACACCTTATCACACAAATTGAGAATCTCATCAATGTCCACGCTTATCGTTTTAAAACAAACTCAGTGTTGTTGAGTCCTTTATTGTTTACCTGCTCTGGAATATCGTTGACCTTTAACATCACCTGCAAAGAGAGACCAATGTCGAACTTTATTACCAACGACAAAGTTTTACAATGATGGATGTGTACTGCTACATTCTATAGAAACAGAGTATGTGTGTCCTGTTCGGCAAACTTTGGAAACCCCAAATGAGCTAGAATTGGTCTCTTTCTCTATTCTTCCAACAACAATAGCTCCATCGACACAATCTGCGATATCAATAGCAAAACTATTGCAACTCTCTAGGAACAAAAGAAACACCGAGGCTTTGCTTAAAAGTTAAAGGCGCACAATGTTCGTTGAACTACCTGGATTTAGTTGCTTAGCCAGTGGTCTGAAATTTCCCGGTCAACATTCATCAGGAAACCTGATTTCACGCCCATATGAAGATACTAGCTCATTTGGGTATTTGCAGACACCATGATTCTCATATAAACTGGTTAAGACTTTAGCCAAGGAAAGGTGTAATTTACCAGATTCAAGGCAAGAGTAAGCCTCAGATATCTGCAACATATTGAAAACTAAACTTTTGAATTTGCTTGGAATGTTAAATCGAAATACGAAGAAACTCGTCACTCACCGATTTGAACTTAGACTCTGCTTTGATCTTCTGATCATCTGGAAATAGGTCAGGATGTGACTCCCATACTTTCTTCCGGTAAGCTGCTTTAACCTACCCAATCAAAAATCCAAACTCAATTCAGCTAAAATTCAACCATGCGATCACCGAATCAAACGATCTAAGCCAAAACCCTATTTATCGAATTCAGTGATCGAAAATTCCCATAGAAGCTCACAAATCAAAGATTCGAAATGATAAATTTGAATAACCTGAGAAGGATCGGGACGAGAATTGGGAGGAAAACCGAGCAAGATCTTGGCTTCCTCCACCTGCATTTTCTAAAAGCTTCCCGCGTCTACGTTTTTCGTTTCATTCTCTGGGTCGGTCGAATCATACGATACAGTACACCATCATTTTTCGCTTGAGGCTTTAACCTGGACACGTGTCAATCTCACGACCACTAGTGTCTTGTGGGCCCATATTCATGTCTTGCGGGCCATAATCCATATTTAAATTCGAAATGTGTGCAGATGATAGACCCAACAAAATAAAATATGGTTGCATAATATGTCGTTTTAAATAACAAAAAAAAGTACTTTCACTCAGTTAAAAGTTAAAACTTAAAACGGGACATTTACACTAAAACTAAAAAATAGCAAAAATAGTAATTCGAAACCATAACTGTTTAACCTGAAATAAACCCGTAAATCACTCGCTACCGTGTTTATATTTAAAAGAAAATTAATTAGCTAGAAAATGAAAAGATCGAGTATCTACCAAATATAGACAAACTATAAATATGAACATGACAATTGACATGCATCTATCTCTCCTCTATAACTAATCTCTCTTCTTCCTCCGAATCCGTTCCTTTCCGATCCTTTTTCCCTCTCCGTTCATACGAATCACAATCATGCACAGTCCAATCAAACTAGCCTTCCTCTTCTTATCCCTCACCGCAATCGCAACCGCTATTCCAGTCAAACGCACCAACTACCTCTTCACAACGCACGCGAAAGCAGTCTCGGGAATATGCACCGTGATCCAATCAAACACGAGCCTATGCTGCAAAACCCTTAAACACGTTCCCACCGATGACCCCATCGAGCTTATCCGAGCGTTAGCGGCTGCGGCTGAAACCTCCGTCAAATCTAGCGTCACGTTCCTCTCCCAAATCAAACCAAAACACAAATCAAACGCAGTCGCAACCGCCGCGGTCGACAGCTGCGAGAAAAACCTCAACTACGCGTTGGAAGATTTCGCCGATTTTTGGAAAGCTACGGGAAAAGATGTGAACACGTTGGCACACAACTATTTCGTGTGCAAGAAGACGTTGATGTCGATCATGGGGTACCATTCGACATGTTTGGACGATATTGAAGATAAGGGTTTGTTGAAGGAAGTGGAGCTTGGGATTGGTGTTGGGAAGAACCTAAGCAGTGATTCGTTTGATGTGTTTAATGGTTTGAATACTATTTTCAAGACTTTCGGTATTAAGGTGAAGCTTAACGGAGAAGACACATCGCCACGACCGCCACCATTGTCGGATTATTATTTCTGATCTTAAGGAATATTTGGATTGTCATATTTAATTTAACCTAAAGCGATCGCGAGTGGATTAATCATAGATGGGTTCTGTCATGTATGATTTGTGCGTCATTTGTGATGTAATGCATGTTATTAGGTTTTTACATGTACGGACGGATTTCGTGATGATTGGAAAGGATATTTATTAATATATATTAATGGAATGTAAGATTTTTTTGTGGTCTATTACATGTTTACAGGTCGTCATATTAAATTTTCATATTCTATAAATGATGATTCAACGTCCATAACAACATGCAGACGTGTTATCAATTTCACTAATCACTATATATATTGCGTTTATGGGAAACTTTTGAATCAAAGATCTGAAAATCCGTAATTTCTTGATCAATTACTCGATAAAAAACGCTTACATATACAGTTCATCGAGATATCATATATACATATTTACTCCTCGGTTTTATAATTAGCACCTATCACACCATATATAATGTTGAAATAATTGATACGTGTTTATCTTACATTCCTAATTTTGCTTCCATGTACAAATATGTTAATGTTATATACAGTACGAGTGTAATGACGACAGTGTACTAATTACAAATAGCTCAATTGATTGACAGTTCATAACTGGGAGAGTCTGAATCATATCTCTAATTAAATTTGAGTACCTTCTATAAGAAGATGATCTCGGATTTCAATTGTACAATCCCTTGAAGAGACACGCGTTCCTATATTTATATATTTAACGTACGTAATCTCATGTCCACCTATAGAAATGTGCATGAATCAAAAATATATCATCTATATTTGATAAATCAAAAATATTCAGTATCATCTATATTTGATACAGATACGGTCACAGAGGACAATTTTTCAACTAGAACTAGCTAAACTTATGGACGAATTTTCCGAAATTAATCATTTGTACTTAATAATCATCGAATCCTACAATTAAAAAAAAAATAGGATTAGAGGATATAAATAAACTAGTTACTACCACAAACTTTTTTTCATCTCTAATTTACTTTCTATTTTTAGGAATCGAACGTAAATTGACATAATCAAATCATCTTGTGGTGACAAAATTTTAATCTGATATAGCCAATATTTTTACTATATTTTTTTTAGCCATTCAACGACCTAAAATCTCTCCCTCTATGCAAAAATGTGTAGCCTAACTTTAGAAACTACAACTCCTATAAGAATCTCTTCTCAATGCACAATAATCTTCACCAGCCTGCCTCATTAATAAGCCAACAGGCTCTGTTGTAATAAAAATCCCCTCCCTCTCCTAATAACCTCCCGAATAAAACCGGAGGGAGAGATTAAACAAAAAAATACAAAATATCCAAAAAAACGAAAAAGGGGAAAAATACATAAAAACCAAAAAAAGTATGGCGGTAGGAAAAATCGTTGTTTCCGTGGCTTCCGTCCTTCTAGTGGTGGGTGTTGCCATAGGAGTTGTCACCTATGTTAATAGAGGCGGCAGCGGCAGTGGCGGCGGCGGCGACGGCAATGCTCCTTTGAACTCTCATCAGAAAGCGGTCCAGTCGATTTGTCAGACAACCACAGACAAAGGCTCATGCGCCAAAACGCTAGAGCCCGTCAAGAGTGACGATCCACAGAAGCTTATCAAGGCCTTTTTGGTGGCTACAAAAGACGCGATCACAAAATCCTCAAACTTCACGGCTTCGACCGAAGGAGGCATGGGGAAAAACATTAACGCCACCAACAAAGCCGTTCTTGATTACTGCAAGAGAGTGTTGACCTACGCTCTTGAGGATCTTGAGACCATTGTTGAAGAAATGGGTGCAGATCTCCAGCAGAGCGGAAGTAAGCTTGACCAGCTTAAGCAATGGTTAACCGGAGTTTTCAACTACCAAACCGATTGTCTTGACGACATCGAGGAAGTGGAACTAAAGAAAATCATGGGTGAAGGAATCGCCAACTCCAAGATTCTCACTAGTAACGCTATCGATATCTTCCACACCGTTGTTACCGCCATGTCCCAAATGGGCGTCAAGGTCGACGACATGAAGAACCTGGCCGGAGGAGCTCCCGCAGCTCCGGGATCTCCTGCTCGTCGTCTTCTTGAAGACAGCGACTCCAAGGGACTACCCAAATGGTTTTCTGGCAAAGACAGGAAGCTTATGGCTAAGGCCGGACGCGCCGACGCCGCTCCAGCTGGGGGTGCACCTGGTGATGATGGTATCGGTGAAGGCGGCGGTGGTGGCGGTAAGATCAAGGCGACTCATGTGGTTGCTAAGGACGGAAGTGGACAGTTTAAGACCGTTTCCGAGGCTGTTGCCGCTTGCCCAGAGAAAAACCCTGGACGTTGCATCATCCATATCAAGGCTGGTATCTACAATGAGCAAGTCAGTATCCCTAAGAAGAAGAACAACATTTTCATGTTTGGTGATGGTGCTACCAAAACCATCATTACCTTTAACAGAAGTGTTAAGCTCAGCCCTGGAACCACTACTTCACTCAGTGGCACCGTTCGTAAGTCCCATTTTTAAACCTTTCTATAAATAGTAATTGTACATTTCTATAAATAACTTTATATACACGTGTGCATGCAGAGGTTGAATCTGAGGGATTCATGGCGAAATGGATCGGGTTTAAGAACACTGCTGGTCCATTGGGACACCAAGCGGTCGCACTCCGTGTGAACGGAGACCGTGCGGTTATATTCAACTGCAGATTTGACGGTTACCAAGACACACTCTACGTCAACAACGGACGTCAGTTCTACAGGAACATTGTTGTATCCGGTACAGTCGATTTCATCTTCGGAAAATCCGCCACCGTCATCCAAAACTCGCTAATCCTCGTCCGAAAGGGAAGCCCCGGACAGTCCAACTACGTTACAGCCGACGGTAACGAGAAGGGTGCAAATGTCAAGATCGGTATCGTTCTCCACAACTGCCGTATCCAACCGGACAAGGACCTCGAAGCTGAGAAGCTAACCATCAAATCCTACCTAGGAAGGCCGTGGAAGCCATATGCCACCACCGTGGTTATCGGAACTGAGATTGGCGATTTGATCAAACCAGAAGGATGGACCGAATGGCAAGGAGAACCAAACCACAAGAATGCTAGGTACATTGAGTTCAACAACCGTGGACCAGGAGCCAACACAGCTAACAGGGTTCCCTGGGCTAAGGTGGCTAAGTCTGCGGCTGAGGTTGAAGGTTTCACCGTCGCTAACTGGGTCGGTCCGGCTAACTGGATTCAAGAAGCCAACGTACCTGTCCAGCTTGGATTGTAAGAAAACAAACACACACACAACAAAAAAAAACTAACGAATAAAACAGTATGTGAGATAATGTAAGGTAACGATACAACGTCGTCTCTGGGATCAGGGCTCTTTTTGGGTATTACTATACAACATAGGGTTCTAGACAGTTTGAGATGAAGTCTGTGTAAGATTACTTTTGTTTCACATGCAAAAGAGAAAAAAAAATTAATTTGTTTCATTTTAATATTTTTTCTTATTCGAGTCTCTTTAAAGAATGAGTTTTCTTTTTTTTACTACTTTGCGGTGTGAGATTTATATCCTTATCATTTTCTGTCTTTACAACTACAGTAACAAATCATTCTTGGAGAGAAAATACAAAAAATGTTTGAAAAAGAGAATATTGCAATTAGACGTACTATGAAAAATGATAAAAAATCTACCAGTTTTCATAAGTTCAAAAATTTTAATGGCTACTTTTCTATTTTTTCAATCTTTCAATTATAATGCCATGGCCCGGGAAATAAAGAAAATGCCATTCAAGTTGCGCATAAAATAAAAATAAAAAATTGATATTTTTGTCTGCTTATGATATGAATAGTATTATACAACGTACAATGCGGCTAATGGAAAATGGTTTATATTGTATGAACACAGAAACGTAAATTTGAAAGAAAAATCGTATGTAAGACCTTTCTTGTGTTTTTATATTGTCTTTGTTAGAAGCTTCCTCTGCTTTTGGTCGTAATAAGACTTATCCACGGAAAAGAAGAGCAAGAGACCAGACCACTTGGCAATGGCGTCTGTATTAAACAAGGTCGTTTTTGACGACTCTAGTCTTTGTTTCTCGAAGTAGGTCCCACGCTCCTCTTCAATCAATTCTCATTGACATCGACCTAGACTTATACATGTGGAACCATACGAGTTCTTGAAAATGAAATCCACTGCTTTTTCTTCAAGTAACGAATATTAGTATATATTCAACCCTGCCCTGACTTTGATTCCATTGCCATTTTAACACATAACAAAAAAGGCTCTGTTTTTCAGGTACTTGCTACTCTGTTTTGTTGTTTTAAGTTCTTTTTTTTTCAAATAGATCTTAAAGTCTTTATATTTTAGCACAGTTCCCTCGTTGATAGTGAGCACTAATCTGGAGATCCTTAGCTTTAGTATTCTTAATAATAGGCGTTGTTTTGATCTTGAAAACAGGAACAAAAGACGATGGATAGTGTAATAGAAACAGAGGATGGATTGAAAAGGGAATTACTAAACAGAGCAGAAGCAGATGCCTCAAACTCTAAAACAGAGAAGAAGAAAGAAGAGGAAGATGACAAGACGAAAACGGTGCCGTTTCACAAGCTGTTTGCCTTTGCAGATTCCTTTGACATCCTGTTGATGATCCTGGGGACAATTGGCGCCGTGTGTAACGGTCTTGGTTTGCCTATCATGACGATCCTCTTCGGAGACGTCATAGACGTGTTCGGACAAAACCAAAACAGTTCAGGTGTCTCTGATAAGAACAACGGTCTTGGTTTCCCTATCATGACGATCCTCTTCGGAGATACCACAGACGTGTTCGGACAAAACCAAAACAGTTCAGCTGTTTCTGATAAGATCGGCAAGGTAAAAACTCTTTTTTACCTAATTTGTTGTTTACTCAGCAAAACACAATGATTGATCTTTAAAACATTTTCACTCACAGGTGGCTCTCAAGTTTATTTACCTTGGACTTGGAACTCTAGTAGCAGCTCTTCTCCGTAAGAGACTTCTTTTCTCAAATCTTAAGTGGCTTTTAGTGTAAAATGAAATATTTGATCTTTATGGATGCTTTTACTTTTTATTATACATAAACAGAGGTTTCTGGTTGGATGATATCTGGAGAGAGACAAGCAGCAAGAATTAGGAGTCTGTATCTGAAAACCATATTGAGACAGGACATTGCCTTCTTCGACGTTGAAACCAACACAGGAGAAGTTGTTGGTAGAATGTCAGGTGACACTGTTCTTATACAAGACGCCATGGGAGAGAAGGTAAAAGAGCGTTTCAATGTTTTTTGTTGTATTTGATTCAAAGTTTCAAACTTTTTTGAGAGACTGACTTTAAAGTTTATTGATTGCAGGTTGGGAAGGCAATACAATTGACAACGACGTTTGTTGCTGGATTTGTGATAGCTTTCATGGAAGGATGGCTTCTGACATTAGTCATGATAGCTTCAATTCCACTGCTAGTAATGTCTGGTGCAGCTGTCGCTATCGTCGTTTCGAAAATGGCTTCTCGCGGACAAACCTCTTACGCGAAAGCTGCGGTTGTAGTTGAGCAAACAGTTGGATCTATAAGAACGGTTGCATCGTTTACAGGAGAGGAACAAGCGATAAGCAGTTACAATAGGCATCTTGTCTCTGCTTACAGAGCAGGTGTGTTTGAAGGAGCTTCCACAGGGTTTGGTCTCGGTACACTCAACATAACCATCTTCTGCACCTTTGCGTTAGCGGTTTGGTATGGTGGGGAGATGGTATTGGAGAAAGGGTACACAGGAGGACAAGTTCTCATCATCATTTTCTCCGTTATACCCGGATCCATGTGAGAAGAGCTTTGATCAACTTTTTTGATCATGCTTATAAACTTGTAATCTCATTTTGATTTTCTTGTTAATTTCAGGTTGTTAGGACAGGTATCTCCTTGCTTAAGCGCGTTTGCAGCTGGTCAAGCCGCGGCATACAAAATGTTCGAGACCATCAAAAGAAAACCGGAGATTGATGCTTCCGATACAGAAGGGAAAGTTCTTGATGATATTCGAGGTGAGGTAGAGCTTAAAGATGTGAACTTTAGCTACCCGGCAAGACCGGAAGAGCAGATCTTTCGAGGGTTTTCGCTCTCTATCTCGAGTGGCTCGACAGTGGCTTTGGTTGGGCAGAGCGGAAGTGGGAAGTCTACAGTTGTGAGTCTGATAGAGAGGTTCTATGATCCACAAAGCGGCGAAGTAAGAATAGATGGGATTAACTTAAAGGAGTTTCAGCTGAAATGGATCAGAAGCAAGATTGGACTTGTGAGTCAAGAACCTGTTCTGTTCACTTCAAGCATCAAAGAAAACATCGCGTATGGTAAAGAAGACGCCACGATCGAAGAGATTCGTAAGGCTACAGAGCTCGCAAACGCATCTAAATTCATCGATAAGCTTCCTCAGGTTTGAGATTTATTCATTTATCCTCTGTTTTCATGTAGCTTTTATCACCTCTCCTCTGTTTTGTCTCTGTTTTTCATTTTCATGAAGCTTGTAGTACAAGTAACCGAATTAACTGTAATTTTTCAGGGCTTAGACACGATGGTTGGAGAGCACGGAACTCAGCTTTCCGGTGGTCAGAAACAGAGGATCGCTGTAGCTAGAGCGATTCTGAAAAATCCAAGAATCTTGCTTTTAGATGAAGCGACGAGTGCACTTGATGCAGAGTCTGAAAGAGTTGTTCAGGAAGCTCTTGACAGGATCATGGTTAACAGAACAACTGTCGTCGTCGCTCACAGATTGAGCACCGTGAGAAACGCAGACATGATTGCTGTGATTCATCAAGGAAACATCGTAGAGAAAGGTAAAAACTCAAAATTCTCAGTCACAAGAATCTCTGTTTGATATAGATAATCAGTGCTGATTATAAAATGTATGATCAGGTTCTCACTCTGAGCTCCGAAGAGACCCCGAAGGAGCGTATTCTCAGCTCATACGTCTACAAGACCCCGAAGACTCAACGGATGAACAGAAGATATCAACAGAGTCCATGAAGAAGATATCATCGCTAAGCAAAAGATCATCCTCTTTCACAAACAAGGAAGCAAAAGCAGAGCAAGGTGAAGCTTCTACTTGGATTAAAGAAGAAGAAACCAAACAGCACAAGAAAGTGTCGTTGATGAGAGTAGCTGCTCTAAACAAGCCAGAGATTCCAATGCTTATACTCGGATCTATAGCCGCGGTCTTAAACGGAGTCATACTTCCGATCTCCGGGATTCTGTTCTCAAGCGTGATCAAAGCGTATTTCAAACCACCAGAGGAGTTAAAATCCGACACAAGGTTTTGGGCGATCATCTTCATTCTTCTCGGTGTAGCTTCATTGGTGGTCTCTCCGGCACAAACCATCTTCTTCTCCATAGCCGGATGTAAACTGGTGAAGCGGATAAGATCAATGTGTTTTGAGAAAGTGGTTCGTATGGAAGTTGCATGGTTCGATGAGACAGAGAACTCAAGCGGTGCTATTGGAGCTAGGCTCTCTGCTGATGCTGCTACGGTCCGTGGTCTAGTTGGTGACGCATTGGCTCTAACGGTTCAGAATATTGCGTCTGTGACCGCAGGTGTGGTCATCGCGTTTGTGGCTAGCTGGCAGTTGGCTCTCATTCTTCTCGCGATGCTACCGCTAATCGGGCTTACCGGTTATGTAGTCATGGTTGGCGTCAATGCAGATTCAAAGGTAAGAACAAAACTATAAACAGTCTTTGATAAAATTTGTTTTTTGTCTGATGAAACGGATCAACTGTTGGCAGAGAATGTATGAGGAAGCGAGCCAAGTAGCGAACGATGCGGTGGGGAGCATAAGAACAGTTGCTTCATTCTGTGCAGAGGAGAAAGTGATGAAAATGTATAAGACAAGATGTGAAGGTCCTTTGAAAACAGGAATACGTCAAGGCATAGTTAGTGGTATTGGTTTTGGAGTTTCTTCCTTTGTCCTCTTTGCTTCTTACGCCGCCAGTTTCTATGCCGGTGCAAGGCTTGTCGATGACGGCAAAACAACCTTCGACTCTGTTTTCAGGGTAAGAAAAATCAACAAGATTCTTGGTTTTTGTATGTCCCCTTGTTCTAAAGGCTGTTTTGTTTTTGTTTTGCATCAAAACAGGTTTTCTTTGGTTTGACAATGGCGGCTGTAGCTATTTCTCTGTCAAGTTCGATGTCTCCTGATTCGAGCAAAGCTAGCAATGCGGCTGCATCCATCTTTGCGGTTATAGACAGAGAATCCAAGATTGATCCGAGTGATGAGTCTGGTCGAGTTCTTGATAATGTCAAAGGAGATATTGAGCTTCGTCACATCAGTTTCAAATACCCTTCAAGACCAGATGTTCAGATCTTCCAGGATCTTTGTCTCTCTATTCGTGCCGGAAAGGTTTGACCTTGATCTTGAAACATTTTTTCACTGTGTAAACCAAACATTTCAGTTATACGTATTCGGTTTAGCTCGGTTCAACTATAATCTGAATTCTGTTATTCGCTCTGTTTTCAGACAATAGCTTTGGTTGGAGAGAGTGGAAGTGGGAAATCGACAGTGATTGCGTTGCTGCAGAGGTTTTACGATCCTGATTCGGGTCAGATCACTCTTGACGGAGTGGAGATCAAGACCTTGCAGCTGAAATGGCTAAGGCAGCAAACCGGGCTGGTTAGCCAAGAACCGGTTTTGTTCAATGAAACAATCAGAGCAAATATTGCTTACGGAAAAGGAGGAGATGCTTCTGAAACCGAGATCGTATCTGCAGCTGAGCTATCTAACGCTCATGGCTTCATTAGTGGACTACAACAGGTAATTCCAATCGAATGTTCAGCTCTAATCTATTGGTTTGTAGTTTCACATATCAACTAAAAGATTTGTTTTTAATGTTTGAAGGGCTACGAAACAATGGTGGGGGAGAGAGGAGTTCAGCTATCAGGAGGGCAAAAGCAGAGAGTAGCCATAGCCAGAGCAATTGTTAAAGACCCTAAGGTGTTGCTTCTGGATGAAGCAACAAGTGCTCTAGACGCTGAGTCAGAGCGTGTGGTCCAGGATGCACTGGACCAGGTTATGGTTAACCGAACCACAGTGGTGGTGGCACATCGGTTATCAACCATCAAGAACGCTGATGTAATAGCAGTGGTTAAGAATGGAGTGATAGTGGAGAAAGGAAAGCATGACACTTTGATTAATATCAAAGATGGAGTTTATGCTTCTTTAGTACAGATTCATTTAAGTGCTTCTACATAAGTTTTGCTTTTGAATTACCATTTGTGAGTAGTAGTAATATATAGAGATATATAGAGACAAATAAAAAATTATCATTTTTTCTAATTCATTGTGAATTCTAGCTCGTAATTTGAGCATTATTACTTCTTCATTTGAGCATTCACACATATTAACATCATAACTCGTAATTGATAGGTCTAGGCCCGTTAATTTGAACCTTGAGCATTCACATCTTTTAATCTCACATTATTTTCTGTTTTTATCAATTGGATGGCTACACAGATTTTTTAAGGAGAGACGAGACAATAACATTTGGATCTACAATGCATTTATAGAGATGTGCTCCACACACTATCGGATGAAGGTGAATTTTTTTTGGAAACATGATCAGTATGGGGTTGAGATCAAACAGTTTACGTTTAATTCAATTATCTTTGCTATGAGCCATTGTGTGAAGGCTGATACAGCTATGCGTTTTGTATTTGGGATGCAACATTTCGGTTGTTCAGCAAACATGTACCATGTAATTCTTTTTTAGTGCAAAAGTCGTGTATAACATTCTTACAAATGAGCAGCGATATCAGATTGGTAATTCGCTGATTATTGAGCTTAGGAGACTAATGCCATTATTCTTTGGCGGAGACTAAAACATGATTGTTAATTAATTACATATAGCTGAGGGGTTTAGCTCTCATAGAATTTTAATTAGCTGACATATACGAACACAAATAAAGTCAAAGTACAAAAGCAATTAGCAAATAGTTAAAATACTTGAATGTAGATACCAAATACTATTAGCTATACATAGAACACACGTGAAATCAAATGCACAAAATATTATAAGTCAATAATCGATCAACTTCTTCCAAACTAATCAAGATCGCTTGCTTGAAGTCGAATCATGCTGCGGCCTTTGCGATCATCCTTTCTCTTCTTAGTCTCCGCCTTGACGTATTTTAAGAAAGTCATCGCTAAGCCGATCTTTAAGCAAAAGATCATCTTCTTTCGCTATGTTTGGTTTTTCAGCAGGAATAGACACAAACAACGAAGATAAAACAGAGCAAGGTGAGACTTCTACTTCGATTAAAGAAGAAGAAACCAAACACAAGAAAGTATCATTCTTGAGAGTCGCTGCTCTAAACAAACCAGAGATTTCAATGCTTATATTCGGATATAGCCGCGGCCACTCTTTCATCGTTCTTGCGATGCTACCGTTAATCGGTATTAACGATTATATGTGCATGAAGTTCATGGTTGGCTTCGGTGCATTTGAGAGAAGTAGTAATATACAGCGCAAAAAAAAAGATCATTTTTTTCCGATTCATTGTGAATGTATGAAGATTCTTGTGTCAGTAAAACAAACAAAAAGTTAATCATCATCTTCACTTTCATCACTATATGAGACTAAGGCTAAACCTCTTGAAAGAACTTCAGGAGCTTTAACTGTGACAATCGCCTTGGCCGTGGTTTCTTCCTCTGTCGCTTTAACTTTCACTTTCTTCAGTTGTGGCTTGACTTTTATGATGGCACTAAACGGACGAGTCGCAGCGTTTCTCTTCCCGGTTGGCTTCTGTTCCTGTAAATGATATCAAGGTACTCAGTTGAACAGTTGTGCAAGTTTATGAAACGATCACTCTAAATCACGAGATACTATTAGTAACCTTGGTTGTAGGAGCTGGTGGTGGTGGTGGCGGAGCTGCTTCGTTTGGTGCGAGAAGGATTGTTGATCGTGCTGCAACCGCTGCCTGAAAAATGGAGCCATAATCCAAAGGTTAATCTTAGCATTTTGGATCTGTTAACTGTTATTCAAAGATTCACCACCAAAATTACCTGGAAACTACGTAACTGTTCTTCCTCTTCATTTGCCAACTGTCGTTCATATTCCTTCTTTGACTATACAAAACAAGTGCAAATGTGAGGATTGAGATGACAGAGATAAGATATAATTCCAAGGATCAAGCAATATTCTTCCATTACTGATCGTCAACAAGTTATAAACATCAACTCAAAGATATCTAGAATTCTAGACTGGACATGGAAATAAGCAATAAACGAGGTACACTAAGTACATTACTGAGCTTCACAGAAACAGATTGCTCACCATTTCGAGTCTATCGAGAAACTCAGTCTCATCTTCATCCAGAGCTTTGGGTGGTCCTGACAAAGTGACAATCCCAATTCAAAAAAAATGGTTAACACAGTCTCTTGTTCAACGATCTCGCTATGCTTGCAATCGTTCACAGCTTGAAAGCATGATTGTGCAAAAGAAGAGTGACTCACTGTGCTTGAATCGTTCATTAAACTCAGCGTCCTTCTTGTCTTTGTTCTCTTTCAGAATCTGAAATTGATCAGTCAAAGAACACATCACAAGTGAGGACGAAGAAAACGAACAATTACTCATGGGAGAAAGTAAAAGGACAAGTAACTCAATAAACTGCAATTGGATAGACTGAATTTTTCCGGGAAAAATAGAAGAAACAACAATGGAGGATTGAGAAAAAAAACCTCGAATAGAGCCCTGTCTCTCTGGAACGTTCCATCTTCGACTCTTTCGCCTCTTTCTTTCTTCGATTCATCTAACTGGATCACCAAATCAATTGCCCAGAAAAGGAACTTAAATTCAAATTACTTTACAAAGCTAGGGTATCGACAGAGACGAGAGCGAGAAAGAGAACCTGTTCCTCCGAGACGAAATTTAGTAACCTAATTGGCTTCTCTTCCGCCATCGTCTTCCTTCCTCTACGAAACCAACAATCACGCTCTTCCTTGGCTCAACAATCACAAAGCAATTTCTCAACTCGCCGGTTCAACACTCTTCTTTCTCCGAGTAAAAGCCTGCTCGATGACGTGGCATAATATTAAAATCTTTTACTTCTCCACAATAACCCATCCGGTTATTAATTATTCGGTTTTGACCCTCCAGGTTTTCATCTGAATCAATTTAGTACCTCGGCTATTACTAGTTTGAAAATGGGTATAGAGAGAAAAGCAACAAAGATGTGACGAACACAAATTGTATCTTCAATAAGGAAACATCAAAGAATATTTTCAAAGCAGAATGTTTGATGAATTAAAACGGACATGGTTTTATTTGCATAATACTTGTACAGAGCCGTTAAACGTTAAAAGGTAAAAGAGAGACATGAACAAAACCCACTCAAGGTTAGTTTCTTCTTCCATTGCAAGCCGCTCCTCCACAAGCTCATCCATATAGTTACCTCCCGAACCTTGGCCGGTAGCTCCTCTACCGCCTTATTGTTACACCGAAACAATGTGATGAACGATGGAAGAGCCTTAATGAGGCTCTTGTGGATGGATTATATCAAACTATCTGCCACCAAACCAAAACCAAAACCTTCATGTTTAGAAGAAGAAGAAGAAGAAGAAGAAGAAACGTCACCTAAGGCATGGAGAAGATCTAATGGTTTTACTAGCTATAAGACCAACAAGGCAAGAAAGCTAATATGTGGCAGAGATATCTCTAGACTGTGAATTTGAAGCATACCTGGTTTACTACACTGAAGGAAGGTTTTGACAAGTCATCTGATCCTTGACTAACTCTGTTATTGCGTCTCTCAACCTCTCGTAATCCTCTGTTTTGTTATAAACTTGATGAGAAATCCGAACATAGGCAGTGATTAGCCCATTGTCTTTGTCTTTCACACCTTCCTCGCCATCCCTCAATCCATGAAAATAAACTGGAACCTCGACTGAGTAACGCACCCGCAGATATGACCGCAGCTTATCAGCATCTTCATCGCTCTCAACACACAGTTTTGAAGGTAAACCAATCATAACCATCGCAACACACATTTCAGGAGGTGACCCAAGATTCGTTCCCCAAGCATTTGACATCATCAATCCCATTCTAACAGCCTCATCATGGTTCCTATCAATAATCCCTTCGATCCCTCCTTCAAACCTGTTTACAAACTCCATCACAGATGGAACCACAAGCTGAGAGCTGTAGTCCCTAGTCCCAATCCATGCACTCTCTATAGGCAAACCATTCCCAAACTCATGAGACACCACAGGGTGATGAACATCAGACTCGGAACCACGTTTCTTGCAGTAGAAAAACGCGATAGACGGAGGACAAAAGAACCATTTGTGCAGATTGCTCACATAGTAATCAGCTCCGATTTCTTTAACATCAACTTTAACACTACCAATGGCATGAGCTGCATCAACAAAAACCTGCTCCACACCTTCTTCTCTGCAGATCTTAACCAACTCTCGCACCGGCATCAACACACACGGCATTGATGTTATATGATCAATGATAGCTAACCTAACCGTTCTACCATTCGCTCTACCCCTCTCTAATCCTTCTCTAAACGCTGAGAGAATCTCTTCGTTCGAATTTACAGGGAATGGTAACCTAACCTCAACAGTGGAGCCTCCCACGCGCGAGACGTTAGCTTGAATCGACTTCTTCACGCTCTGAAACGCACAGTGAAACATCACTACGGTGTCTTCCTTCTGATACTTCCCTTCCGAGAAACACCGTCCCACTTTCTGAAGAACAATGGCTGCGGCGGTGGTCGCGTTATCAACGAGCGAGACCTCGTCAACATCATCGGCGTTGATTAGGCCACTAATCACGGTTCGAGACTCCAGCAATCCACGGCGGAGACCGTTGAAGTAGAACTCGTCGGGCTGACGGAGATACCGAAGCTGCCACTCACGCTGCGCCTCGAGAACGGAGCCGGGACAGCACCCGAAGCTGCCGTTGTTGATTCTCGCAACACCGGTCTGGTGGTGAGCGAACTCGGACCGGATATCCGACTCGGTTAAAAACCCAGCCAGGCGTGGCTTCTTCGTGGCGCGGTGATTGTGACTCGTCGAATCGCCGTTCCGGCGATCGTCCGCCTCCATCGGACTAAAAAAATCTCCGCTAGGGTTTCGTCTCGAATTGGGATTGTAAAAATTTGTGAGGTTTTGTGGGTCAAATCACTTCACTGTTGGTACGTCATCGTCGATTTGAGTGGTGCGGTAACACTTTTCCGCTTCCCGACATTCAAAATCTTAATGAATTAATTTCATTTCATAAGATAACTAAATCATTTCACGCCATGTGAGTGAGTCGTCGTCATTTGCACTTTTGTTAAATTTGATTCTCAACTAATTAGAAGTTTAGATTTGGGACCGCAATTTCGAAATTGGGCTTTTGTGGGCCAACAAGGTGGGCTATTATTAGGTCGAGTTAAATGATATCACGATGAATAAAATAGCTTTTCCATGACCTAACCATTATACAAGTTGTTGCTAACGAGATCGAGATCGACCGTGAAATGGGATTAGAATATGAATCCATCATTTCTCCATAACTATAGTAGTATATCATTAAATTAATCAGTTTAATGCATGGAGCGTTGACTTATTGACCAAACAATGGGCCTGGCCCATGTTAGCGAAGAAATAGATTAAGCCATAACACGTGGCGATATATAATTGGAAGTAGCTCAGTGAGAATAAGGTTTGCAAGTTGTAACGCTCTTTTCTCTTCTCTTATCTTTGCTGCTCTCTCGCTCCGCCGTCTTGAGCTCACCGGCGAATAGGTTAGCTTCTTCTTCTCTTTAGCTCGATAAAGAATCCATTTGTTCTGTGAATTGATTGAAAATTGGATCATTTCTTTGGGAATCTAGCTGAATCTGTTGTCTCGACATCATTATCGACTATCGTTTCTCTTAAGCTTAATTGATTTTAATGGCTCTTAGAGCATGTTCAACGGTGAGTTTCCCAAAATTCGGTGTTGTGTAATTTTTTTTTCCTTTTCATTTTCGCTCTTCGGTTGCTCCGCTTCTCCTTCGATCTGAAACGCGATTCTCCAAATCTTCATCTCCTTCCTCTGTAAATCTATTCCCTCTTCGACGTTGTTCTTCGTCGTGTTCTTCACCTCCTTTGTCTTGTTCTTCTTCTCCTTCCTCCTCGGTTTTCAGTTGTCGTTTCCGTTTTCTCATCAAAGTCGAAGATCTTTCACTGAAAAATCAGGTCATCAGCTCCGGCTTTCTTTGGGGATTTGGCGATGTCACGGCTCAATACATCACTCACTCCATTGCGAAACCTCGTCTCTCCGTTAGTCACTTTCGATCTCCCCCCCTCTATTCAATTCTCTCTCTCTTTTTCAATTTGGATTCTCTCTGATGCTTATTGTCTTTTGGTGATGGATTTGATGAAATTAGTTTAGGTTTCTGGAAATCTCCGCTTTAATTTGATGACATTAGTTTAGTCTTTGGTTGTGTTAATTCTTCAGGGGAACCCAATTGATTGGGTGAGTACCCATAGGTACCATCATCAGTTGTGTGATTCAGACACAGATCTTCATAGCCAACTTGATGAGTTTCCCGTTCATCGTTTGGGGAATGGTATGTTCTGTTTTTGAATCTATCAGTGTTAGATTTCCCGTTCAACTCGGATTTATTGATCTTAGGCATGTAAGTTATGTTTGTTGGAAAAAGCCATAGCCATAAGTAAATATCTTCTAATCTTCGTGTAAGAAAGAAGATATCTTGCTTTTAACTTAGTGATTTGCATTGCTGAAATTAAGATGTTTAGTTACATGAGATTCTTTTCTTTGAGTGTCTTTACCTCTGTTTATTCTCATATGATCGTGTGTGATTATTTTGGGGTTTTAGATATAGTAGCTTGTTCTGTTAATTTGGTGATTTGCATCTATGGCTTTGCTTTTGTTTGTTGTGAACCTGTTTCCCCATTTTATTTCTTTGATTGCTAGGTGCGAAATCGTGTGAAAGATTACTACGACATTGAATGCAACAAGCTATAAAGGCGATGGATGTTAAATTTTGTGAAATATGTTGAATCTCGGATTTTGTTGCAAATAGTTATAAAGACAACTAACTTTAAAGAACTCTATTGAGTCTCTCCATTGTAGGTGTCAATTTTTTAAGAACTTAATAGTGTTCTTAACATAAATTAGTATTATATTTAATAATAAAAAAAAAGTTAAAGAAACCAAGAATGGAGCTCACCGTTGTACATGCTCTCTTATGCTCCTTAGCTTTGAGTTATTTTTCACCGATTTCATTTCTGAGTTTCTTGTTTTTCCCGGTTTGAATTCTGTGTCAGATTGTTTACTCCGTCAGTGGACAGTTTCGATTTCGTTTTGTAGAATTTGACTATAGTCTCAGTGAATTCACAGATGTCTAAGTAGCTTTCGATTAGAGTAGTGCTACGTTTCACTAATCTGTGATTACTTGATTTCATAACTTTGGTTATAAACGTATTTTGTTTCTGTTGATGCAATCAGAAAGAAAAAGAGTTGAAATGGCTGGTCCCGGTGGAAAGAAAGAAAAGGTTGATAAGGCTGATAAGGCTGGAAAGAAGAAGAAGGACCTCAAGAAGGAAACAGGTCTCGGACTCAGCGTGAAGAAAGATGAGAATTTCGGTGAATGGTATTCTGAGGTTTGTTTATATACTCAGCTTCTTTCCTGCATTGATTATTTTTAGTTCCAAGCAGGTTTTTTTATTTTATTTTACGTGTAGGTTTTGCAAACACGAGATGATTGAATACTACGATATCTCTGGTTGTTATATCCTTAGGCCATGGTCTATGGCGATTTGGGAGATCATGCAAGTGAGTATCTTCTTGTTTTTTTCTTCTTTATACTGTCTTTAAGTCAGAAGTTTGATCATTTTCTTTTCATTTTTTTCTTAGATTTTCTTTGATGCGGAAATCAAGAAAATGAAGGTCAAGAGTTGCTATTGCCCTCTGTTTGTATCTCCTGGTGTCCTGGAGAAGGAGAAGGACCATATCGAGGGATTCGCCCCTGAGGTTTGTTGTATATCTTAAATTTTTACTACTTGTCTTTGTGACACTTTAACAGGTTTGAATGTTTGTTTAGGTTGCTTGGGTTACAAAATCGGGTAAACATGACTTGGAAGTCCCAATTGCTATTCGTCCTACGAGTGAGACGGTGATGTATCCTTACTACAGCAAGTGGATAAGAGGGCACCGTGACTTGCCTTTGAAGCTTAACCAGTGGTGCAATGTTGTTAGATGGGAGTTCAGCAACCCTACCCCATTTATCCGGTATTTTACTTGTCTCTATAGCTTTTCTTTTCATATTTTGTAATGCTTTTTTTCTTGAGCTAGTCATTGTTTCTGCTGTGCATACTAGGCTTGGTATAGATTTAAACCTTTTGACACAGAATTTTGCTTGTCATAACCTACCTAATTGCAGGAGTCGTGAGTTCCTCTGGCAGGAAGGGCACACTGCTTTCGCCACGAAAGAAGAAGCAGATGAGGAGGTATGTGAACTTAAATTTTTGCCTGTTATCCAAACACTCCTTTTTGTTTGCTCCATGCAAGGGTTATATTTAGCAGCTGGAAATGATTTCGGTGAAATCCTTTCATCTTACTGCTGCTATTGTTCTCTAGGTCCTTCAAATTTTGGAGCTTTACCGTCGGATCTACGAGGAGTATCTCGCAGTCCCAGTTGTGAAAGGTATGAAGAGTGAAAATGAGAAGTTTGCTGGGGGGCTTTACACAACAAGTGTCGAGGTATGTCATCTTTCTGTTTTGTTTCAGAGAGAAATCTTCTTTTCTTGTCTTTATCAACTAAAACTTTGATTTGATTTGATAGGCTTTCATTCCAAACACCGGTCGTGGTGTACAAGGTGCAACCTCTCATTGTTTGGGACAAAACTTTGCAAAGATGTTTGAGATCAACTATGAGAATGAGAAAGGAGAGACCGCAATGGTGTGGCAGAATTCTTGGGCCTACAGTACCAGGACGGTACATACTTGAGTTAAACTTAGATTATTTTTCCATCATGGGTTCTATCACTTCACTGTTAACATTTCAAATTTCAAACCTTGTCTAGATTGGAGTAATGATTATGACTCACGGAGATGACAAAGGCCTGGTACTCCCTCCTAAAGTCGCATCTGTGCAAGTTGTTGTGATCCCTGTGCCCTACAAAGATGCCAATACCCAGGGGATTTTTGACGCCTGTGTTGCTACGGTAGCTGCCTTAGAGAAAGCTGGTATCCGTGCTGAAGCAGATTTAAGGGACAACTACTCTCCTGGATGGAAGTATTCAAACTGGGAAATGAAGGGTGTTCCTTTGAGAATTGAGATTGGACCCAGAGATTTGGAAAACAAACAGGTTAGCCTCTCGCTCATCTGTTGAATATCTTGGTTTATGCTGACAAGATAGTATATTAAACTTGGTTTGTATATTAAACTTGTAATGTAATCTACTTTTGGTTTTGCATCCCAATAGGTGAGAACTGTGAGACGGGACAACGGAGTTAAGGAAGATATCCCAAGCGAAAGCTTAGTCGAACATGTTGAGAAACTGCTTGGAGAGATCCAGCAGAACATGTTTCAAGTGGCCAAGCAAAAGAGGGAGGCATGTGTTGAAGAGGTAAAGACTTGGGATGAGTTTACCGAAGCTCTCAACAAAAAGAAACTCATCTTAGCTCCCTGGTGTGATGAAGAGGTACATTAACACAACAACAACAATTTTAACACACATTTTAGTTCGTGTGAGGATGCAATTTTAAGCTCCTTGAAAATGGAACCATTTGTAGGAAGTGGAGAGAGACGTCAAGGCACGTACGAAAGGTGAAACTGGAGCAGCTAAAACCCTTTGTTCTCCATTTGAGCAGCCAGAACTCCCTCAAGGTCAGACGCAGAGACTCTAAAACTATCTTAAGCAAATGTGCTCGTAAATTTTGTGCATCCCATTGACACTATGTTTCAATTTTGTTTACGATGCAGGCACTCTCTGCTTTGCATCAGGAAAGCCTGCGACGAAGTGGACTTATTGGGGAAGGAGTTACTAAAATGTTCACCAATGTTTTGGTTCATTTCACATTTACTTTTGACTTTCTCAAGTGCATTTTTCTTTGATTTGATATTGTGACCAAAAGCTATTTAAGTTTTCTTTTAATAACTGTGTGGACTACAAATAGATGGTTTTAATTTTAAACAACTGTTGCAACTTTCTCTTTTTCGATTAATGAACATCGAGCATTATCAGTCACATCGAAAATGTAGTCTAGAGGAACAAACAAACAAAGTGTACATATTACAGACACAGGCATATTATAACATTAAACCCATTAAAGGCCCAGTACTCCAATAATCTGTCACAATTTGGAAAATTATTGTTTAATACAACGGTAATATTTCAAAAATTAGCCGTTACGAACCAGTCTTTTCTTTTTAAACAGTCGGTCTCTTTAACTTTTATCGATTTTCACTCACATTAGTAACTTTCTTCATCACTCAAAAATCTCTTCTTGGTAACCATGAGAGCCATGTCGGAATAAGAAACTTCCAGGTGTGTCCTAAACCGATTGATGAGTGGAGTAACTAATCTTTTTCAGACATTCTTTTCACTCCAACTAATCTTATTGTTTGTGGTTTTGCAGGATGAGACAGAGTTTAGGGAACTGAGAGAAACTCAAAATGAGGTACCTGAAACATCTTTCCTCTACTCTTCTCCAATTTTCCATATACATCTTTAATTGAGTATGCATTTACATGTAAGTGTTTTCCTGTTCATTGAAGTATACAAGTTGATATTGCTTACTTCACATATGGCTTTATTGAGTACCGGTTGTACATTGCTAATTTTCTTGTTAAATCTTATTTGGTTTAAATGGGATTGATGTTAATACACTAAGCTTAAGAGTAGAAACGTAACTTTGTGGAGACATTACACAACATAGCTTTAGTATTATTCTTCACAAGCTCTTCGTTGATGTGTTTTCTTCTGAATTGTTAATTGACTTAGGCTTAACTTTCTACTCAATGAAATTTCTTGCTCTGATGAAGTTGTTGACTTGTGTAAATTGAGTGTGGAAGTTTGATTCGATGATTGTGTGTGACATCTTCTGAATTTGGTCTCTCCGATTTTGGCGCAGGTTTGTGAACAGATTTGGGTGCTAGATTCACAACTCTGAAAATAAACGAAACAAGGTATCATTTCATTAGTTAGTGATGCTACAAGTTTAATTTCTCTTCCAAATTTATTATTAGTTTGAGGATTAAATCTTTATTTTTGTTTACTAATCAAGAATAAGAATTTAAGTTTTATAATGCAAGATTAATGAATGAATTAGAATGCGAATGTGCATAAATATGAAAACACATAGAATATATTTACGTCTTTTGACCGTTAGAGGTGTATATTTTCAACCTGTCTTCAAATTTAACATCAAATTTGTGATTAACTTGGCAATCAATTTTCCAATATTTCAACATACTAAATAAAAAACAAATCGAATATATTCGATCCATTTATTTATGTTATCAACTCTTCCACCAATCTAAGTACTATATATGTATGGTTTTAGATAAACTCTAGTTATGAATTCCTAAGATTACAAAATCATTTTGTCTACTTAGTTATATAGTCAATAATACCACAAAACTTAAATCGGGACTAAACAATTCTATTAACTTACCGAATACCCTCAACTCTATCCCAGTTATCCTAGTTATCCTACACATAAACCATAAACCAATTAGGATTAAAGCGTAGTGTTAGGGATAAGCCATATGTTTAGGGCTTACAAATAAGGGTTTTAGGATTACGACTCATCTAAGCAATAGGGTTCGGATTAAGGGTTAGGGCTAAGGGCTAAGTAAGGAATAGAGTTTGGGGTTTAGGGATAGGGTTAGGACGTGGGTAGAGTTTATGTTTAGGGCTTACAAATAAGAGTTTTAGGATTACGGCTCCTCTAAGCAATAGGATTGGAGTTAATGATTAGGGCTAGGGGCTAAGTAAGGCATAGAGTTTGGGGTTTAGGTTTTAGAGTTAGGGCGTACGGTAAGGTTTAGGGCTAGGGGTAGGGTTAGGGCTACGACATAGGGTCTAACCCTAACCCTAAACCCTGGCCCTAAACCCTAGCCCTAACCCTACGCACTAACCCTAAACCCTAGCCCTAAAACCTAATCCGCCCTAAACCCTAGCCCTAAAACCTAATCCGCCCTAAACCCTAGCCCTAAAACCTAACCCTACGCACTAACCCTAGCCCTAAAACCTAACCCGTCCTAAACCCTAGCCCTATCCAAAAAACCTAACCCTTGCCTAACCCTAGCCCTAAAACCTAACCCGCCCTAAACCCTAGCCCTATCCAAAAAACTTAACCCTTGCCTAACCCTAGTCCTAAAACCTAACCCTTAACCATACGAAGTTTTTGAAGGATATTGTTTTTGAAGGGGACAACAAAACTGTATACAAGTGGCAAAGTTCGGCATTTTCTGTCAAGTTGTTTCTATGCAACAGTCAAGCTAAAGATTTGTTTAATTAGAAACCTCTTTTAAGCTTCTTGTCTCTTTTGTAGGAAGTTGAGATCGATGTTAAGGTAAGAACCAAAGACGAAACTGGAACAGTTAAGACTATGTGTTCTTTTTGATCAGTCTGAAGTTCCAGAAGAGGTATGTCAAACTAAACTTGGTTTATTATATACTAATAGTTTCTGTATATACATATCTCTCTTGAAACTTAAATGTTGTTAAAACTAGTTAAGCAAATTATGTTTTCGCAAGGGGACTCTATGTTTTGCTTAAGGAAAGCCTGCAAAGAAGTGGCCTTATTGGGGAATGAGTTACTAAGTTGATGACTTAGCTTCTTCTTGCTCTGTTTTACTTTGATTTATACTCAATCTAGATTTTTCGGTTTGTTTTAGATTTGAATTTGGTTTTGTTGCATAGCCATGACTCAAGTTCAATGAAACTTGAACTGACATTGATGAAATCTATTCAACAAGCTTTTGTTTTCTCTTGCTGTGTGTATTTCAATAATCTTGTGGTCCAGCAAAAATTATAAAAGTTTACATGCGTCCTTCAACAAAAATACTACTATATCTTTGTATATACATCTCTAGTTTATATCAGAAAGAAAAAACAATGCGTAAGCTGGGTACTTAACGTGATAATCCTGTCTATGATGGTATGTTTGTTGATTTCTTAAAGGGATAATTAAGTATAGTAATTATGGGTGATGTACTGTTTTACTTTCATTATAGACAACAACACGTCTCATTACTTTGTCTGTCTCTTCATTCTCTCTAATTTCTTGCCTCCTCCCGGAATATAAATTTATAATACGAATTCCTAGCTCTTTCATTACACTAGTAGAGATATATTTTAAAAATGCTTTAAATCCCACAAAAACTGTAAAATATTTTTACCAAGTCGACTAGTCGAGACAGTATTAACTATTATTAGTATTTCTTTATGAGAAGGTTTTGCTCTGCAAATCGAAAACTATCTTGATTTTTCGTAGAAGTGAAGTCATAGTCCAATATAGTTTCAAATGGCATTTGACGAAGAAAGAAAAAAAATGTTGGAACTTGATATTTCTTAATTAATTGTTTCTCTAGCACATGTGTCGAAATTCGTCTGAATTTTATTCACTGCGATCTTACCATTTTAAAACTAATAAACACTGAAATTACTGAAAAATTATAAATATGGGTACTAGCTTACTAGGGTCGTTGCATTAGCAGAGTCAAATCTCACTTGGGTAAGAAGACACAAAGCCACGTGTCACGTGATCCATCATCTTCCTCTTCTCTTTTCCAACTAAACGTCACCGTTTCATCTCGTGATAGCTGATCAGTGATGAATCGATCAGATGTAGAACGAATCAAACAAAAATACAGAGCTTTTGAAAGTTACCAAAAAAGAACAAAACTTTTTTCCTAAAAGAATCAAACAATCAATCAAAATCTTGGATGCAGAATTATTACAGGTCAATTTCCTTAATAATAATATTCTTTTAGATCGGATCACATGAAATACGCAGATTCAAATAAAGAAAAAGAAAATTGATTTCTTGGTTGGTGGTCACTGCTCTCTCTATCTCTCTCTCTCTCTCTCTCTCTCTCTCTCTCTCTCTCTCTGGCTCTCTCTCTGGCTTTCTCTCTGTGACCCTCTTTGTCTCTTTCTAACAGAACATCTTAGATATCATCGAATGTTGTTAATCTTGCTTCCGAGTCCTTAACTAGATGTTTTACTCATCCTGGTTCTCGCCATTTTCGTACGGGGAGGAGGAAATGGTGATGGCAAATGGTACGGAGAAGGTAGGAGATGGACCTACTGCTTGAATTTTGGCGGGCACAAACGGTCTCTTTCAATGATTTTTCTGTCCCTTGTGGGTTCCCCAGTTTCCTCTCACCACTGACCCATCTAATCAATCTCCCCAACTTGCTTCAATCCAATCCATGAGAGAAAAACTGATCCCAAAGTTTTGATTTTTATTTTTACTGTCTTTGAGTGTGAGAGAGAGAGAGAGAGTAGAAAGGATTCGAAGCAAAAGAAGATCACAGATTGTTGTGTACATTTAATTAGGTTTCTTCTGGAGCTGAAAGGAGATCACAGTTCACAGATCTTCTATTCATATGAAGAGATCTTTCCTTGTAAGTCTTTATCAATCTCCTCTTTCTCTTCTTTTCTTTGGACATAACTTAGTCCCCAAAATTCAATGCTCTGTCTCTCAAATCTGGTATTATGTCTTGTCTGTAAGATCTGAAAATCCGGTTCAAGGTTGAGAATTTCCCTAGATTACTGTTCAAGATTTCACATTTCTTCCTGATTTGATGCTTGCTAGCTTATAGAGGTCAAATGTGGCTCTCACTGCCTCCATTGTTCATCTGTTATTGGAGTTTCATTAGGATTGATTGAGACAGTGGTGAACATCATAGGATCAGAATGTTTAACAAATGATGAACAATGTTCCTAATTTGTTTCCCTGATTTGCTCTTTGCTAAGTTTTAGAGGTGAAACTCTGCCACTGTTGTTTGAGACCTTAGAGATAATGTTGGCCTTTTGCAGCTCTTGTATGTACTCCTGGTACAAGCATTCTATGGTGCTTGGTGTAATGTTGGAGAAAACGCCCTGCATTGTGAATATTCCAATTTAGGATCTCTTCACCGGCCTCACAGCGTATCCATTACAGAGTTTGGAGCGGTTGGAGATGGAGTAACACTAAACACAAAAGCTTTTCAAAACGCTCTGTTCTACCTAAATTCTTTCTCTGATAAAGGCGGTGCCAAGCTTTTTGTTCCCGCCGGTCAGTGGCTAACCGGGAGTTTCGACCTCATCAGTCACTTAACCTTATGGTTAGATAAAGGTGCAACCATTCTCGGATCAACGGCAAGTCTCCACCTTTTAAAATCTTTACAAGCATATGAACTGTGTGAGCAGCCACTTATACAACTTGTTGATTCACAGAGCTCGGAGGATTGGCCTGTTGTTGATCCATTACCATCATATGGACGAGGAAGAGAACTTCCCGGTAAAAGGCATAGGAGTCTTATATATGGTCAGAATCTCACAGATGTAGTCATCACAGGTACTAATATATATATAGCAATTGCATAAATGAAGCCGTTGATGTTAAGTCTCTGATATGTTCTCTGATGAATCATAGGCGAGAACGGGACGATTGATGGTCAAGGAAGTGTATGGTGGGATTGGTTTAGGAAGGAAGAGCTAAACTACACAAGACCACATCTTGTTGAGCTCATGAACTCCACTGGTCTAATCATCTCCAACCTCACTTTCTTGAATTCACCCTTTTGGACCATCCATCCTGTTTATTGCAGGTCTTCTATCTTCTTCTCTGATTCCATTTCATATTTTTTTTCTCTTCAGAGATTGTCTGACATGAATCTATTTTTGTCTGTGAACAGAGATGTTCTTGTAAAGAATCTCACAATCTTGGCTCCTCTTGATTCTCCAAATACAGACGGAGTTGATCCTGGTGAGTCTCATTGCAAAAACTTTAGCCAAAACTTGTCATTTTTGTGAGTATGTTTATGTTAACTATTCTTATTTGCAGACTCATCAACAAATGTTTGCATAGAGGATTGTTACATAGTGACCGGAGACGATTTGGTATCGATAAAAAGCGGGTGGGACGAGTACGGAATATCATACGCAAGACCGAGCTCCAAGATCAAGATCAATCGGTTGTCAGGTCAAACTACTTCAAGCTCAGGAATCGCCATTGGAAGCGAAATGTCAGGAGGTGTGTCCGAGATCTATATCAGAGACTTCTACTTGTTCAATTCGAATACCGGAATCAGGATCAAGACTTCACCGGGAAGAGGAGGGTATGTTAGAAACGTTCACGTATCGAACGTGAAGCTTGAGAATGTGAAGAAAGCGATCAGATTCACGGGTAAGTACGGTGAACATCCAGATGAGAAATACGATCCTAAAGCACTTCCGGCGATCGAGAAGATCACTTTTGAGAATGTTTATGGAGAGGATATAGGTGTTGCGGGTCTTCTTGAAGGTATAGAAGGAGATGAGTTTAAGGACATTTGTTTCCTTAATGTTACTCTTAGAGTGAAGAAGAAGTCTCCATGGAAATGCTCAAATGTTAGAGGCTATTCGCAGTGGGTTTCGCCGGAGATTACTTGTGATTCTTTTAAAGAGAGCATCTTCCCGGAGCATGGCTCTGATTGTTTTGGGCTATCGGAGAATAATAATATGGAGATATCAAGTGGTGGTATGAGTAAATCACCATGGTTGCTTTCCTGGTAAGTTACTCAAGTTTGACCTATTAAGGGGTAAACAGTTTGCTTGATTGTCAAGAAACCTCTTCAATTTTCTCCTTCCAATTTTTCTTAGAGGTTTCTGTTTTTTCAAAAGTGGTGATATTTTGGTTCGTTCTTTCTTTTTTTTTTTTCTGTTTTTCTTGTAAATTTGTGTGCAGTGAGGAAAATAATCAGTGTGGCTTAAGAGTTTTTTTGTTCTTCCGTTTTTGTATGCTTTTGGTGAGCAGTTACATTTGTAATATCTCCGACAGAGTAATTTGAAATTGAATTTTTGTATCAGTGTTTCTTCCAAATGGACTCATAAAAGATATGGTTTTATTTAAGCTAATACAATTTATGAAACTAAAAGAAAAATTAAAAACAAAACAAAACATAATTTCTTAAGAAGGAGTCTGAATTTTTCTTCCCTCCTTACAAGTTACAACCGATTAACTAGAAAACAAAATTTTGAATAAAATCTCCGACAAGTGATTTACATCATGACAAAACTAACTTTTTTCACCCACTGTATTGGTCAATCCTAGATTTTGATTCCATCTTTGCTTTTCTTAGAACTCAGTAGTGATAAGCTCTTGAGATCTTCAGTCTTCTCACGCTAGACAAGAACATCCTACATAAAGAAAAGAAAAAAACAATCAATTAAGTCCCCCATTAGATTTCTAGCTACATGATTATGTCACTAATAAAATAAAATAAAATTGTTTGATTACAGATTAATAAAATAGATAAGAAAAGTACACTTACTCCCAAGGAACATCTCCAACCATCATCCAATCACCTTCCTTGTCTGCGTACGTTAGGACATGACTCTTCTCACTACACATCTCTTCTTCTTCGGCCCCTGTTTCAGTGTTCACTATTATTTACCATTCGCCCGCTAAACTCTCACTCTTCTTATTCCCATAACCATAAACTTTAAAAAATAACTAAAAACCCCTCATTTTCTTACTTCGCTGGATTAGCAATCCAAAAAAATCATCTTTCCTTTTCAATATATGAATTTCTCTTACCGAAATTAATAGAATGAGTTTTGGTTTACATGCAAATAAATCATCATATATAGTATATATAAATCTCTCTTAAAGAAAATTATAAAAATAGGTTTTGGTCTACATGCAAATATATAAATATGTATGTGTATGTGTGTAGATACTTACAAAGGATTGAGGCGTTGAACATGTAATCGAGAGTTGTGATCAAATCATGGTAGCCATTAAGAGACAAGAGATCAATCTTTCTTCCAATAGGAACTCCTTCCATGTTCACCTTCACGTAGAAGCTTCCAAGACTATTACACTCGTTTTGATCTTCTTCTTCGATGATCATTTCGTGATCAGCCGCAACGACTCCATACTGATCATGATTTTCTCCACCGTTGTAATATTGTCCCGACGATGATCCGAAGCTGAGTCCAAGCCTCAGGTCCGTGCTTGGGTTACGAGTGGTACTCGAGGAGACACCAAATGGATTGCTTTTGCAGCTGCTTTCTATCGATGAAGACGATGAGCTTCTCCCTCTTCCCATTTTTTTTAACAAAACTATTTCTCTCTCTATGATTTTATCTTAAACAGGTGGTTAATGATTTGAACGTGTGAGTGTATATATATAGTGGAGGAATTTTAATTTTAAAATAATAATAAATTGTTCGAAAAGAAGAAGTAATATTGATATGGTCTTTCTGATATTGTTTCTTTTAAACTAGAAAATGGAGATGGTGGAATGATGAGACAGTGTGGTTAAAGATGTTGTTGGTATAGCAGACAAATACACGTGTCACGCAGGCACTTGGTCAAAGTGTTGGTTTTGACTTTGTGCTCGGATTTTTTTGCTGGGTGTGTTCTAATTCAGTTTTTATTATTTCGAAGTAAATACTCGACTCCTAGTACTCTTCGTTTGCTATTAGTGTTGGGTTTTCGTTATCTAATGAATATTAAAGGATTAACATGTGGAGCAGGTATAAATGAATATGATACAGTTCTGATGTTTATTTAGTTTCATAAGGTGTAAAAAATAAGCAAATGTTAGGCCTAGATTTAAGGAATCAAACGAACGTAGACAAGAGAGATACATGTTCCAACCGGATAAGAACATTATTTCCTAAAACAAATACTTGAACAAAGTACATTTTTCAGCAAATTTAAACATAGTCTAATTATTTTTTCGTCCTAATTAAATCAAGTTCAGTGCATGAGATTATCGTGACGCGCATTGATGCATTCGTGGGTTCGAAAACACCATTTCTATAATTAAGGGTTTTTCATAACCGCGAGACACTTAGCATAAAAATAGTCTAAGATGTTTGTTAATTAATTATCAACTGGTAATTAAACACGTCTCATTTACGTCATTAACTCTCTAATAATGTTTTTTAAAATTACGAGAAACAACAAAATAGTCTACGTGGACTCCATCGTATCCAAGAATGACAAGAGTTTGAGCTTCCCATGATTCTAATCCACGTCGCTTTTAGTTACACTCCTCAATTTCTTTGATTGTTACTTGATCTTGACATAAAGCATATAGTAAGTCAAGTCCACACAAAAATATATTTCTTCCGATATTAAAACCAACCCTTTTATGTGTAACAATCAAAGTGAATCAATAGATGCTAATATCCCGTAAATCTATATCAAAAAACTGATTTTAATTGACGCAAATTTTTGTTACCTTAGATTTTCACTTTTTTCAGTTAACGTATCATTTCAGTTATCTTAAATTTCAGGTGGTGATCACAAATCTCATATATAAAACAAACTCATATCTTTTAAGCAAGATTTCTATTTGCGACATGTTTATATCCAATTCGATCCAAGGAATATGTCGAATTTTCTGTTTATATAGACTGACTACCAAACTCCAGTCACCAGAAAATTGAATATTCATTTGGTTGTATACGTTACATACATTCCATGTAACATCAGTTAGAAGCAAAGAAATTGCAAATAAAAGAAGGGAGATAGAGAAAAAGGAGAGAAGGGATGCAAGGGAAGCATGATGAGTAATGAATGCGTAACCTTAAAGAGAGGAGCTAATGAAAGATGCTTCGCCTATAGAGAGACTAAGGAGACGTCACAATTCTCTCACACTCACTCTTGAGAACATATTTCTCCAAACACGAGAAAATGCAGACACAATGCCCCTTAAACACCATCGACAACATTTTCACATTCCCCACGTCACGTGCCTTTTTCCACGTGTCTCCTCACCTTGTCGCCTCCACTTCTACAAATCTCTCTCTTTTATCACTCCGTAGCTTCTTCTTCGTGACCAATCAAGATGATTACAAACTCCTTGTTTTCGTTTCTTTTTCTTTTGATAAGTGAAGGAATTTGTTTTCTATTTTTGATAGAAAAGTATAGTTGAAGGATTTTTATCTTAATAATATTTTTAGTACTGTCCAAAGCTGTTTTACCATCAAACATTACCTTAATATACGACATGTTTATTTTTCCCTTATATTGATCACAATAACCGACATTTCTTGTGATGATACCGTTTGGGTTTAATTTATGAAGAAGCAAATAGATTTTAGACAGAAGAAGAAAAAGATTTATCTTGAACCAAAAGAAACTCTAAAAATGTTACTATTAGAGAGAGAAGAGAACAAGGGGAAAAGATAAAGAAGAGATATGTTCCCCACCATCCCTACCATTACCATCACCATTCCTCACTTTTCTTTCCTTCTTTCTTCTTCAGACTTTTCTCTACACCATTCTTTGTCCCCTTCATTTTTATCTTTTAAATCTTGTTTCTAGATTATCATATGTTGCATGTATTTGGTCAGTATCTGATGCAACGTATGATTTTTTTTGAAAATGATCAAAAGAAGAGGAATCGAAATAATGTCATCAAAGATATATCGACGCGTAGACAAAATGACAAATTATAATAAGCAAATTATATAATCCTGTACAATAAATTACAACAATATAAGAGATTAATTGTTGGAGCTACCATATGTTGATTTCTTTTGATAAAGATTTTTGATCAATTGATAATAATTTTATTTTCCGGCAACATATATAGATAGAAACCAATTTCAAAAGGAAAATATTGACTCTCAGATTTCAAGGCACTCATAGTTTTTTAGTTTCAAGATTTAATGATAATGTCTGGTCCTTTTATAAATCATTAAGCTGTAAGAGAATTACTTTATGTTTTATCGCAAATTATGATAACTCGACTTTACTGCAATGTGTTTGCTTGTCAGTAAAATCATGGGGTGGCTTCAAATCAGGATGATTGCATGTCTCGTGACTCTTTGTAGCCTCTGTTGTTGGCCAACTCATTCCATTTTTCTCGGTTTTTGCTTTTTATATATTTTGTCACAAAGTTGACCATAGCAACAACATGCAAGACCAATTATCATATCTCAACAAATAGATAAAACATACAGGAGAGGTTTCTTTTTGCCAGTATTTTACTCTTTATTTATATTTTTAGATTCGAAACCAAATATCCAACCGCTATGTCATTCTTTAAACAGATTTCTATAAAGAAAACCATACAATGCAGCGATAAAAGTTGATCAACAAATAAGCTTAAAAACAAAAATTAAGGTCTATAAACTGTTAGCTAGGCACAAAAAGGTGTAAATAATTTTAGATTTAATGTTGTCTTTATGGTCCGGACTCAAACAACAGAAACTCAACTTTCTCTATTTCTTGTTTAACCAGGTCAATTATCCGGAGTGAATGTTTTATATCTTATTTAGCTAGCGAATATGTTCATCTATGAATCTACTTAGAAAGGTTGTCTAATTATCACTATCAGAGCATGCAAAAAGGTTGAATTTTGATTAAAATGTGGTATAGTACCTAAACCCTACTAAAGTTTACAATGACTTTATCGGCTCGCTGGAAGAAGAAAAGGTGTATCGATTTCCCCTTAAAACCGAGTGAAAACATGTTTTCTTTAATCAAAGTCCAAAGGTTACAAAACAGAGGAAGATTTAGATTTGGTCTCCAAAGCAGTGTAGGAGGGCAATCTAGCGAGGGATTAGTAATGTTCTTTTCATAGTATCTAATATTTTAAGTGTGTTAGAAGCTTAAATTAATGAATATGAATGCATGAAAACTCGATAAAGCAAGATACGGGTGTATGCGTGCGTGTTAATATTGAGGCGTTACGTGCGTGCCTCTTTCTAGAACTACTATTGATTTTTTGTTAAAAAGAACTACTATTGATACTATATTTTATTTCACTTATTTGAAAATTTAGATTACGCACTAACCCCGTGATTGATTTGGACTTTTTAAAAGAAAAAATTATAATTCCCAAATCTTAAAATATGATAAAGATACCTGTGGCACTGTAAACATTATGTTTCCCCTTTAATCTAGACTCTTCATGACGTCATCTCCCCTCCAAATGACATTTGATTTGCGCTTGTCTATGCATAATTACATAGTTTTATCTTTCTGGTATGGTATTTGAGCGAAATTGCACACTCGACGTTGTCGATAAGCCCATTAAGGGCCCAATAGTCCAATAATCATTCCTCTACAATTGTAAAGTGTAATCTTTTTTTTTTTTTTTTTTTTGGGTCGAAGTAAAGTGTAATCTGTTGTCGAACCTAAAATATCCAAAGCGAAATGAAATAATTAATTTCAGCGAAAGTAAAAATAAAAACAATTAAACAAAATGGAAGAGTGAGTCATCGTTATGGGAGTGACAAATGGCTAGATACAATGCAAAAGGAGACAAGAGAAACACAAAGGGACTACGAATCACGTGGCTTTCACGTGAACTTCACGCCCTTCTTTTTTTGCCTCTTTTTGATTTCTTCTACTTTTTCCTTTGAGGACAATGCTTCCAAAACACATTGTGGGTCCCATTCATATTTTGTGGTGGGCCCAGACCATTATCCATTGTCCTTTTATACAAACTGTGAAGCTTCTCCCCACAACCACGTGGGCTTTTTGGCCCTTTCCCTATCTCTTTTTCCTTTTTTGTCGTTCTAAATTAAGAGATCTTAAAAACACTTTATTTATGTTGAAATTATCTTGTAACGTTTTATCGTTTTGTTGGAGATAGTGAAAACTGAGGAAATATATTTTGGTAGTGTTAGACAAATATCTTCTGGAACCATCACTATGTTGTGGCAATCTGACATTCTGATCTCTGTATATATATATGTATATTTTAACTCCTATCTGAATCTGATTGTTTTTTCTTTTTGCATTGCGAAATATATAAGTTTAAACAAAAAAAAAAGCATAAAAGATGCTAAGATTCGACTTGGTTTTTTGAAACAAGAACAGTACTGTACTGAAGAAATTAATTACACCCGAGGAAAAAATAATAAAAAGATCTGAAAAAAGCGAACTTTAAGAGCTTCAAAAGGCTCTGAAGTTGGATCAACAAAAAGAGGGATAGCTTTCAGCCTTTCACTTACTCTTCTTCCTTTTGGAATCATTCATCAAGACAAAAATGACTTCTCCATCATCATCGACCTTCAGACCAAATTAAGTTCTTGTTTCACACATCATATACTCAACACAAATATATGTATATGTTAGTATGTAGATGATGTTCTTAGTTCTTACCAAGCGATTGTTCTTGCAGGTTAAACGATCAAGAGTATTTGGAGCTTGTGTTCGAGGATGGACAGATTCTGGCAAAGAGCCAAAGATCCTTTTCTCTTCAGAATCCACGTACTATAACGATCATGGATTTGTATGAGGTCGAGTATAACGAGGATTTCAAGAAAACTATCCATGATGGTACCAGTAGCGGTGGCTTCATCAAGAATCTTGGAGACACACAGGTTGTTCCAAAGCATCATGTTGTTGCTTCATATGGAAATAACATGTTGGAAACCAATTATCAATCAACTTTGAATGAGACTAACTTGAAAGCTTCTTCTTCATCAAAGAGGATGGTGCTTGATTACGAGAACCGAAAGAAGGTCGAGTTTATACCTCCTGATGAGCAATCTGTGGTTTCTGAAAGGTCGATCGAATTGGGGTTTGACTCCACAGATTTTACTGAAGAGAGTGAATGGTCGACGTATCTATGCAGTGTAAGAGGAAGAATGATTCATGGATTTTGTTGGTTTGGTTTAAATCTGTTAAGTTCTTGTCTGAAGACGGTTTTTTGTTGTTGTGTGTCTCAACGCAGAGTCTTGATGATGAGTCAGATGATGCGAGGCCACGAGTTCCTGCAAGAACAAGAAAAGATTTGGCCAAGAGAAGACGAAGCAATGAGCTTTCTCACTCACCTGGAACAGTAAGTAATCTCATCAAGCTACAAATCAAAATAGTACTAAAAACTGAATCTAATACATGGCTATATGCAAAACAGAAGCAAATAAACGATATCAGCAAGAAAATGCGTACTTTGCAGGATCTACTACCTAATACTCACAAGGTTCGTTCACAAGAACCATTTTTGAGATTTCACCATTACTTGCATTTACCCTAAATACTCAACTGTTCATAGGAAGACAACGAATTGTTGTTGGATGAAGCAATCGATTATATGACGACCCTTCAACATCAAGTTCAGGTATATACACTTGCAACATTTTCCTCGTATTAAAGTCTAAAGATTCTTGTTCTATAACCTGTATAAATCTTGGGATGGCAGATGATGACGATGGGTAACAGATTTGTGACGCCATCAGTGATGTTGCCGCATTACCTTCAGATGGGTCTAGCAACAGGTATGCCTATGGGGGTACCACAGTTTCTGCCTGCGCCTGTTCTTGGAGCTGATATGCTAAGGTTTCTTAACCATCCTGGACTCATGCCAATGCAAAGCTCTGCACTTTTCACTCCAATGGAACACTGTTTCCCCCAATCCGTCCCGCCATCTTGTGTTGCTTTCCCTAACCAAATACCAAACCCATTTCACCCGTCTTCTCACTCTCCAAGCAAGTAGTGAGTACGATAGAGCCATCTCAAGGTGAAGCATTACAGATCCAAAAGACCACTAACACAACCATGGAAGGATCTGCTCAAGTTTCTCCTTTTTAGCGCCAGCTTTTCTAGTTCATGTAACATATAGGAGCAGAGCTAATAATAATACTTGACTCTCGAGTACTAGTTCCTGTCTGATGACAAATACGACTTGTTGGAAATATTTTATCCATTACCTACCACTAGTCGAATGATTGGATCATAGTTTATACAATGAAGTGAAGCCTTTTGTTTCTTGAATCCCAACAAGACGCATAACTTACAAATACTCTGGACCTCGCTATACTCGGTGCCGTACTATTTACATGATACTGAGTGTATTTCTTACAACAAGGAAGAGAAGAGATCGCACCACAATGAAGATGTGTTGAGCAGCTACGCTGCTTCAAGAATCTTTTTCCCGCTATCTTTCATTCGAACTGGCTCAGTAGCTTGATCTTCCGAAGACTGTTCTGTATTGCCAAGTTTAAGCTCTGAGAACATGTCAGTCAGTGAATCTGCAGCATCTGAAGTCGCTGGTTTGGCGTGGGAACTCTCGCTTTCGAGCTCCATCTCTAATTTCATGAATTCTTCTTCGATATCTTCATCATCAACATCTGAATATGGAGCTGATTCTGCCACATCAACAAAGAGTCTAGCTTAACATAAAAAGCTCATGGATGAAAAACGTGTATAAACTTCAAAAGACAAAACCTCACTCACCGAGAGCTTTTTCGACTTGTTTCTGTGATTCAATAGTTTCTTCGATTTCCTCCAAACAGTCGTGAACATCGTCCGCATTGATCTTGACGTTCTTCATTACGTTCGCTCCAGTTTTTATGGCTTCGGATACCTGCCAAACAGACGAAGATATTTCTAAATCCATAACTGACACTATTCAAAAGGCCCAAAAATGATAAACTCGGACTATCAGCGTTTGATATACCATTTTGGCTGACTCAGAATCCGATATAGTGTTCAACACTTCCTCTACTCTATTCAGAAGTGACGTGCATGTTTCTCTGCTCTGAGTCCCCAACTTCAATTCCCTTACATGCCTTAGAGCAACTTTCCTGTGTCCAGACTTTAGAGATGCCAACGCTGATTTCCTTGACCTTCAGAATGAGACAAAGTAAAAAAAACACTTGAAAATTCAACCTATATAACCATTTACGAAAGCTAAAATGTTTTTTCAAAGGCTATGATCAATGTACGAGAAAATTAAACGATCAAGAATCAGAAGGTGTTACGTTTCACATCGTTGGTCCATCACTTCAAGTTGATCTTGAAGCTTTTCTGTAGTCCTCAGCAAGTGCAGAATATCACAGTCTAAAGTTGAGATACTAGGAAGTGCTGCTTCTGAAAGGGACACTTTAACACCCTGCAAAGCACAAATATGTTGGATTTAGACACTATAAACGTGTAATGTAAGTAAGCAACTTCTTGGAATTCAAAATTCAAGCGAGATATTAACATACTTAGAGACCATATATTATAAATGAGATAAGACCAAAGAAAAGACGGATAAGAAGCAACCTCTATCACTTCTCCCCGGTTGACAGAGACTTTATGCGCTTTTCCACACCCTGACAAGTGACTCAATATAGCAGATGCCTCCTCATCCGAACCGTTGCACAAGTTCCGGAACTTGTTCAGTGTGACAACACAAGTCGAAGTCCAGTGTCCCTCACACAAAAGCTTCACCACATCAGCCGCCTTCTCCTACACATCACATCAGCCACAGACTTACTCTCAATAATCAAAAACCATAGACCATTACGAGACCTGTACATCGTTGTATCAATGAGAATCAATCAATAGACGAACCTTCAAGAGTGAGACGATAACAAGTTTGTTTTCGAGAATCTCTCCCGGCTTCACCGAAGATTGTACCATTAAATTCCTCACTGTCCACAACAAACGAGATATACGGCCACTGCCCTGATCTTCGAGTTCGTTAACCCGCACAACATCACCTTCACTGTGCATCAATAACTGGAAAAAGAGAAACTTGTAATCAATCACAAAACGAAGAAGAAGAAGAAGAAAAACTGATTTTTCGCCACTAATTGCAGAAACTCACCAGTACGTGATCAATGCATAAAGGCGTCATTCCTCCTCGATCAAACCACGACTGTTTCACCTTTTGTAAACATGAAGATCATACATAATTTAATCAGTTCTCTCTACTAATCAGTAAACTAATTTCATCTAGAAATCAAAGCATTTGACCCAGACCTGGACAGGATCGATGATGAACACTCCGAACTGACGCGAAGCTTTGATGATCAGATCGCGCCAAAACTGAAATCTGAGTTCCCAATCTGATCTCTGACCACTAAACGCCTTGAATCTGGCCGTCGCCACCACCTCATCGTCCCAATCCGGAACTTCCCTTCGTATGAACTCCTTCACAGAATACGAATCCATTTCCTCTCCGATCAGGTGAAATTCTCAGGCGAGATCGACACAGATGAGGAAGACTCGGCTTCTACACTCGCGCGTTTGCAGGAATTTCAACCCAATCCTGCGAATTTGAACGTCGATTTCCCGCCGCTGTCGTTTTATACGAAGATTCAGATCGTCGGAGAGAAAGCCCAAGTCTCAAAAACAAGTCCTCAGATCGACATGCTCTGCCGTTTGCATTATACGCTTTAGAACTGTGTGCCATTTTTCTATACACCATAAATATCGCAAATCCTTCTTATGAAGTAGGCCCGGCCCATTAGTAAGAAACTTGGCTTTGACTTTGAAAACGAGACTGATCGAAAGATAATTGGTTTGCAGTATTTGGCAATAATATACTGTACATTACCATAATTTGGTTATTCGTCTAGTAAGTAATGAAAACTTAATTTAGGTAACCTCTATTTATCCTTAAAAAAAAACATATAGCGCCAATTTAGCTAGTTTAAGCAAAATTATAGGTATGGTGATATTTTTGTAGCGTTAAAGGGGAAACAAAAATCGGATTTGGATATGTTATGGATAAGTGATATTGTAAATAATTAACGGTCGATTTTGTTGCTTGCCATATTGGATATGCATTTACAACAATTGTTTATAACGCACATTAAGGGTCTAAATGGTAACCGCTGAATGTTGCTGAATGCGGAATCTAGTGAATAAAATGAAGACTTTTTGCAGAATCTGGCTGAATAGTTTGTAATATGAATGGTAACAGCTGAATGTTGCTGAATGCGGAATAAATGTATAACACATTATTTATATAACAGAATTACAAAATATTTACCTAATTAAATTAATTAAATAAATATAAAAACATATACTCTAAAATAACTAAATAATAGTTAAATTAAACAAATAACTTCATATATATATGATTTAGGAATCATGATTTATAATTTGTTTTGTCAAATATCAAACATCAAAGTTAAAAAACGTTATTTTCAAAAATATTACCAATTCATTAATCAAAACCCTCTTAAATATTTTGCTTAATTTCTGCTCGTATTATGCATATAAGCACCATATAGTGTTCTCTCTTATTTCTGTAGAAATTTTATGTGGTATAATAATTTAAAAATCTATATCAAATCTTATTATAATTAAGTTGATTGTAGACTAAAATAAGCATTATTAATATACTGTTCTACACTTTTTTTTTATCTGAATTTGTAAATTTATTTTTTGGATCCATAATTTTATTATTAAGATTCAGTCCCAAACACTCCAAAAATCTGAGTATTCGAAAATGTCGGATTGGATACTGGATTATTGATTAATTGTCCCATTCTTAGAATTTATTTTTTGTGACATTCCACTTGAGAGAAAAAAAATACCTAAATATTCATTCATTTAAATTTGTTAATAATTTAAATTATAAGAAAAGTTTTAGTTATAAATTTTTAGTTGTATTTTTTATTTTGTAACATAAATTAAATTCATTAAAGTGAAATAACAATATATAAAGAATAAAATAATCTTTTTGAAAAGAAAAAAAAAATGACTATTCTTTTCCATTCTTCAACATTCTTCACAATTCTTCAATGCCTATTCTTCAACATTCCTCAATGCCAACTGGTGTATTTAAAAAAGTATTCCTCAACATTCCTCACAATTCTTCAAGTTTCATGTTACCAGTTAGGACCTAAGGTACACATATCACTATTTATTGCTTGAAAGCGATAAACTTGGAAACTTTATATATATATGAACAGTATAATAATCAGTCTCGTATATTAGAATAAGTGAGAAAAATGGGTAACTAATTATTACTCCGCGTTAACTTCGTTTAACATTTCATGTAATACTATAAAATCTACTTTATGTGGATAGCAACATTTTTTAAAGATAATCTTCAAATAAATACAGATGTAATAGACTTTATAGTGTAACATTTGAAGCTAATTAGTAACGGTATAATCAACAAAATAAGTAAGATATTTATCCCAAAATATCGTCCACTGATTTTGCTCTACTGATATCATATGAGATTATGAGAATATGCCATGATCCAAACTCAAATCAACATAACATAATGCATGCTCAATATTCAATACAAAAGAAATCGGATTAAAGTACCAAAAAATCATCGCAATTTTCAAACAAAAAGAGGGGTAGGAACGTAACTAGCACAAAACCCGAGAGACTTGGATATAAAAGCTCGAGTTGACTCAGTTTCACACCATAGAGTCAGTGGGCACTCCAAACGTCAGTCTCTTCACTTTCCTTTTTCTTTTTATTCTCTTTTCATGGCATTTGACTTGAGCTTGGTTATGGTTTCTTCTTCTCCGGTGCTAGAAGTAGACGATGGATTTCACAAGATCCGGAATACTCTGTCGAGATTGTCTATTTGCACGAGCTGCGTTTACGACAAGGAGGAAAACGAAGCCACGAAGAACCAGCCGGGTTTGGGTGTTTTCACGTCGGAGAGTTTCGACGGAGCAGAGGCTGACGGAGAAGTTTCCGATGACGGAGGAGGAAAGGAGAACGTTCCCGAGTGGGATTCCGACAAAGAAACACCACAGTTTTACTCACTTCCGGTGACTCCAACTCGCCGGAGAAGAAAACTTCAAGTTTCCGGAGAGTCATTTGCGAACGAGAGTAGCAGAGATGGCAGTAAGTGTAGTTTACGGAGGCAAAGGAGGGTGATTAGGGGAAAGAAGAAAAAGGGTCATGGGTTTAACGGAGGGAGTGACGGCGGTGTGAGAGAGGGACTAACGGTGTTAACGAGAGCGAAAGGAGGAGAAAAGTCGTTGAGGATGGGGTTAGAAGACGTCAAGGCTTGTAGAGATCTCGGGTTCGAACTGGATGCTCCGGGTCGGATCTCAGTCTCAACCGGGTCGAATTTCGATACTCAGACCAGTAGTGGCAGCAACTCGCCGATCGCCACCTGGCGCATCTCAAGTCCCGGTAAATAATCAAATTTGTATACTTTTATTTATTTTTGAATTTTCGTATCTGAAAAGTTTATTACTACTGAATTTAGGTGATGATCCGAAGGAGGTTAAGGCGAGACTGAAGGTGTGGGCACAAGCAGTGGCTTTAGCTTCTGCGACACGTCAAGCTTAGCTTCTCTTTTTTTTTAGGTTTTACTATTATCCTCTACTTTTTGTTGAAGTAATAGATTTTAAGGGTTTTTGAGAGCCTGATATAGTTCGTTTTTCTGAGTTTGTAAAATACGATAACAGTAGTTGTCTTGTTTCATGGACGATGGAATAGTATCGCAATTTTAATTCAAACAATAATTTGCCAAAAAAAAAATAGAAGATGACAAGCTGCAAAGTGCAATGTGTAACTCTACTCTAGCGTGCGCTACAAAAAGGTGAAAACTAAAGCGACGTACAATTGGAATTTTTCAAAACGCATAAACGAAAAAGGGACCTCTCAAAACAGAACAAAGCTTATCAAAAGCAGAGCTCATGATCGGTTTTTGAGATTCGGACGTTTTTGTATTAGAGTCCAATGAATAAAGGAATGTGTTCTGTTTCTTTTTCTTTTTGATATATTATAGTTTCTATGTAAGGCGTAATGACATGGATTTTGTCACTAACTAGATTCGACGTCTGATCAAATAGTGAGAAAAAAAGTCTATTATAGTATGAAAGAATAAGGTCTCACTATATTCGGAGGATGGGGATGTAAATATGATAAAGTTTGGTGAAAAGCGAAGCCGCTGAGAGAAGCAGAAGCTTCCCATTGAATAAAACGTTATCCAAATCCAAAGTAATCCAACTAGAGTACAGTAACACGATCGAGAGAAATGGCCACTAAAATCTTCTCTGCATCTCCCGTAATCTCCGCCTCCGCCACAAAAACGCCGCCCCTCCCCAAGGCGATAGCATCGCGCATAGGCACCTCCCTGACCGCCGCATTCGCCGCGACTGCCGTCCTGACGATGGCTCCGGCGCTGCCGGCGGCGGGGGAGGGGAACCAAGCGTACAAGCTATACTACGGGACGGCAGCGAGCGCGGCGAACTACGGGGGATACGGAGGGAACTCGGACAGGAAGACATCGGCGGAGTACGTGTACGACGTGCCGGAGGGGTGGAAGGAGAGGCAGGTGTCGAAGGTGGAGAAGGGGACGAACGGGACAGACAGCGAATTCTACAACCCGAAGAAGAAGACGGAGAAGGAGTACCTAACGTACCTTGCGGGGTTCAGACAGCTGGCGCCGAGGGACGTGATCCTGAACAACCTGGCGCTGTCGGACGTGGAGCTGCAGGATCTGATAGCAGGCGCGGACAAAGTGGTGTCGGAGGAGAGGAAGGACGAGGAGACGGGGCAGGTGTACTATCTGTACGAGATCGAAGGAGTCGGGAAGCACAGTCTGATCACAGTCACTTGCGCTAAGAACAAGCTCTACGCCCATTTCATCAACGCCCCTACCCCCGAGTGGAACCGCGACCACGATACCTTAACCCACCTTCGCGACTCCTTCAAGACCGTCTCTCCTTCTTCTTGACTTTTTATTCCATCTCTATGTATCTATGTGTCTATACTTTGTGAATCTGTCATCAGTTAATACATAAAGAAGAATCTGAGGATGAGTTTTGCCAACACTTAAAGGGACTAAGGAGAGGAAAACAAAACCTTTTGAAGAAGCTGTTTAATGAACATCGAAAGATAGCTTATTCCAACCGAAAATATAGTCAGACAATATATAAATTGTTGATCTGATTTGGCAAACGAAAAATGGTTCTCTTGCGAGATACACGAATGTTACAGATTTGGAGTTTAGGATTAATATGAAAGCAATTTCAAGCAAACAATTGTGTGTAAAGTTTGAAAGGATTGATTCACTCGAAAATCAGACTGTGACATGTGTTGTCACATGGGTAAGGACAGTCAATGGATTTGACAGTTTTTGATCGGTCGAAGAACCAGTCACCTACAGACTCTGCGACTCTCTGATCAAAAAGACAGTTAACGAGCAGGGTTTAACAAGCCTGTGATTGCTACAAAATGAGATATAAACCGCATAAACGGTTTGTAGAGGAATGATGTTACCTTTCCGTCTAGTTGGGGAGAGTCTTGAGCAAACCAAGTGTTTTGTCTTTCAGTCTGACAATGCGCAAAACAAGAGTTTATGAAAAGACCGTTCTGGTCGGATGTAGAGAATGAGTTTACGGCAAGCACCATTTGATTCCTGAATTCTATCAGTCGTGAAACAAAGGACATGAAAACTATCAATGAGTAGAGAGAACGACGGTAAGTAAGAAATTCGATTAAAAGCAAATGTATTCACCTTGTAAGAATTGGATCTGTGATGAATTACAATGCGATATATCTGATTTACATGCCTTCCAGGTATTACCTGGATCAGCAGATGAAGGAGCTAAGCTCTCTCGGACCTGACAGAGAAAAGTCACATGTGTGTTCAAGATTCAAACATTGTGGGGGAGGGGGATCAAGCTATGAGGTGGATGAAAGAAAGATTAGTTATTACCTGCCACGAGTCATACGCTGTGTTGAGAAGAAACATCGGGGTTTTGATGTCTGAAACCAAGTTCTGAGGAAAGAAGCACTGAGGAAAAGAGAGAGATTATCTCAAGCCTTGTCTACTGGTAACTTTGCTGATCAAACAGTGATAGGTTATAAATCAAGTGAAAGAGATGTTACCGAAGTAGGATCCAAATGGTTTGTACAAGTACTGGACAAGTCCTTTTGGAGGTTCTGTAAATTAACAGAGAAGAGTAATTGAGTGTTACAGTAAGATTAAGATAAAGTTGTATGCACTTTCTTGCATCTGAGATTACCTGCATAGTAACAACACCTTGGAACATATTCCTAAGCGAGTGCTCCCCAGAGACATCCACTCTGCATTTCCAATCAGAAAACATTTCAAGTTTTAATATTATTTCTCTAACAAAAAAAAGCCAAGTTCAAGCAGCCTTACGCGTCCAGAAACATTCCAGCATCACTTAAGCACTTTACATTTGTAGAATTAGGTAACAGTTCCCTGAACTCATCACAGTGCAAGATGGAAGCTAATCCTCCTGCTGAGCATCCAGAAAGCAGAGCCTGTGATGAATATTCACTAGCAAATGATTAGATAAGACAATAAACAGCACATAGAGGAGAGAAAAATCGGAGAGAAAAATCAAATAACCTGTTCTGCTTTCTGCATGCCTAAAGACATGAATTCTTCCATAGCCACTAGCCAGATTCGTTGTCCTCTATAGAAAAGTTGTGAACCCTAGTACACAAGTCCTTGTACCAAATTATAAGACAAAATCAAGATTTCACAGAATATAAAACACAATATACTCTTGTTGTCTCTCTGACCAACCTCGTCCTGACTATCCCCAGCGAAAGAGGCTCCATCACAGTAGCGCAACTTGATTCTGTTCCAATTAAAGAAGTCTACAAGCCACACAAAAAATAACAGCAGAATCAAAACCAAGAAAGTGCATTTTTATAACCAAATGGACAAAACTCATGAAAACATTGAACACAAACCAGGATTCTCTTGAGGTTTATTGCTCAATATTCCAGTGAAGTTCAAAGCTTTCTCCATGAATTTAGAGGAACCACGCGGAGTTGTTTTCCGATCAACACAGCTACTATAGCTGTTACACCATCCTCCACCCTACACCACTCACTACCCACAGAGTTAAGAGAATGATATCTAGCTTTTAACTTCAATTGTTTACTAAACTAGCAAGAATCTAATATGACATAAGTTAAAAAATGCACATACATCGAGATGGATAAGCCAACTATTAGCACCTGATCCAAAACCACGATCTAAATGATAACCAGGTAGAGTCCCATCTAAGCACACTGCATCGATTTAGAATTTAACAGAACAAAGACTAATCATCATCAAATGTCAAAACATTCAAGCATTCATCAATATTTACTAACGAATCTTAAATTCCAAGAGCCAAATGTTTGTCCACATCAGAGTTTCATAGTCAGGAAAGTTACAAAAATTGAAATTATGACGCAAAATCAAACTCTGTGATTTTGAAAATCCAATCAAGGGAGCCAAAATCGAGACCGAGCAATGAAAATTAAAGGCAAACGCGGCAACGAAAACATCTGCGTAAGCAATTTTTGTCGAATCCCATATGAACAACGACCAAGAGACGGAGAGAGAGAGTACCAGCTCCTTTGGAGTGAGCTCCATGAATCAAGGTGAGAGGAACCATGGAAACCTCCGATGCTATCACCTCGTTGTTCAGAAACAATATCGAAGTCTCGGTGTCTCTTTGTTTCACAAATCCGGCGGTAGATTCTCTCTGAACCACCGCCACGACTGAACATAGCGAGCTCACAACCACCGCAATCCACAACAATAAGCTACTCATCATCTCCGCGGGGACAATAAACCCAAGTCCTGGAGCTCCGGGAAATGCAGCAAAGACGACGACGACGACGACGAATCGAGCGCCAAAATTTGGGCTTAAAGATTGATTCCGGTTTTCTTACTCTAATCACCAATGAAGATAAAGAAGATAATAATAAATAAATAAATAAATGAAAAGTAAATTCCGTTTTCCTTTATAATTTCTTACGTGGATTATAATTTACTCATAGACTTTTGGAAAATGTATCCTTGTTTTAGACATATATTTGAATTTATTTCAATTTGTATTTATTACACAATATACTTTACCCGTTCTCTTTTATAAGATGATTTATAAACAAAAATGTTTCACTTTCTTTTACTCCATGCAATATTGCATTCTATAATTTGATCCACATTGATCATTGTGGACTTTTCTTTGTTTTTATTTGAGGCTTGAATCGCAAGTCACCTCCACCTTATATTGTAGATTTGTTGTAGGCCAATGATAAGATAATAAGCATAGATCCTGTTGATTCGAATACATTTTCTTACTTATTTGCCAACGTCATTTGACATTTGTAGAATCTCAAAACAAAAGAAACAAAAACCAGGCTATATGTTGTTACCAAAAGCAGAGGACATGCTCGAACGTTGAGATTCGTACGTTTTGTATTAGAGTCCAATGAAGAAAGCAATGTGTTATGTATTTTCTTTTTCCTTTCTGATATATTATATTCTGTGTATTGTAGTGACATGGATTTTATCACTAGCTAGATTCGACATTTGAATCAAAATGGTAATTAAAAATGAGGTATATGTGAAAGAATAAGGTTTCACTATACCCTACCAAACTAAGAATCTGAGGATGAGTTTTGTCAAGACTAGAGGGACCAGAGAGGCTCTAATGAGAGGAAAACAAAACCTTGAAGAAGCTGAGATCTCTAGAGCTGTTTGATCGAAACTGCACAAAGAGTATATATATATATATATACGATAAAAAGTATATAACTTTGATAGAAAAGCTTATTCCAGTTTGAAAGATATTAATTATTAATCTAAATCGACAAATAAATTGATTCTCTTGTGAGAGACACGAATGTTACAGATTTGGAGAGAAGGATAAATATGAAAGCAAGTTCAAGCAAATAATTGTGTTTCAAAGAATCAAGAGAAATTGAGTTTCAAAGATTGACTCACTCGAAAATCAGATTGTGACATGTTTTGTCACATGGGTAAGCACAGTCGATGGATTTTTCAGTTTTTGATCGGTCGAAGTACCAGTCACCTACAGCCTCTGCGACTCTCTGATCAAAAAGACAGTCAATGAACAGAGAAACAAACTTATAATTGCTACAAAATGAGATAGAAACCGCATAAAATGTTACCTTTCCGTCTAATTGGGGAGAATCTTGAGCAAACCATGTGTCTTGTCTTTCAGTCTGACAATGCGCAAAGCAAGAGTTTATGAAAAGACCGTTCTGGTCGGATGTAGAGAATGAGTTTACGGCAAGCACCATTTGATTCCTGAATTCTATTTGATGTAACAAAAGAAAAAGGCATTAAAAACCATCAACATGGTGATGAATAATAAACTTGAATTATCAATTTCACCTTGGAAGAATTGGATCTGTGATGAATTACAATGCGAGTGATCTGATTTGCATGCCTTCCAGATGCCGCCTGGGTCAGCAGTTGGAGGAGCTAAGCTCTCTTGGATCTGATAGAGAAAGTTGTTTCAAGATCAAACTACTCTGGACGAACAGATGAAGAACAAGACTTATTTACCTGCCACGAGTCGTATGCTGTGTTGAGAAGAAACATCGGGGTTTTGATATCTGAAACCAAGTTCTGAGGAAAGAAGCACTGAGGAAAAGAGAAAGCGCATACAGATTAACGTCAAAAGAAAGATTCTCTCATGCTTTTGTCTAGTGGAAACAGTGATACTAATCAAGTGAAAGAGATGTTACCGAAGTAGGATCCAAATGGTTTGTACAAGTACTGGACAAGTCCTTTTGGAGGTTCTGTAAATTAACAGAGAAGAGTAATTGAGTGTTACAGTGAGATTAAGATCAAGTTGTATGCATTTTCTTGCATCTGAGATTACCTGCACTGTAACAACACCTTGGAACATATTCCTAAGCGAGTGGCCCCCAGAGACATCCACTCTGCATTTTCCATCAGAACACATTTCAAGTTTGAATATTTTTCTAAAGAAAAAAAATACTTCTCCTAACAGAAAGGCCAAGTTCAAGAGATTTACGCGTCAAGAAACATTCCAGCATCACTTAAGCATTTTACTTTGGTAGAACTAGGTAACAGTTCCCTGAACTTATCACAGTGCAAGATGGAAGCTAAGCCTCCGGCTGAGCATCCAGAAAGCAGAGCCTGTGATGAATATTCACTGGCAAATGATTAGATAAGAAGATAAAAGAGAACCAAAACCTGAGCACAAAATCCTTTAATCTAATAAGCTCAATGAAATGCAAAGACCTGATTTGCTTGCTGCATGCCTAAAGACAGGAATTCTTCCATAGCCGCTTGCCAGATTCGTTGTCCTCTATAGAAGATTTGCGAACTCTAGATACAAGCCATTGCAACAAATTATAACACAAAATCAGGGTAAGAAACGAAGAATTCATTAAAATCTTAGGTTTCATAGATTATGAAACACAATATACAGTACTCTAGTCTATGACCAACCTCGTCCTGACTATCGCCAGCGAAAGACGCACCATCACAGTAGCGTAACTTGATCCTGTTCCAGTTAAAGAAGTCTGCAATGCCACAAAGAGAAAACCAGAGTCGATACAATGTTATGGCAGGTGCAATTATACCAGTTGATACATGACCACATGCACAGAAACTCAGAGTGACAAACCAGGATTCTCTTGAGGTTTATTGCTCAATATTCCAGTGAAGGCCAAAGCTTTTTCCATGAACTTAGAGGAACCACGCCGACTTGTTTTGCGATACACACAGCTCCTATGGTTATTACACCATCCTCCACCCTAAACAACCCAGTGAAATGATTTAAAAGCTTCTCACTTGCAAGAAAAGCCGTCCTCAATAGATGAAGCTTCCATTGAATACTAAAACGAGCTAAAGTCTAAGATCACAAAAGCTGCAAATGCACATACCTCAAGTTGGATTAGCCAACTGTTAGCTCCTGATCCAAAACCACGGTCAAGATGATAACCAGGTAAAGTCCCATCTAAGCACACTGCATCGATTTAGAATTGAACAGAACAAACACAAATCATCATCAAAACATTCAATCAATCCAGAGAAGAAACTGAATTCTACTATATAACTGTTCATCAATAAGAACGAATCCTTGAATCTTAGAGCATTAACTCGAAGAGCCAAACGAAGAGTTTCACGCAACAGAGAAATTGAGCAATTGGTTTAGCAACCATTGAGGAGCAATGGAGGAAACGAAAGGGTCGAATTACGAGTCCAGACACAGAAACTCAAAAGGAGAAACGAGAATCTGAGTTCTACGAAATCGAGCAACAGGCAAAATCCAACAATTTCAAATTTCAAAATCGAGAACAAACGGTGAGCATTAAAGGAAAATGTGACAACGGGAACATCTCCGGCTGCATTTCCCTGAACCCCAGAGGAACAACGAACAAGAGTGAGAGAGAGAGAGAGAGATAGAAAAGTACCAGCTCCTTTGGAGTCAGCTCCCTGAATCAAGGTGAGAGGCACCATTGGAACATCAGACGCCGCCGACGACGCCGCCATCATTTCGTTCTCCAGCAACGATATCGCAGTCTCGGTATCTCTCGGTATCTCAAATCCATCGCCAGATCCGCTCCGAGCTACCGCCGCGACTGAACATAGTGAGCACAGAACCACCGCAATCCACAGCCACGCGGTCCTCATCTCCTCCGACGGAGCAACAAGTCAAGTCCCGGAGCTCCGGGAAATGCAGCAAAGCCGACGAATCGAGCGCGAAAATCTGGCTTAACGATTGATTTCGATGTTCTTACTTCTGACTCCTATTACTGCTGCATGAAGACAAAAAAATATAATTTTGAAAAAGAAAGGGGAAAGCAGAGAACTGAGAACGTCTTTATAATTCTTTCATGATTCTTTTTTGTAATAAATAATAATTATGTTCCGTCATAAAATCTGGAAAGATTCATGTATTTGTAAAATTTTGATACAATACAAATTTTCAAAAAAAACATTTTGACTACCATATTCGGCATTTAATATTTCTAGATTTCATAATGGAGACGGAAATCTTCTCCCTTAATTTGATTCACAAAAATAAGAAAAAAAATGAAATAAGAAACCGTTGTGAGCATTTAGCAGAGTTTGATTTTTTATTTCCAATTGCATTTATTAGAATCCTCAATTTTTGTTATGACATTATGGCAGGTGCATGTTTATATGCTTAAAATGCTCCTCCTCTTTTTGCGTACTTAAAATTTCTCAAGAATAAAATTAATCAATGCTAGATTTCTTTGTCCTTTTGTTGGTCTGACCTTGAAGTAATGCTTCATTTATAATTAATTATATACAAGTATACAAAAACACAAGACTATGCCTTGGTGCATATTTCTTTCTCACTTAAGAAAGCTTAAATTAGTGGGACAAAATAAGAAGCAAAGCTTAAATTAGTGGGACAAAATAAGAAGCAAACCGCAAATTCAATATGCCAAAAGATAACACAGAGTTTTTATATTACAAGAAGAATTTTTTTCAGCGCATAAACTTTTGAAAAACAACCACCAAACTTACACAACCATGGATTTAGATATAAGTTGGTTCGTTACATCACTCCAAAATCGGGTGAATGTTGCTTCTCTTTCAAGATATTATCAACAAAACACAATGATATGATAGCCTAAATATTTAAACTCTAGAATAGTTGACAAGAAGTCTATGTCATGAGAGCAAACCACAATTACCAGTGGTTCTTGAAATTCCGGTTCCAAGCCCACGTTAAGGCACTTGAGACAAGCTTCTCGAAGTCCTACAAAAATCCAATCATGGCTTTAACAACATCAAAGAATACACAACCATCCAAATATTGTAATTTTAGATGTATTTAAATTGTTTTTATCAAAATCACAATAATTTCTCTAATTTACATTTCGCAATACCTATTAGGAGCAAATATTGTACATTTTTAAATTGTATTCTAAAAAAAACAAGCACAACAATTTATAGCAATTACATTTCTCACTTCAAAACTTTCACCAAAAACAAATTTATTTTGAAGCAAGTTTATTCGCTTAACGTAAGTGTTCTAAACCATAGCCAGCATCATGAAAAAAAGGAAGATGAAATTTGGATCCAAACTCATCTATATGTAAACATTTTCTATACAAATAGTTGTGTAAAGCAATATATTAAGTTATGAATGTTTTATATAATTTACGCACTTAGAACTTTCACTATGCCAAAATAAAAGGAAGCAATTTCACTTAACACGTTTAATTGAGCTGAATACGTTAGATTGCACAATAGATAATGACACTTACCGTATTATAAAATAAATAATGCTTGAACACCTTCAAGAGTCCAGCATATAAGAAAATGTACACATAACCCTTGTCGTTAACTGAATCTTTTTAGTTAGGTTAGGCTCTAATACCTTCAAGGCATCAAGTATTATAATAGAATGTGCTATCTGATTCAGCTAGCCATTTATTCGTGGTATTAATGATAAAACTATTAGGATATGTTATTGCTAACACACCTCAACTAAATATAATTTTAATTGGCGAATAAAAAGACATAACAGTATAAAGATAACCAGATATTTGATGTGTCCTAAAAGGAAAATCTACTCTTTTCAGAATTGTGTATATAAATATAGCCAACTCCTTCACATTGATCATAAGCTCTCTCACACACTTGTCATCAAAGTAACCTCTCTCTAATTCTCATCAACATCTTCTTCTTCTTCTTCACCTTGTCGAGAATGGATGGATCTAAGTACGAGTGTTTGTTCTTTGGTAATACACACATATAAACACATATCATCTTCAACCTTTTTTCCCTCTCTATGCAGTATATGAAAAGTAATTAAACCTCTCGGTTTTTATTGGTCTTTTTTTGCAGATATGGACGACACTTTATACCCTTTGAGCATTGGAATCAACTTAGCTTGTCGAAACAACATCCAAGGAAACGAGACTAACGTTTTCAAGCTGATTAAATCATAATTTCTCAATTATTTAACCGCCGATATAACTGAATTTCTTAACTGTTTGTTGTCTTTTATGTTATTTGCAGAGTTCATGCTTAATCAACTAGGAATCGAAGAGAGTGAAGTTCCAAAGATGTGTCTTGACCTTTACAAAGAATATGGAACCACCATGGCTGGTCTCAAGGTAAACAAAGTCATTTTACTCGATCAAACCCAAACCGGAATTAACCAAAACAGAACCGTTGTTCCACAGGTTCTTGGTTACGAATTCGACAACGATGAGTTCCATGAATACGTCCATGGAAGACTTCCCTACGAGAAACTAAAACCTGATCCACTCCTCCGCAACCTCCTTCTCTCTATGCCTCACCGGAAAATCGTAAGTTTCCTCCTCCTCCGTCAAGCTCTAAACTGTCAAATCCTCCTTTTTTTTCTCACCATCCTCTGTTTTTGCTTCTTCTCTCTCCTCAGATCTTCACAAACGCAGACAAAGCTCACGCGACAAGAGCCCTCAACAGACTAGGTCTAGAGGACTGCTTTGAAGGAATCATCTGCTTCGAAACACTAAACCCTTCTTCTGATTCCAAGACTCAGAAGATCCTCTGTAAACCCTCCGTTGAAGCCTTTGAAGCCGCCATTCGCATCGCAGACATCGTCCATCCACGCAAAACGGTAAAGTAAAACTCACAGGAATCATCATATGACCACAGTTTTTAGATACCAAACTCAAAAGTCTCTTCCTTTTTTTCAGATATTCTTCGATGACAGTATTCGTAACATCGCTAGTGCTAAAGCAACAGGGCTTAAAACCGTCTTCGTTGGTGACTCGGTGCTGGTTCCAGGTGCAGACTATGCACTAAGCAGCATTCACAACATAAAGGAAGCGATACCTGATTTGTGGGAAGACAACAAAGATGAGAAGAAGCTTGAGGCCATTGTTGTTCAGCAAGCCGCTGTTGCAACCATGGTTCAAGCTTAAGAGAGAGAGAGAGACACTTATAAGAATCTCAAATCGAATAATGAAACTTTATTGTACTCCGAGAATAAAGAAATAAAATAACAGAATTTGAAAAATCTTTTGACATTTTTGGATTCCTCAATTACTCATAATAGGAAGAAAAAAACAGAACAAATGGCAATGACTGTTTGATTCCTCAAGCATCGATCGGGAGCTCTCCGCAGGCATAGATTCTGACAGTTTTCTTGGGAATATTCATGGAGCGTGTCTCCAGAGACTCGACTTTCCTCACAATATCCATGCCGTCTATCACTTGGCCAAACACAACATGCTTGTTATCTAACCAATCAGTCTACACAACAACAGAAACAAAAACAAAGAAAATGTTATCAAAATGATGAAAAGATCAATACTTTATAGATCATTTGAAAGAGATGAAGAATCTTTTGACCTTGATGGTACAAATGAAAAACTGGCTTCCGTTAGTGTTAGGACCAGCATTTGCCATGCTCAAGATTCCAGGTCCGGTGTGCTTCACTGCGAAAACAATAAATCAAAAAGCATCAATATTACCACAAAGAAGTAATATAAATCAATTTTTTCTTTGTTTAACTATACTCACATGTGAAGTTTTCATCATCGAAAGTTCTTCCGTAGATACTAATACCTCCAGTACCCTGTGAGTGTGAGGCCATATCGTAAATAACGAAACTTTAGAAAGAAAATTTCAAATGACAAAACACTGTCAAACAGTCTTGTTCTGTAATTGTAATTTATGGAGGTAAAACTTACATTTCCCTCGGTGAAATCGCCTCCCTGGATCATGAAATCCTTGATAACACGGTGAAACGTTGAGCCCTTGTACCCGTATTTCTTCTCACCTGAAAAACAGAAATCAAATTTCTTTCTTTAGTTAATGGTTTTGTTAATCATCTCTAAAGTTTAAAACTTTCAGAGTTAAAAGATTTTTACCAGTGCACAAGGCACGGAAGTTATCGACGGTTTTAGGCACGACTTCACCAAAGAGACCCATGACAATTCTTCCAAGGACTTCTCCTCCAATTTCCAAATCAAAGAAAACCTTGTTTGTCACTTTAGCTTGAGGTTCTGGTAGCACTTCTTTCTCCTTCTCATACACACAAAAAAAGATATGAATCAACACAAATCCATAAGCAGCATGATGACACGTCTATTGATTATGAGACAAAGCTAGGGGAAATCTTACAGCCGCCATTGATTTAACAGAGAACGCTCTCTGGTGCTTGGTGGTTGAAGAAGCTGCGGAAATTTGCTTGATGGGGAAACTTGCTGCATAGTGCAGTCTCGAAGATAATGCATTTCCAGAGGAACGAGCTCCGAAGCAAACTGATTGAGATGTTCGGTTTGCGGCAATTAACTGCGACTTCACACCAAAACCAATCTACACAGAAAAAATAGAGAAAAAAAAACAGAGTTTTAAGACCCAACAACCCCACAAGAAGAGTGTAATTCGATTACAGAGACTTAAAGCATAGACTTTTGCGAATTCAAATCGAGATAAAACCCCAAAATGTAGGAGTTAAGAAGCAAACCTGAGAAATGGAGCGAGAAGTGTGAACCATCTGCATTGAAGACGAAGAGGCCATTGATTGACTGATGAGGTAGAGTGAAGCAAAGAAGAAGACTTTGGTTGATTGGGTTAGCTTCGACAAGAGTCTCTAGTTCCAGATAAGTCAAGGAACCGCCTCGAGCCTTGTTTTTAAGCGTTACCAACTGTGGTGGAGTGATGATATCCTTAACATCTCACGCTAACTTACGCTGCAATGATCACGACCCTAACACTACCACTGGGCCTATTTGTAATCTACGAAGCCCAGCCTAACAATATGACACAGAGCAACGAAACCCTTGTTCTTTTCCAATAACTTAAAAAACACCCCAAACATTTTTATATGCATTATTATACCCCTAAACACAGTATGAAATGATAACATGAAAGAAAAAATAAACACAGTAACAATGTGAAGAACCAACCAAAACGACGTCATCTCGTCGATTGAATCAGAAATACAAAGCTGAAATGGGCTTAAAGGAACGGAAGCCCAAAAGGATAAAACAATTGAGTAACAATGAATGATCAAACAACGGTCACTTGCATTATTTAACTCTACAAAACGACAAAACAAATGCAAAACCAGAGAAAAAGTATGGAACAGCTCACGCAAGATCGTACGTACAAGCAACGCAGTAAATATTCAAAACAGGCTTGCAGAAAAAATTGGTGTACCCATTTTTTACTTTTAATTTCATTTCTTTGAGTGACAGTGTACTTCGGTCATTATGAAGCCAATGAATAACCAAACAGACAAAAATAAGTGTTGAATCAATTGGATTAAAGATAATTATTTTATTGATTCCGATTTGTGGTCATGAGATAAAGATAAGTTTAACAAAAGAGGATGATCCACAAACCAAGAAAAGAAACAACAATACTAATACTAGTTTATTGTTCTTCCTAAGACAATTCGCCGATAGATCATCTAGTTGCCACCACCAGACCTAGTTGGAATCAGAACCACCGCAGTTGGGGTGGGTTCTGGTTCTACACAGATCAACTGGTAATTCTTCCTAGACTTGAGAAGGAGGGCAACATCGGTCAACTCATCTGAGACGCTTCCGGTGATGAGCATCAACGTCGACGGTTCCGGATTCTCAGCTGACCAAGCCACCACGTCCTCCACCATCTTCGTCTCCTTCGCATACTTCTGTCCTGCGGGGAAGTGGTTGAGCTTGACTCCTGCGTCAGAGGGAAACTGATGACCGGTCAAGTCACCGTAAGCGTAGATCGAGACGTGACCACGATGACCAGAATCGGAAATGGAGCTTCTCATCCTCTCCAGAATCTCCGCACCGTTGAGCTCATCAGGGACATCGCATTCCGACATGTCCCAGAACACTCCTAACTCAGCAGCTGACAGATTTTGACATTAAAAAAAAAAATGTTTATTAAAGCGAATTTAAACAAAAACACAAAACATCATCTACTCAAGGTCAAGGGACATTTTAAACAAAATATCTACTAAATGAGAGAGAGAGAGAGAGAGAGAGAGAGAGAGAGAGCCGGGAAAAGGCATGGTTTTGATCTTACTGGAGTAATTTCCGGGGAAAGAGCCGGGAAAAGAGCCGGGAAAAGGCATGGTTTTGATCGGGAGAGAGAGAGAGAGGAATAGAGACTAATTTATGTTTTTGTTTAAAGTTAATATAGCGAAAAAAGAGTAAAATCTTTGGTTGAAAGGTTTGGTCCTTTTTTATAGATGCGGATGAGTGAAATCGTTGGGCGAATTTCGATTCTACCCCTTGCTAAGGCACACACACAGCCAAGTAAGTAAGAGGATACTTCAGTAAATTCTGGTATCGTTTCAGCAACAGCATTGACTGACTGGTAAAGGAAAAAAGTAACATGGCAACGAGTGTGACCCACCACCATTTTCCTTTATCTTTCGCCGGACTAATTAAGTAACGGCCAAAACAGATTAGCCATCTAATTTTCGTGTTAATGACAACAGAAGACGAGATAAGCGAGGATTTAGGTTTGGTTCATGAAAAAGCTAATCAAAAGAGGAGGACATGTATGGATCTCATGCTCTTCTACTTAGCCTAATTAAGCCAACCCATTATGAAAACTGGGCCTATGTTATATATATAAGGCCCAGCCCAACAAGATATTATACGGCTTCGTCAATACAAAATATATGCGATTTGATCCAAAACCGTCAATTTTGTAAACCAGGAGAAATTAAACTAAAGATCTTCATTGAATACAAGCGAGGAAACAGAGGCATGATCATCAGATAAGTTTTACAAAAGAGGCATGATGATCCAACAACAAAAACATAAAAGAAACCATTTTTATTTCTTCAAACTAGCGAGAGAGATGATGGATACATTTCAGGTTGGAGAAGGAATCAAAACCACGACGGTTGGGCTTGGGGGTGGGTGAATGTAGATCAAGTTGTAGTTCTTCTGCCTCTTCAAGAGTAGCACAACCTCCTCCAACTCCTCTGAGACCTTTCCAGCGACTAACATCAACGTCGATGGTGATGGGTTCTCTCCTGCCCACGCCACGACATCCTCCAGCATCTTAGTATCTTTGGCGTATTCCTCTCCTGAAAATAAAAAACATAATACTGTTTAAGATGGAGCAAAAGACATTTAACTCAAAAATTAAAAAAAAAGAGAGCAAAATCCATTCACCTGCTCGAAAGTGGTTCAGTTTCACTCCTGCTTCAGTGGGAAAATCACGACCGGTCATGTCACCGTAAGCAGCGACTGAGACGTGTCCACGGTGACCCAAATCTGTGACCAACTTTAGCAGTTTCTCCAAAACTCGAGCATCACTAGCTCCATTAGGTGTCTCACATTGGGTCATGTCCCAGAAGATTCCGAGCTCAGCATCTGAGAGATTTCACATTTTTTTTAAAAAAAATTGTTAAAAGAGAGTCGAACAAACAGCTATCTTGGGGTTATTATGAGAGGTAGGCTTGCAACTCGAGATCGGTTGCTATCTTGGGGTCTAAATGTTCCGGTGAATTGTCTCCTATGTAATGCTATCCCGGAATCAGCAAACCACTTGCTCACTGAATGTGTTTTCTCTTCTGAGATTTGGAGTAGACTCTTTCACCATCAGATTTTCACTCTTCCCACCTTAATCGATGAGATTGTTTTGTGGTGCTACTCCATCTCTGGAAACAGTAAGCTAAACACCATCTCTATGCTGCTTGTTCATGCGACGGTCTATTTCTTATGGAAGGAGCGGAATGCAAGACTTCACTCCTCTGTGGCAAAAACGACTGATGCCATTATTAAGGAAATCCATCTTCTCATAAGAGCTAAGCTTTTTGGTTTGGATAGATCCTTGCTAAATCAGACCAGATTAGCGACCTCGTCATCTTCATCTTCGGCTCTTAGTCAACAAGACTCCTTCCTGTCCAATTGGTTCGCCTACTTCCAAGTTTAAAATCCTTCTTCCTATCGGGGATGCTTTTGGATCTGCTCCAGTTAATTTAAATCTGCTTCAAATGAGTTTCTGCCTGTTGTTTTTGCTTCCTTTTTGCTTTTTATTTCCTGTTGTAACCGGTTTTTCCGGAAGAAGTTTTATAAATGGAAAATTATGAATTAAAAAAATTACACCCAAATGCACTTTTCTAGTTTATAATTACATTCAAAGGCACTTTGTGATACAAGGTGACTTTGTCCAAAAAACAAGAGAGAAAAATTCCAAAGATGCCTTTTGTTAAGTTTGCTTCGATCTCCTTTTACGATTGAAGACATTTTTTTACCGTGGGTGCCACAGTAACTTTATCTAATCTGAAGTCAGATGAACTCGCCGGAATGACTTTGGTCGTACGTCGGAAAAACTTAGATCGGAGGGAAAAAACCATAGCAAAGCTAAGAAGAACATATGTTAGATCTGGAAAAAAATCTGCTCTTATTAGATAAATTTGGGTTCACTCGCAATCTGGAAAAATTGCTGCTGTTATTAGAAGAAGAGCTATTGGATCTGGAAAAATATTCAATTTCGTTGAAATTTGGAGAAGATGAATCTGAGTTAATTTGTAGAAGATGAATCTGAGAAATTTTGCGAAGATGAATCTCAGAAATTTGGAGAAGATGAATCTGAGAAATCTCAGTTTTGTCCACATCTACATGTACACGCACTCGTGTACATGTCGCGATGCGTCCGGTGGACGCCTTTCTTTGGATAACTGTTTTGGGATATGAATGGATATGGCATGACATAAACCTCATCATCAAATTGGTATGTGTGACAAGTTTTGAGAGTCTTATACGAACAATGTCTATACAATCATATCCAGATTAATGTCTATACAATAACATATACATATTATCATATGAACATAAAACCATGAATACCATCAAAAACAACAAATCATGGATACAATCTTCTTTCATCAACATATATGTTTTATTGAATGCACAAATGCATTATGTTTAACAATGGTGATAAAAACAACAAATTCTCTTGTATTACATATTTTCAATTAATGAGAGTCAAATAATTAAAAATCATATTCATACAAACCCGTCCACGAGTCATAATCGACAGAAAATGATGTAGTGGTCACATTTGAATTCAATTTCATGGACTGCTCAGCGTAGATACGTCGCAAACACGCCTAGATTTTTACCCCTTCATGGAGGGATGGGCAATGTTCATGACTAATACGTAATAAATGGGATGGATTGTTGTATATGAGTGAGGGGATATTGGACATCCGAGATGACCTAAAAATGAATGCATATACATACACCACAATTGGACAGAGCCATATGGATGGATCCGTTTGGATATAGAAAACAATCAACTAATCTTAATGCAATAGATCTATGAGATTCACTAAACCTACTAAAATCACGAAGAGTCCATGACTTTGTGTCCACACAGTCATGTACACGAAGACATGTCCACATACACATCTCATTAAAGATGCCAAAATTTAAACATTTTTTGCTAGTTTGTTATCAAATAATTCCTTCATAAACGTATTTGTTTATGCTAGTTGTGTCCACGCAACCGCATCCATGTGGATAGGTATTCATTTCTTTGTATAATACACTGCTTTCATCCATTGATTCTTGCATAACTGCATCTATTCATGTCTTCTATGTCATTTATAAGAAAATAGGAAAAAAAAATTCATTGGTAAATATGAATAATAGTGAAAGAGAATAAATATTAGGTTTCTGTGGATGGGGGGTTCTGTACAATTAGGCTTACCAACGACATCAACCTTAGGCACTTAGAGTTCGCCGTCCATGGACTGCTGTCTATCAAGGTCACTGTTCCCATCCACATCATCCGGTCCACTAATGACCATGTTCGTGTCATAGCTGCCAGATACGACACTATCTACCGCCGGCAATGCAGCATGTATGCCTCCACTTCTGCCTCCACTTCTTCTCCTCCTTGGATGGGCAAGTCTGGATGGGGGTGTGTGGACAGTGTGAATATAATAATTTATGTTCACCATCTGCAGTATATAGTACTGTATTGTCTCCCATGAAATCATAATACTATAGGCGGATAGTTAGAAAGTACAATCCACATGGCTAACTATGTTACAACTATCATCTATCTATTCTTTAATAAACGCATATGTCCATGTTAGTGTCATCCATATAAACGCATATGTCCATGTTAGTGTCATCCATGACACTGCATCCATTTTTCAAATATCATAGATAAGTTATCTGTCAATACAAATATATAATAGACAAGTTATCTGTCATATAAGAGCGGCTAATAACAAGAAATTGATACAATAGTGATACCGACAGAGGGAGCGGTAGAGATGAACAATTGTGTTTTCACATGGACAAGTGAACCCATTAGCAGATATGTATTCTGTTTCATACAGACAAGAAAACGACGAGATTAATTCAGAGAAGGAGTCCCACTTATGCTGCTAGTTGGACAGGGGACTATGTACAAGAAGGCTTAACCACACAAGACTTCTTCGGAAGTTCGAGATCTTCGTCCATGGACTGCTGTACATTTTGATCATTAATCTTATCCACATCCACCTCACTAAGCGATTTTAGTGTGGATATCCGAATATATGTCATGGATATGATTTTGTGGACACAAAGATAATTAACAATTGAGCGAGTGTTTGTTGAGTTGTTGTTTATCGCCTAGACTATTCCATAGAACCGTATCCATATGATTGTGTCCATACATCAATATCCATATGGATATAACACATGTGTCCATATCAAAGTGTAAATATAGTTCTGAAATTAGTTCTCAGTATATCCAAAACTCAACACACAAACTTTACAGGAAAGACCAATAGCCACATGAAGTCGTGGACATAATACTGTGGATATGAAGTCGTGGACAAGATAACATGTACATATTTAGCTCTTATATGGACGATAATATATGGACGAGCTTCATCAGTTAATACACATAACTAATCTTACAAGTATGGTGTACAATGGATAGAAAAGTGAAAATATACTAGCATAAGAGATCGGTTAATCCAACTAACAGTTTTTCATAAATATTGTTCATATTCCAAACAATTAAAATTGAAAACAAAAATGAAAATGAGGGGTGGCTCACCAAAAACACTAATTAATGTATTGACAGGTTAAAGTAGACATGAAATTGAGAAGCGATGTAAAACGCCAAAGCTAAAGCTAGCAACATAAAAACTTTCAAATACAATGACATAGCCATGACAAAAAATTTCATCGATGTGCATTTGTGCGTTCAATAAAACGTATAATGTTGATGAAAGAAAACTTAATCCACGATATATTGTTCTTCATTATACTATGAGATGGTCATCGTACTATAAAAAACTGAGTCTTGTTATATAGATGTCACATCATATTAGTTACTTTTTGTAAAAACACCCATAAGGCAGTTCTTAGGGTGGATGTCCATATGAACGGCTTCACATGGACAAGGAAATGACGGGAGGGCACAACTGCTTAATTCAGAGAAGGAGTCCCACTTTTGCTGCTAGTTGGACCGGGGACTCTGTACAAGAAGTCTTATCCACGCAAGATTCCTTCGAAAGTTTGAGGTCCTCGTCCATGGACTGCTGTACACTTAAATCACCAATCTTATCCCCATCAACCTGACCAAGTGGTTTAAGCGTGGATATCCGAATGTATGTCATGAATATACATGTTATAAATGGATACAGATGATAACCATTACAACATACAAAAACGGTTGCCATCCTATTCTGCACCTGACGGATGGCCAACCACATGTGGCCAAGATTACATGGACAGCTGAACGTGGCTAAAATAAGTTTTCCACCCATCTTTCTCCGTCAGCTTATCGATTATCGAATCTTTGACAGAAACTTCAATTCCTATGAGAAACCAGAAAAAAATTAAAGACATCTACACCATTTTTCCTTCTAAACTTATGATAATTCCAATAGTAAATAGAGCGACAGATTAGAATCACCTTCTATAGCTTTTCTTGTATCCTCTTCTTTCAAAACACACAAAGAGACGACGGGATTCCTATGGGATAGCTGTCCTTCGAATAGAGAAACCTCGTCGGAAGAAATCTTTGGTTAGAGTGGTTGAAAACTCAACAATGGATACGATGGTGGTACCGGCAGCGTGAACGGCGAGAAATTACGACGGTAAATTTTAGGGTTATTCTGTTTTGGCTATTTAAGTTTCTGATTTGTAGAAAAAAAGGTAAAATGTGGAAGAAGGTGAAACGGTGGAATTCACATTAAAAGTAAAGAGAAGAGTTTTTGGTCTTTCTATTAGCCCAAAGTCACCATGAAGCACAAAGTGCCTTTATTGTAAGAATGAAACTCATAAGTATCTATGAGTATAAATCACTCTTTACTATGACATAAAAATTAAATATATCAACTAATTGAGAGAGAGAGATCTTACTGGTGTAAATGTCGAGGAGAGGAGTACGAGACATGGCTTTGACGGATTGATGGATGGAGAGAGGAACAGAGACTATTACACGTTTTGGTGCTTTTGGAAAATTATTAAAAAAAAGAGCTGCGCAAAAGAGAGAGAGAGAGAGTGTGGGGTAGTAGAAAAAAAGGTATTTTATAGATGCGGATGGATTATAGAAATTAGGGTTCCTTCTCCCTTATAACAGGCTTGCTCGGGCTCATTTTCCGATTCTATCCCTTGCTGAGTCCAAGTAGATGAGGGCAATTTAGTGACTTCCGAGTATAAAACAGGTTGTTCGGCTTGATTTCCCGATTCTACCCCTTGCTTTGACGAGGGTAATTTAGTGACTTCGAGTATCAGGCATCTGGTCACACCGTCACAGTCGGCGATATACTTTGGGCCATTTGAGGTGTAGTAAATGGACCTGTTTCATTGTAAAGTGGCCTTGTTAACAAAATATAACATTCCTTCACGGAATGAAATTAGCCAACGTGAGAGATTCAGCGGCCACAAAATAAATGAATCTAGTAGGAGAGTCATTGGGAGAAATTCGAGTTGAATCAAATTAATAAATTTAAAATCTGGATATAAATATTAATTCTCGAAATGAAAATTCAACTGAAACCCGAATTTACAAAAACTATAGTTGTCAAAAAAAAAAAAAAAAAAATACCGAGTGTAAGGCCAAAACATGAACCAAAATCCATCGGTTATATCATTTGCCTTGAGGAAAAAATAAACATGTGAAGAGTGTGACAGAGTAGATTAGCTTAGCCGGACTAAGTAACGGATTAGCCATCTTCGTGATAATGAAAATCTGACTGGTCTCTTGTTAATGAGATGGAAGACGACAGAACAGAGATTAGTGAGGAATTAGGTTTGGTTTATGAAATGCTTAAGCGGCTAACCCACCCTTTAGAGAGCAAATGACTACTCAACCCTAACATGGATTAGTAGGGTGTTAATTCTCATGCTAATTTACTTTAGTGGGTGATTAAGACAACTGAGAAGGCCCAGCCCAACAAGATAAATCTATGGTTTTTTTTTTTTTTTTTTTTTTCAACAAAATCTATGGTTTTTAATACACCTCACATGTTACTTTGTATAATTTTCCAACTATGAAAATCATATATGAAAAGAGGCCAACTCTCTCCATATTGTTGACACATGGATACAGGAGAAAATGACACATATTATATAATTTTCACTTTAAAAAACAAAAATCCAAAATTTAATATAACATTAATGCAACTTTTGGTCTTCTTTTGTGCTTATTGTAACATACAAAATATATTTTTATATAATTTTCACTTTAAAAAAATATCCAAAAGTTTAATGGAATTTCAATGCAACTTTTGGTTTTCTTTTATGCCCATTGTAACATATAAAATTAAAAAAACTATTATATCACTTTAAAATTATTATCCTTTGTCATTAATCTTGAATCACTATTAAACATTTAAGTTTTCGAGAATTGGATTCAGAAAAAGCGATGGCAGAGAAGCAGAGTGTGTTCCACGTAGCGGTGAATAAATAAAGAGTGTCAAGGGTTTAAAAACATGTGGTATTATACAAAACTATATATTTGAAAGTCTAATGAAGCAAATAAAAATTACAATACATGTATTGTTGTTACAATACAGGTGTATTTGGGTTAAAAGATTAATCACAAATCTATAATTGTTTTATACTCCAAGCAAATAAGAATTAAAATACGGATGTTGGATTATTTAGAGTAACATTTTTCTTAAACTATAACAATAAGAAAATCCGCGCATACGCGCATTAGTCTAGTATTATTTGATCTTAAATGATATAAGTTGTATGATCTGGAACAAAATTCGGTTTAACCTAGGATTGGAGGAAACGAAAACTAACGCTTAAGAGTTAATACAAATATACCTACATCGTTAGAAAAGGACGTTACATCTCTCCTTCAGTTTTGCTTTACGTTTACGTTAGTTTAGCTTTTGCATAATTTTCCTCAACAAATTCAAATATAAATAACGATCCAATCGAAACATAAAATATCACACAGTTGCAAACAAGAGTTTCTAATCTCAGGATCTATTATCAACAATCTCTGTCTCTCTACAGTAACATTATCAAAGCATGGACTCAAGATGTTACTGCTTCTTCTTTGCTTTGTTATCTCTCACTGTGATTGTTCTTGCTTACGATCCTGACTCGCTTCAAGATCTATGCGTTGCAGATCACTCTTCAGGTAACAAATAGCCAGAATTTTACATTTTAATAGTATTTGTGATTTTTGATTAGTTTCTAAAAGTTTTAAGTATTTGTTTTGCTATGTAGACTTGTGTTAATTATTCGGACCAAATTAAATATCTTTATTTTGTTTTGTAGGAACAAAAGTGAATGGGTTTACATGTAAGAAGGAATCAAGCATCACCGCCTCAGATTTCTTCTTCGCCGGAATCGGCAAAGCCGCCACCGTTACTAACGCAGTCGGATCCGCCGTCACGGGAGCAAATGTAGAGAAGATCCCAGGGCTTAACACGCTCGGAGTCTCCCTCTCACGTATCGACTACGCGCCCGGAGGTTTAAACCCACCGCACACGCACCCACGCGCCACCGAAGTAATCTTCGTGTTGGAAGGCGAGCTCGACGTCGGGTTCATCACGACGGCGAACAAGCATTTCGCTAAGACGGTGAAGAAAGGAGAAGTCTTCGTCTTCCCGAGAGGACTGGTGCATTACCAGAAGAACAGCAACAAAGCGAAACCAGCTTCGGTGATCTCGGCGTTCAACAGTCAGTTACCAGGAACACAATCTATCGCCGCCACGCTTTTCACCTCGACTCCGTCGATTCCAGATAATGTTTTAACGACGGCATTTCAGATCGGGACGAAGGAAATCGAAAAGATCAAATCAAAACTTGCTCCGAAGAAAGGCTAAACTCCGAGGAATTTCTAAATTGCATTAATATAGATACATTGTTAGCTTTATTTCTTTTATAAGATTGTTTTTAATAAAAGGGAGAAAAAGGCTTATTGATAAAGAGTAACTCGCTGAATCGAAAGCAGGTTTTTTAACTTTTAAGCAATTACATAAGAGCAAACCTATAAACAGAGATCTCTCTACAAAGCAAACAGAGGAGAAAAAGCTGTACAATTTTTTATACACTAAAGCTGTAAAAAAAACGAACAACATAACTTGCCTACATTTATATATATGCGTGAAACTGAAATCGAAACTGAAAATGAAACTCAAAAACACTTATCATTTGTCTATCCTGAGGTTATGACAGAGATGTCCAAGTTCCGGCCGTGATCGCATCCAATCCAAGAATTTCATTTCTTCTGGCGACGTGCAATAGAGGTATGATCTGAATGTTATTAGATAAAAGTAGCGCCTGCTCATTCAAAACAACAACAAAATTTGAATTATTTGTTTGGATATGGAATGAAATGAAATGAAACGAAGATCGGAGTTATGTGACTTACCTTAAGGCTTTAACACCCATGTCCATGATGTATGAACGGGTTTCGTCTTTTGTAATAGGAAGCTTGTTGAGCTCTTTGGTGTAGTGAACAATGTCTTCTCTCAAATGTCCTGCACCAGCACACCTACAATACCATAATATGCCAAAACGAGAGAATCATCACGTCATGAGCGATGTAATTTGAATAAAAATATGTCAAAAGAGATTTGATTTTAACTTACAGCTCGACTATTCCATCTACGTCTGATTTGCTTTGAGGACCATGAGAAAGCACTCTTATGAGACTCAGTATGTCGCGGTAATCCCCCATGCTCAAGGCTTCTTCATCACAAGCCCGTGAAGGCGAATCATCTTCTTCTAAGGCAGAAGAATTTGTGTTTGGTGTAGCTGTGAGTTTCTGACCAGGTTGAAGTAGGAGACAAGTAATGGCCATTGCATAAGAAACTCCTCCGAAACCAGTGTGTGATACAAACAAGTAACTCCCAGCAGAACTGTTGAAAAAAGTGTGCCCATAAGTTAAAAACGGAACACATTTGGTAAATATATAATTAAAGAAAAGAAACAGAGTACTGAAACTTACTCGTCTTTACAGTACTGGATTGCGTCTACATCGGAAGCCAATGCGTCTCTTTCTCTGGTTAAAGGTATTCTCCTGTAAGATATGTTGTAATTTTCGTTTTTCAGAGCAGCATATACTTCTGCAGGCGTCTTCACATTATCTGGTTGAATATTCTCCCAATATCCTATCACTCGAGACTCATTTGATGCCGGGCTATATTCTTCGCGATGCAATAGCATTCGACCTCCGGTCTCTCTAACCTCAGACAATATATCTTCTTTTAACCGTGTCTCTATGCTCTCTACCTGCATCGAAGATACAAATCAATAAAAACCGCATGTGGAACTTGCGCTATAATCAAAGGTGTGATGATGATTTGAGGCATTACCACTGCACCGGTTATTCCCACATGCTTGAGGGTATCAACAGGTTTACTCAATTCTCTCAATACAAATGGAGTTCCATTGATGTAAACAACTGCTTCTTCTCTCAAATCTGTTACTACGATTCTTGCTGCTGAATCCCCACCTTCTTCCTTCACTTTGGTGCCTAAATATGCGAGCATCTTTTTAGCTCCGGAGATTGTGGGAGTTGCCATGCTATACACAGGATATCTATCGACCTGAAAATTAATATGTTGCCGGTTCATGTTATTAGGCTGTAACGTCACGGTGAAAGATGTTATCACATATCTTTGAAGCATTACCTTGTGTACGTGAGGTGCACCATTAATCTGCATACGACTTGAAGTTCTCTGGCCAGGGAAAAAGTACATTTTAAGTATAGAACCTTTTCCCAATACAGAACCACTCCGTTCGTTGACAATTGACTCCATGACTGCATCCCCATGTTGCGATTCATGTTGTGCCCGCAATTCCTCCTGCGTGAAAGATCATTCAAAGCTGTAATGTGCAAATTAAAGAAAACTTTTCAAGTTTTCCAGAATTATGAGACAATGACTCACAGGAATGGTGAAAAAACGTCCAGGCCTTAGCCTTATGCTCCACTTCATGGCTTGCACCTCGGGTCTCTGATGCAACCAATTCTTGAAAGTCATCTTAGACTCTCCTTTCACAAAGAATTCGTCAAGAGTTTCGCTTCCAAGATATGCAGCAAAGGCAATCAACCGGAAGTATCTCTCCAAGTATTCAGCGCCACGTTTCAAAGCAGCACTTCTTACTCTTGGCTCAACATGTTGTTGGTTGAAAACCTTCCTGTACTGCAGAACAGCTTCACGTATATTTTGCAATGCAGAACATCTATCAATTACAGCATCTAACGCCTCACGAGATTCAACCCCATTATCGAATAGTCTAGTGATTTTCCACAACAGGAGGATGTCATCCATTCCAAATGCACGGCCGTGCTCGTCCTCAGTTCTTTGTCCTTCACTCCGAGGCCTTGTTTCAGCGTTATTACTTCCAGTTTCTTCACCACCGCTTGAGGAATCTTCGTCCACAATTTCATGAGTCAGAACGTCATACAGAACCTTAATTGGTCTCCCATAATTGATGCGGAGCTTCACTAGACACGCAATGACAGTTCCAGTAGTTGTTCTACCTCTCCCCATCTGTGAATGTTGAAGTAAAGAAAGGAAATGCTGTAAGTCGAAAAGCATCAAGGAAATATTAAATACATTGAAAGACTCGAGAAGATTTGGAAACTCAACCTGGCAATTGAAGACAAAAGCAGTGTCTTTGGAAGCAGAAGCAATATTCGATGTCAACATGTCAAAGTCTGAGCTCTTGGGCGCTTTACCATCGGTTATAGGTACACGTGCATACTTAATCGGAAAACCATCAGCCTCTAAACATTTGTAGACCTCGAGGGGTGTTTGAACAGAATCAGCATTCACATGTTCCCATAAGTCAAAAATCTGTCCATCCTTGGTTTCGTGAATGACCATTATCGCACCGTCATATCGCTTGGCTTCTCTCAGAATATCCTCTTTCAGACGAGCCTCCATTCCTTCCACTCTATCTCGATCAATCCCCTAAATAAAGGTATATTCTAGTAAGTTTTACGACCGAATCATCAAGTGTTGAGATACAGAGAAAACATAGATTATTACCGTATATTCTAGCATGTTCTTATATGGCCTTTCAACTTCACGCAGAACAAATGGTTTCCCATTGATATATATAACAGGTTCTTCTCTCATGTTGTGCCAGAAAACTGGCCGGCCACCTCTTGAACTCCCAACCCTTTCAATGACAGATCGAATACCATCTATAGTTGGATTCGCAACACCATACACAGGAAATCCTGGAACCTCTCTAAAATTCGGTGCTCCTTCCACCCTCTCTGGTAGACTTGAAATCTGACAACCGGGACTATGATCGCTCTTCAGAACAGTTTGACTTCCCAGAACTGCCCCACTTCTAAGTGCAGCGACAACACTCATCTCATGAGGCCGTCCGTCAGTAGATTCTGCAATCTTTGCCAAAGAAGGTTTCATAGCTGCATATCCAAGGGCACCCATAGGATCTCTTCTGAGCAACCTGAAATTGGCAGATGAACTTACATGAGACACCTGAAGATCATATGCAGTCTAAAACACGAGTACCAGACTAATTTTGGCATTCAAATTCTTCTACAACTGCTTAAAATAGATACAACTGCAGAGAGATACTTTAACATAGGAAAAGTCTTTTAAATGACATGTTCTTAAACGGCTCCTATGTAAACATGAGGTACAACCATATCTAAAAGCAAGCAGAAGAATAATAGGTTCAAAGTTCTAGACAAAAATAAACTGATTATCAAGTACCTGCGAAGAATGCTATAGAGCTCTGGCCTAGCTCGCATCCAATCAGTAAAACTAACATGGCCAAGCGAACCAGATTGGAGGAAAGCACCCTCTGAATGAAGATATACAGCAAAGCATATAAGGAAGTAATATCTTTCCAGGTACTCAACAAAAAATGAGAGTGCTGCCTCTCTCTTCTTTTCATCGGGTTGACGCAAAATACTACTGCGATATGTTGCAATTGCCTCTCGTAAGTTCTGTAAGTTGATTAATGAATAAATTTTAGACCTTTTACCCTAAGTGAAGACCCATAAAGTAAAAGCTATACAGCTTCTTAAATATCAGATCATATACTTAGGTATTAATATTGACAAAAGTACCTGCATGGATGCACATTTGTCGATGACTTTATCAACTTGCCTTTTGCCTTCTACACCACCCTGGAATCATGAAACAGTTAATAGTTAGAGCCTGCAGGACAAGTAAAATGATCACATAAAGACAACCAGAAAGGGACTACATACCTCTAAGACTCGTATCAAACTTCTAACAACTGCATATTCCCCTCTACGGATTGCCTCCTCAGAATTAGGCAGATTAATAGTAATGTTTTCACCAGCTTTAAAGATTCTCCCAAAAGAGTTGTTTCTTGGAAATCCTTGATCTTTATCCAACATAATGTACAAAAGAAAAAAATGACAGGTTAGTAGAAACCCCAACCATAATGTACTCGTTGTATCTAGTCTATATATTGTTCCAGAAAACGCGGCTCCTGGTCTTACATATAAGCACTCGTAGATACGACATTCCAAAAGTATAAAAGTTAACAATTCAAAATTATGTTCTCCAAATTTGGGTTTTGTTTCAAATAATTCATAAAAACAGCATTCGTTAGACTCTCTTCTCATCTTCTTCTTAAGTTGATTGGTCGGAGAAGATGAAGTACCTGATGCTCCAGTACGTTTGAAATAGACGAGAGTTGCAATCACCATTCCAGTCGTTGTACGTCCACGTCCCATTTGACAATTAAAAATTATCTCCGTATTGATGTCAGCCTGAGATATCTTCCTAATCTGCAAACACGAATGTATCTTAAAACTTTAACGGACAGGAACATAGTAACCTTAGAGCAATGGCATAAAAATAATTTCTCCTGGCCACAAAATGCTTTAACTAATTCCGTAAGCATAAGACTTACCAACGTATCAAAATCTGTTTCTTTTGGTGACTTTTCATCAGTTACAGGAACACGTTCATAATCGACAAGGTAGCCTTCAGCTTGTAGTTCTTCGTAAACCTAGATCCAGAGAAGTGTATAAGCAAAAATCATGAAACGAACCTGGAAATCTCAATAAAAAAAAACAGGGTGCAGGCTCTGTTTAATACACATACAATGCATAATTCCAGTGTCCTACCTCAAGCAGCGTCTTTAAAGAATCAGTTGATACTGGCTCCCATTGGTCCACCATCTGACCATCTGGCAGTTCATCAGTGACAAGTATCTTATTCCCATATCTGCCAGGCAAATGGTCAGATATACCAAAGCAAAAACAATGATACAAACAAAGTTAGATCATCTAAAGGACCCAGTGGCTACAGTGAAATATATACCTAGAGGCCTCCATGAGAATATCTTCTTTTAACCGAGCTTCCATTTGCTCTACCCTCACCCTGTTGATTCCCTGACCAAAACATAAACTTAACGTCACAAATGAAACGTTCCACGTGGACACAGTGCTACTGATGAAAGTCTACTAGGATAACACGGCCTTTGTACCGTGTACTCGAGATTGGTGAAAGGTTTCTCCACATCACGTAGAACAAATGGTCGCCCATTAATGTATACTACCTAGCAAATGTGTAGTAAATGGCAAGTTAGTAAGAAAAGATATAAGTAACACATTCCTCTGGCTTTATATTCGAGTAGATGGGCTTACCGGCTCCTCCCTAAGACTAATCCAAAGAACTTGTACTTGTTTCCCATCCTTGTGAGCTCCAATGTGCCTGAGAACGTTTCGTATCCCAGCAGCGGTTGGGATTGCAACACCATGTACACGTAGTGAATCAGCCTGTAACAAAGACCACAAAACCATCAGCAGGTGACAAAATGAGATCACATTTAATCCTGATATCTTCACAATCTGCATTTTGGAACTCACGAAACATACATAAACACAGGGAAAGCAATTAGGCAGTATTAAGCTCTAAATATTTAACGAGTATGAAATCTAGATTCCACCTCAAATCAATAAAATGCCTAAACATTCGATTCCTAAGTAGCCCAAACGTATCAGAGATTCAGCTCTAAAGACGCAGGACATACCAAAATCGTTCACTACCACCATAGCGGTGTCAAAATTCACAGCTCGAATCGAATTTATCATTCGAAATAACAACAACTAGGAACCAAAGAGAAAGAGAATCGAAATCGGGGAATGGGAGAGAGGACCTGACGGTAATTGGGAGCGCCATCGATCTGAGGAGACATACGCTTGTTCTGGCATCCTGGAAAATGGTCGCTCTTAAGAATCGTCTTCTTCCCAAGTACCGATCCATCTCTCAGCTTCATCACCTGCTCTGGCTCTTTCGGTATCGACATCTCTCATCCAACAAACTTCCACACACACACTTCTCACCACAGAGCTTCCAAAAACTCACAGATTCGATGAACGAAAAAACAAAAAAAAAGTAATCCCGTCGTCTTCCAAAGTCTCCGAACGAACAACTCGACTCCTCTTTTCACTCTTAAACTGTTCTCCAATCCGGTATACGACAAAATCCAACACAAATGCGGAGCGAAGAATCGGAGGAATATTCCTGATTCGCAGACAACAATCTCAGGGCTGAGAAATTTTCTCGCGCGAGAAAGAAAAAGAAAATCGAAAGTTTGGGATAGATGAAGAAAACGGATAAGGTCGCGAGAAATGGAACGAAACGAATTAACGCGGAGGATAATTCCAACAAACACACAAAAAAAGATGGAGAGAATAAAGAGAGAAGAGCTCACACGCTAAATTGTTAAACTAGATTAGCTTCAAGGTGGACCTGTATATATAATACACAGATCGGTTAAATTAGCTAATTAGTATTAGAATAGTAATTAGAACTTTGGTATAAGAAAGGAGGAAACAATCTAGAAGGCTCGGTTTGGAAATTTTTCTTTGTTTATAAAACTAAATTTGTTTGGTGCGATTTTGATTTTAGATTTGATTCACATTTTAATTTGTAGTTTTTTAGTTTCAGTTCGGTTACCATTTTCTAATAATAACTAATACGACCTATCTAATTATTTTATATATGAGATTTTCAGTTTGATTTCTTTGTTTAGTTTATGTCGGATAGTTTAAATTTATCAGAAACCAACACGTTTTTAAAAGCTTAAAGCTAACAGTAAAGAGATTAGAAATATGCGTTGGTTGTGATGGTAACAAAGTGGACTTTTAAAAAGCATAAAGTAAAAATAAAAGTAGCCTCCGAAGAAGAAGAAATACAAGAAGAATGGCAAAGGAGATAAAATTCCCATTGGTCAGTAAATACTAAATAGTAAATGGGATGTGGGTCACGCGTCACACGAGGACGTGAAAGGTGTGTCTTTTTCTTTATTAATGTACTACTTTGTCTAATCTTGTCGTGTTTCTAATTTCACTACGCCTGCTTTATTTACTTGAGAATTCAGACGAAAGCATACACCCACGATAGTGCCATCCATGGTGGTAGTGTAAAGAGATAGACTGTTTAACGATTGTGGATAAAATATCTGTTACTTGTAAGAAGATGAAGAAGAAGAAACAGTTATAATAGTAGATAAACAATGGGATATTCTTTTGGGATGCGACAAGGGCAATCACCACCCACCATATATTTGGTGATTTTACCATCTTCACATACAGGACAAACGAGCGTGACAAAAACTTCTCTATCCATATCCAAGTTTGTGGCGAAAACAAAAAGTATTTGCATTTCAGTATTATGAATTTAAACGAAGAAGCGAAAATTAACTTCTTATGATAAAAACAAAAAAAAAATATGGAAATATCTCTATTATTTACAAAATCGAAACTTTTAATCAAATAGTTTTGGAAATATATGACGGGGAATATTGGACGGCGAACACGTGCTTTGTAATTCTGGTCGCATGCTGCATACTGTTTTTAACGTTTGTCAAAACGTGTACAGTAAATTTATATATCAAAGACTCACAAAGGAAATTCTTCAGTCTCTGTTTTACTTTTTATTTTTGTTAAAGGCCTTCATCAGTCTTTTTGTTTTGTTCTCTATAAAGTGTCTTCTGCCTTTGACGGGATACACAAACATTATACACAAACATTATATACACAAACGGTTAAAGAAAGTATGCCAAACTCTATAAGTATTTAACCGTCCATTATGTGGAACTATGGAAGTGCTGATAGTCCATGTTTCTTTACTAATAAGATACTGATATCTAGATGAAAAATAAAGTTATCTATGATCTAAGATACGTAAAATGTAAAATGCAAATCATATGTATAGTTTCGTAGACGTGTATACATAGCCGTATCTTTCGTAATTCATGATCGAATATCATTGACCAGTTGCTTCGCTATATATGAACTCTTAAATATTGACTCTATAAAGTCCAGGTCTTGCATATGTATTATATTATCACCTAATAACAACTATTGGCAAACGACTCTTGTAACACGTCGTGAGTTTGACATGATCGGATTCTTCGTTTGATTCTCTGCTTTTTAAAATGTGTTCCCACTTGTTAAATGGTATTTTTATCATAAACAAGTACTATATTGGTAAGAAAGCAAAACAATCAATAAACAAAATAACAATTAAACACGCGCATTTAACACGGTCTACAGAAATACTAGTTTTTTTACTTTTAGTCTTAATCTCTTGCTAAACAAGCCAACCAAGGTTATATACAGATGACAAGTATGTACATCGATGTGCTTTGTAATTTATTGTTTACGTAATTTTCATGAACTTACAAACATTACTGAAAGTCTTGTTCACATTTCTTAAAGAAAACATCATCATACGAAAGTCCTGAGTCCATATAATTTATTAGGCAGATTGAAAATATCCATAGGTAGTATTCTACCCACATAACTGACTTTGAATAAAATATCTTTCTGATAATTTCAAAGACAACATGTCAACAACTTAAGTGTATGACATGTTTACATAATTGTGACCTGTCACATCTGATTGATTGATGTTTTATATTTAAAATGCGATTCTCGTGAGCTTCAATATGTGGTTCACAAGCTTTTTTGTCATTTTTCTCTATATTTAGAATTTAGTCATTAACTTTTTTTTAGCTTTGATGTTGATTTGGTCATGGAGATGTCTAGGTCATTAACAAATTTGTAATCAAACGAGGGACCAAGTAGACGGTATTATATAAATCTCTGTCGTATGAAATTTGTTCAATTATCAATTTGTTTATGTCCTGCGATTTGGAAGATCCCTACCATATCATGTCCACATATATAATATATCCATCCTCTCACGACAAAATGAAATATCCTTTACAAAAAATATCGATCACTCAACAAAGTGATAGTAGTTTATCTTTTGGCTGGAGTTAAAACGTGGCACATAGTAGATGTTTTGCCTAAGTCACAGCAAATTTCTCTCATCATTGTACGTTTTATGCTTAATATGAAGTTTTATATTCTAATCATTTGTTGTAAAAATATAGTTTGAGCCGGTTTGTTTGGCAGTTCAAGGATGACAAAGACTATATATGTCAAATATATCATACACAAAAACATAATTTTTAAACGCACTGAATCTAGAAGCTACCAACCACCAGAGATGGATCTCTGCACCTATTGAGCGCCGGCCTCATCAGTTATCTTCTGAAGTTTCTCGGCACCTTGTGAGCTTCCCTCCTCATTCTGACGTTTCTTGGCACCTTGTGCGTTTCCCTCCTCATCAGAATCTGACTCAGACGGCTCGTAGATAGGGTGACCTCCAGCACGGAGAATTGACAGCGCCAAACTAAGGTTGCAGTATCAAAATCTGGCACTTGCGATGCTGGACAGTCATCGGGCACTACGAACCATACCTCATAACATTTTTCCCTCAAAGCCTGCATAATGCTGAACAACCTGGTGTCTTCTCTGGAATGTCTTTCATAGCTATGAGAAAATTTGCACCATATGGATCACGATTGTGGTGTGCATACTCAAGCACGTCCAATAGCATCCTATTCAGCCTCTCACGTTTCTCAGCCCCTGAAATATCGATATCAACGCACATGCACATGCATATTATTATGAGCATCGATGACTCAATGTTGCCCTAAGCCAAACCTATCACATCATTTTTCCTAATCGTTATGCAAAAGCCAAGTTCCTCATTCGACTTCTAAATTGATAAAACCAAACGATGTTGAATCCCTTTGTTTACCTTCTTGTTGGAGCCAGATTCCGGCCCTGCGAATCTCGATCCTCTCTTGATTACTTATTTCGTCACCATAAGCATAGAATTCGACCTCACCAACAAAACGTTCATTACTAATAGCTCTCTCGACTTTAAGACAAAAGTGATCCAAATCGCCATCCAGAGGGAGTGGGAAATCCACGACGTCCCAGAAGACGCGTGTATCCGAATCTGCCAACGCATTTTTACAATTAGGAAACAAATCATCTTCATCTTCGCACCAAAGAGTATATATATACATCTTCATTACTTACAGTATGGAGGCTGCTCTCCGTGTCCGTGTCCATGCTTTCTGCCATCGATTGAGAAAAAAAACTGAACAAAGGAAGTTTTAGGGTTACATCCATGTTTTAGAATAGGTGCAAACTTAGAGGGGTTATTTGATTAATAAAATAGTCCGGGGTTTACTATGATAGATTTCAAATGTCTAGTACTTTATATGCAATTTCGTCTTCATTTACCAAATTATCATCGACGACGGACCCGGTTCAACATTATTTTAACCCGACCCGGTTATCTGGGGCAGACGCCGATAGATTTCGAGTCTGTTCGCCGGGGAAATTTATCTTCTCTTCCGTTTGGGAGCGGAAAGATGGCGACCGTTTTAGCGCTGAGTCGCTGCTCGAGTTCTGTACGGAGAGCGTCCGATAACTTACTTAACCGGCCACCGGTCTCCTTCGCCAGGAGTTTGAAATTCAGTCGCCGGCTAATCGGGAACTGCTCGATTGCGGCGGCTCCTTTTGTTGTGGCGGACGACGAGAAGTACGGGAAGAAGCAGGTTATCAGTCTCACTCCTCGCCTTTACGACTATGTCCTCTCCAACGTTCGCGAGCCTAAGGTAAGCATCTCTTCCTCTGCTTTCGATTTTCTTCGTCCCTTTCTCGGAATTAGTGATTTGTCTCTTGTTTGATTATGTTTAAAGATTCTGAAGCAGCTTCGGGAGGAGACTGCCAAAATGCGAGGTAGTCAAATGCAGGTAATAATAGCTTATGTTGGTTTATTGAGGTGAACAAGATTGTAACTTAGAGGAATGGATAATTCTTTTTCTGTTCTTGTCACTACCATAAATTACAGTTGATTTTGGGTGTAGGTATCTCCGGATCAGGCGCAATTACTAGCAATGCTTGTACAGATTCTTGGAGCAGAAAGGTGTATTGAAGTCGGAGTTTACACGGTGTTAAATCTTCTTCCTATGAGTTTCTTGAGCATATTGTTATTATTGCTGGCTCAGGGTTTTGTTCCTTATGATAACGAGCTAGTGTTTCCAACAGGGGTATTCATCATTGGCTTTGGCGTTGGTTCTACCAGAATCAGGGTGCCTAGTTGCCTGTGAAAGAGATTCTAATTCTCTTGAAGTTGCTAAGAGGTACTACGAGCTTGCTGGAGCCTCTCACAAGGTGAGACTGAAGTCTTTTAAAACTAGTGATTCTCTGCGTGTAAAATGGTGAAGGATCCAGGTCGATTAAACTAGTAAACTAGTGATTTGTTTACTCTAGTCAGGTTACTGTGAAGCATGGTCTTGCAGCAGATTCATTGAAGTCCATGATTCAGAACGGTGAAGGATCCAGGTCGATACTACACTAGGCTTCTTTCATATTTAGTGACAAGAGTGTCTTTTACTTGAGATTTGCCTTATGTCAGCTTTTCTTATTCGCAGCTATGATTTTGCGTTTGTCGATGCTGATAAGAGGATGTATCAGGACTACTTCGAATTGCTTCTTCAGCTTGTAAGACCTCCAAGATCACAATGCTAGTCTCTTTTTCCGTAGGGGTCAAGTTAGATTTAGCGGTTGTCTCTGGTGACGCAGGTCAGGGTTGGTGGAGTCATTGTGATGGATAATGTACTTTGGCATGGACGAGTTGCGGATCCAATGGTATGTATGCATCTTACCATAATCATGTTCCAAAAAGCTTCTCCGAGGAGAAGAAGACTATATAATCTCATAACGATAAATATCAACAGGTGAATGATGCGAAGACCACTAGCATTAGGAATTTTAACAAGAAGTTAATGGATGATAAACGCATAAGCATTAGCATGGTGAGTTTATTTATTGATTTTCTGGATCCTATCGATTTGAACTTTAAACACAACGAGCTTGAATTTTCCACCTTCTTTGTTCATCAGGTACCAATCGGCGATGGCATGACGATATGCCGCAAGAAATAATCATCCGTAAAAACCACTTGGAACCTGATCCAATAGAGACGAAGTCTTTAAACTTAAAAGGATCGATGAAGCCGAGATGTATTTTCAGGACAGGGAAACAGTTATTTTGTTTGGACAAGATGCAGACGCCATTCTCACAAACACTCAAAGACTTATCAACTTGGGAGGCCAACATATCACTTACCACAGTCGATTTGTTTTGCCATTACTGAATAGTGGAAATAGAATATTGATTAAGCCTTTGTGATCAATGAACTGTGGAAACCTGTATTATAACCTCAAAGTCTAATGGAGCTGTACAATAGTCTTTGATCCTTTAATATCAGTTTCAAACCAAACCGGTCATCTGTTTTCATTTTCTGTCAAAATAAATTGATAAACCAACGAACCGGGTAGTTTTGTTTCTATATACGACATCGTGGAACCAAAAAACGGCGTGATGTTTGATGGTTTGGATAAGAAAAACTGCACGTAGTTTCGGTGATCTGCTTCTGCTTACTCGGTGGGTCAGCTGTACCAGTACCACCAATTCAAACAACACGGTTACGCAAACTCTGAGAATTTCCCAAATCTCCTCAAATTACTAAATTAGGGTTTCAATCGTTCGTGACACTTTGAAGGCCAATCGGAAAATTCCTCTCCCTTGGCCACGAGTTTCTAGGGATCTTCTTCTGAAAGATTAGATTTCAGAAATCTCTCCTATCGCTAAAATTCGATTCATTTTCGCGTGATGCCGTCGTCATCACTGATTATTCCCTTCCTTTTGTTGGGATTCTGCTTGATCGGGTTACAAGCCGCGGATGATCTCCCGGAAAATTCCAGCGGCGATGTCTGCCCCAGGGTGTCGAATCCGGATCCTGGCGGGTGCCCGATAAACTGTTTCCGGGCGGATCCGGTTTGCGGAGCGGATGGAGTCACGTACGTGTGCGGTTGCCTCGACGCAGCGTGCCATGGAGCTCGTGTAGTCAAAACAGGAGCTTGCGACGCAGGTAATGCCGGAAGTGCTTCTGTTCCTGGCCAAGCTCTGTTATTGATTCATATCGTTTGGCTCTTTTTGCTCGGTCTCTCCCTTGTCGCTGGTGTTTTCTGATCTTCGAGAGTTAAAATGGCGGAATTTCATTTTTCCCAATTCGTTGTAGCGTTTTCGTTTGTAGATGAGATGTGTTTGAGATCATTCGTGCCTATGTAGATCACACGTAGAATGGTTTTCCTCTGTGTTTGTGTGTGTAATTTGAGTAGATTTCTCCACTGGATTTGTCTTGTTATTGTTTTGCTTTGTGTGCCAAATACAGTGTATATGCTATTGATTCTGTTGCAATGTGTTATATGGAAATGTGATCAGAAAGATGCTTAATACTCCAACACTATCAAATTTCATTTTGGTTTTCTTTAAAGGATGAGTCTTTTGATTTCTTCTTCGTTTGGTTAGTTAAAAGTTCTCTCGCGTAGTTTTGAGACCTCCTGATCCATGGAGATTCAGCATATCAAAGGACTCAACTTTAGACATGATCCTTCAACAGAAGAGAAGCCACGCAAATGTGAATACTTTCCTCTCTACGCCCAACCAAATGTTTCTCTTTCTGATTGAGCTCCAAATGTTTGAAAATCATCGGGTTAATTGTTTTGAGTCATTGGTTAGTTCCATTTCTGCTTAAGCTCTTAATGTTCCAAACCATCGGTATAATTGAAGGTTCTTTATATACTCTAGGTAATTAGATTCATAGTCGGCTATGTAATCGAAAACTTTACGCATTATCAAATGAACCACAAACTCATTGTAATAATCTGGTTCACGACCAAGCCATTTCGGTCAAGACTCGACTATAAATGTCAATGAACAAGAAAATAACAAGTTCAAATGAAATCTATACAAAACCTTGATCGTGGTATAATTAGGAAAATTCAATCCCAACGGTTGACACAGTAGTATGAAATTTTGGAACAAAATTTAGATCTTAGATTGTTCTTTTGGGTTCTGGTTTAGTACGTAGCTCTTCGAAACAATAGAACATTTTAGGTAATCATTATTTATAATATTTTCTATTTAACAAAATCATTCGACGAGTTTGATGACATACAGTTTATTTGAAAACTTAAACTAGTTTAATTCTTCTTTAAAGATTTAATTCTAGATACAAAAGATTGAACATACAGAAAATTTCATTGCAATTGCTGACTAGAAAGTAAGGATGCAAAAAAGAAAAAACCTTAGATTTTTAAAATTAATTTATCGTCATTACATAGGTATGCATAACAACTGATCATCATCATTATTCGTAGCTCAGTCTAGTAATATCTCATCTGTTCTTCACATACATATAGGCCAATTATATGATTACATAATGCAATCTAAAGGTAAATAGCCCGCGCTGATTTCGATGGCTTTTCATAGCTATGGTATGTATAGGCTATTAACTTTAGCTGACATGCTCCTGCTTTTGCTTAGTTTAACGAACTATAAATGTTATGTATCTTTTCAAGTCACGATTCATCACAAAAGTAGCAAACTGTACATACGCACACATATACATATAGACACAGGACTAACATAACGTCCCTTTCTTAACTAATATCGACGAACAATTATCTTATGGAACATCGTTAACATAACGTCATTGTTATTATATAAATGCTTCATTTTCATATCTGCATGCGGTCATGCTAGTCTACATAGGCTCACTTTGCATTTTGCTAAAAAAAACCTATATCAGACATATACTGTTGAAATACCTAATATTTATTTCAATCCTTACAAAATACTCTAGTTTTGTTTATATTATTATATGTAGTATCATTCATCCAAAGCTTGAACTAAATCTTGTATAATTTCATTTTAACACCCTACCAATAAACTAATGCAAGACTATTCTAACTCATCTTAGAACTAGCTACCTATAAGCCCTACATTTATAATGATGATAATTAGTGTTTGTGACTATAAATATGCACACGTCATGAAAAACAAGAACATGTATATACTACGTTAGGAGATTCAGGCATATAATCTGTGATTAGCATCACATTGTATTAGCTGCTGATTTTATTAAATATTGTGGAGTGCAATTAAAGGAGTTAACCACACGCATAAACACACCGAACAAGACCTAACTTAACACTCCCTGCGTGTATATATATGTGTGTGTGAGTTGTGTAATGGTCCAGACAAAGAAACCAGTTTGTCAACTGAGACAAAAAAATGAAAAACATTTACTTCTGTAATAATTAATGCATCAGCAATATATGTGAAACAGATCATACCTTTTCCATCCTAGCATGAAAAGGCTCTTATTATTATTTATTTTATTGACTATAAGATGTAATAAAAAAAATGATAGGAAATGTAAATTGATTAAATTATATCCATTTTGGTCTCTGCCCATCTCCTGCAAGCTGCAAAATCTGCTTGACTAATTAAGCAGAAGCAACGGCTTCAGAATTGCAGCAGTAACAGGACAGCAGCCATATCCAATAAACTAAACAAAGTAAACAGATCAGTCCCCATTTATTGTCACTATACACACAATATTGCAGTTACATACTATATATATACACATTTCACTTTTCTAAGACAGCCACCCATATCTTCTGATTAGTTTCTGATCATGAGGGACATAGGTTTTTTAAGTTTAACACTGATCCCTATCCAAAGTGATGTTCTGTACACACTGACCAACCAAAGCTAATAGAAGACTCATTAAGGAAAAAAGCTTCAGAATCAGAGCAAAAGAACCAATTCCGAATCTTTAGAACATGTTATTTATTGATAATATCATTAAATCTTGAAAGACATCCTTGTGTCATATATATTTATATATATATGTATAATTTATCATATATATAATGTGTATTAAAATAGTAATTAATCTCATAATCATCTATCCAAACCGAAAGACAAAGTTTTACTTTCCTTTCTTTGTGAAGAAGTGATGATCCTCAACAAGACTCGCAGCTTCCATTGCTACTAAAGACTCATCATCACTGCTCACTAACCTCAACTGGAGGAGAGAGCCAGCACCAGCCATAGAAACGCTGCCACGTGGCAAACTACAACCGGAAGACGACGACTCTTCCTCCGTGCTATTCACACTTCCTCCTCCTCCGCCTCCACACTCCATATCTACTCCAAACAGCCTTAACCTCTTCTCTCCTCTCGATGAAGCCATAGCCACTTGCGCTCTTCTTTGCATCATCACCGGCACAGATTCAATCACAGCCGTTGGATTATTCCTCTCCATTGACCTCACATAATACCCAATTCCTAGATCTCGTTGAAACCGATGGTAAAGGTTGTGAGTTTCGTAATTTGCCGTCTGCATCTGAGGATGAGGGAAAGAGTAAAACCTAGGGAACATAGCTCCGGCGAACTGATGAGCAGTTTGATGATGGTCGGGAATCTTTGGTCGTCTCCTCCAATCGATGAAGAGCTTGTCTTTATTACATGGATCTCTCTGAAAAGAAACGATATCTCCAGCATCAAGCTTCTTGTCTTTGACGAAACGGCTCCAACCTTTAGTCATGACATAGCTTTGGCTGCTGTTCCAGTAAGAGTAGCGGAATCTCCATGAGTTTCCTGTTCGATCTTCGAAGTTTAGAAGCAAACCTTTGTTGTTGTCGCTTGTCGAGGAATTGTCTAGAGGGAAGTATCTCTCTGCGTGTTGCTTTGGGATCACGAGTCGGTTTAGTTTCCCTACGTCGCTTGGTGTTACCACTTTGTCGAACATGTGCTCTCTCTCCATTGAAGAAGAAGCTTCTTCCACAGGCTTCTCTTCTTCTTGATTCATCTTCTTGTTCTTGTAATCTTTCTCAGATCTCTATGGATCTTGACTTCCTCTCCATTCGATTTGAGAGCAATTCGATGAGAGTTGATCTTTATGTACACAAGAAAGAGAAAATGAAACCCTAATTAGGGAATTTAGAAAATGAGGAGAATTGGAGAGCTAGGAGAGAAGAGTATGGTGGTGGATGAGATTGACCTAATTAGACAAAAGTAGAAAGTGGTTTTTTTTGCCTAACTTAACTGATTAGCACGATTTTTTCTGATCTCTCTCAATTGAATAGCTTTCTCTATCTACTGTTTAAGGAGCAAGAAGCTCTTCAGTTCCAAGAAAGGAGAAGCAAATTGATTAGGAACAATCTCTCAAGAACAAAGGAGGAGAGAGATAGAGAGAGATAAAGAGCTCATGTAATATAAGATTGATAGAGATATGGGCTGAGAGGTGAGATGGGAGAGAGAGAGAGAGAGAGAGAGAGAGAGAGAGAGAGAGAGAGAGAGAGAGAGAGAGAGAGAGGGGACCCATGAACAATCTGGTTCTGTTCATGTGAGCTTCTTGTCCTTTTTCTACCATCCTCGTTTCTTTTTTTTTCTCCCTACGTATTCCTTATTACATTTTTTTTGGCTTTTTTTCCCATAATATGTTTCGATTTACAAATAAAATCTGATTAAAATATTTTTCTGTAAAAAAACCACTAAGCCAAAAATTCCTATATTAAAATATCCTAGAAAGAGTAATCTACAGTGACACGAGCTCGGGAATATAAAACTAAATGGTTAGCATTTCTTTGTATTTGTTGAAGAAAAAAAGGCTAAAAGATTAGTATAGAGAAGGCTGGTATTTGATTTTACGAACAGAGAATAATAAATGCTAATTATTGAGGTCTGTGGTAAGGCTTTTTGGGATGGGTTGCTTCAATTTGCTTTTACAAGGACAAGATGACATGTTGTTTTGTAGTTTTGGTCTTTACTGTTGACTTTTATTTGTTTGCCTCACACTTATTTACAGTAAAAAATGGTACAATCTAGTCAATTCGAAAAAAATGAACGAGTCATTTATACAAATGTTGTAACACATGCACATTAGAGCTATAAGTGATTCTTATGTTCTATTTACACTCACCCTTGTCATTGTTGTTATTCACAAGGAACATTAGTATTTGCTATATACATATACTTGTATATCGAATATTATTTGGGCTCTCAAGTTTGAACCTAACAGAGAGAAAAGTTAAGAACGGACGACTTAAACTCATACCCATCTCTTTTTGGAAAATATGATTACAATTTACGAACCTATAGCTAGATTCCATTTTTCTTTCTTTTTTTTCGAAATTTTATATCTTGTTGTGCCTAATAGATAAGGTCTATTATGTATTACGATTACGGAGAATTGTCTTCTGTCTCCTCGAACTTGTAAAACTAAATGAAAGTGATCAATCACCATCTGCAATTGTGAAAATGGTGCGCTGATTAATTAATTTGTTCTTTTAAAACCATTTTTACTAGGCAAGTTCCTTTTGTTTCGAATCCTTCATTTATCTTTTTTCTTTTTATGGAATGAGTATCTACAGAAGGAATCACATTTTTCATAAAGCTTTTAGCCAAGAAAAAACATTTTTTCATTAAATATTAAAATTTATTATTTGAAAGCTCAAAGAATGATTTTTACGTTAACACAGTAATCATATGGTGTAATCTTTATATATCTTATCACGTGAAAAAAAAACAAAATTTATAGTGTAGTTCTCGTGGACCGACCAGAGTATCTAGGGTTATAGGCTTATAGCGATGAAGACTTAAATATTTTTTTGTTCAAAAGATGACAACAATTTCAAAAAATCCGAAAACGAAAATCGATACCAATTTAGTTTTGTGTACAGCTCACTAATCTTTAGACCGACATTACGTAAACAACTACGTAACACATGTTGTTCTAGAATAAGACACGTGGCACTCTCGTGACCCCTCCCAATAAAAATTAAAAGCTTGTTTTAAATATTTTCACGTAAATTCATGTTAAATCTAAAATCTTATCGTTATTTACGTACGTGGTAAGTGGTCCTGAAAGAGACAAAGCATTCATGTCTCTCTGGCAAATTTCGGCTTAACTTAGGGAGAATAATTATCAATTAACTTAAATCTTAATTAAGGCTTGGCTTAGACAAAGGTTACAGAGTAGGTGAAAGAACATTGATCAATGTGGTCCAAACTCTCATCTCACATTCCATAACTGAGTGGTCACAAAGATTTCAGGCGATAAACTGTTATTTTCTTGGTTTGATGGTTATTCATCAGAGATTAAATAAATACATACTTAGTATATATAACTTTTTTCTTTCGTTTTTTCCATGATAACGCATTATTAAATTGTTTACAATAACTAATCGGTCCAAATATTACTCTATCCGGCTGGCCAGTGGGATTTCTTTAAGATGATTTTCTGCAAAGTAATAATGACGAATAAAACAAAGTATTTCTAAAATCTGAAAATGATGAAAAATGTTTAGTTAATAGGAATGGAGGAAATTGAGAAGGAGACGCGTAGCGTCGCCCTTTTCAAAGCATATACCCTTGTAGCCAGGGGACCTATCTAGAATTCTATTAATATTCTATAATCAATTCCTTTTCATTAATCTAGATTTAACTTTTGGATTGAGCCTTCAAATGTGCAATTATGCCACATATATACTGTATATGATGTGGGGTTTTCGATTAATGGAGTATATAATGCAACTCATTAGGAATCGGACCCATTTCTGTTCATATGTGAACATGAGATTCTTAATTCGTGATAAATAAACACAAACAATCTTATGTTAACAAGTTGAAAATGATTTGTTCAGTTATGTCAGCCTTGAGTTCGAATATGAATATGATGCTATATGTTTATCGAGAGAACTCATCTGAAACTAGTAATCCATTTTAGGTTTTAAACTATTGGAAGATATCTCCATATTTATGTTTTTGGTATAGTGCACTGCACGGCCGCCATAGAATGTATACGGTAACCACAGAATGTAATACAAGGTATACAAGCGGTACACGGCATATATGTGTAAATTGAAGTAGTATACTTTTTTGTATATTAATTAGGTTAAGTCATGCAGTAATTTCTTCCTATATTAAAAACTTATATATGACAACAGATTGAAGTTTTATGGTTTAAGAAAAAAGGTGATGGAAAGTAATGGTAGGGCTTAACTAGAGAGGAAAAGTACGATGCTATGCTTGAGAAAGAGAGCTATTACAAAAATCTGGTGTGATATCTTAACCAAAAAAATGTACATCATATATGAAATCATGCTATTCAATAATTAAGAAACAAAAAAATGGAGTTTGTGTGGAGGTATATATGTGAAACGAGTGTTAAAAGAAGAGTTTTATAGGGTAAGGACCACTTCTTATAAATAGAGTAAACCTAAACTTTGCATTGCACTTAACTCTTTTTAAATGTCTACTTGCTTCTTTTCTCTCCACCAGCATCATTACTCATTAACCCTCTTTTCCCGCTAGAGACTCAACCTCATTTCAAATGTTTCTATTTCCATTTGTCTTTTATTTCAACACTCAACTCTTTTTTTGGTGGGTGATTTCAACACTCAACTCTTTTGATCGCATTAATTGATCTTAACTACGGTTTATTTTCTTAAATACACTACGAGGATAATTAGAAAACCTAGCCAATAAGCGTCATGCGAAGAAGAGGCAATAGTTTTCGTAGATTGTTTATTATTTTTCTGTATAATATATTGATGATTACAGTTGATTTGTGAACGATGTGGCATGAAAACAAAACTGATAAACCAGTGCTTTGACGAGTAAGATGTGCATGTGGGGGAATCAATACAATGATAATGAAGGTATGAATTAGGGTTTCTCTCTTTTCCTTTTGTTATAAATAATCAAATATGTCGTCCATGAGTTTTTGGACCGATGCGACATTCGTGATAATAAAATCTAGTATCATATGTTACATACCGCGACCAAATTATGGGAAAGGGAAAGCAAAATAACATAATAGAAAAAATCATATATTATTCGATTGTATATTTGCTATGATAAGTCGCAATCGAAGAGGGTAGTGGTGAAATAAAAGGCGGACCATATTATTTAATAATGACAATAACAAAATTGGAAGATGGATGGTGCGATAATGGCGACAACATGTTCCAACTGTCATTTGCCCCCCAGGGTCTAGGACTCTCTATCTCTATCTATCCCTAGCCAACCCTTTCGTCTGTTTAATAGATAATCTAAATTAGTACTCCTTTACTTATAAGTATGGGTCTTGAAAAGTTTCATGTAGAGGATATAATATAGATATAACAGCTTTACTCTTTAGTATCTAATTCCGAATTGCTTTTATTCTGGTAGCAAAAGCTTTATATGTTTCGAGCACTGATTTTGTCCACATTATTCTCGATTTTAGTTTTGTTTATTTCATCTCATTGATAACCATTCGGAATAATGCATCTCTAGGAAACAAAACGACTAGTTTAGTTGAGAAAACTATCGGGAAACTATTATCCATTTGGTAAAAAAACAAACATATCGTTACAAGCGCAAGTACTACTGCTACACATACTAATGGAACATCAAGAAATCTCTCATATTTACATTATTTAGACATGTAAAACGATGATTATATATACAAAAGTTTTAGTATTAACTTGACTTTTTTTATCTCTCGACCTTTAGGGTTCGCAGTTCGCACACACACAATGACCATATCCATACACGCCTAAATTTATTTTAAAAAGTACATTTGGTGGTGCTATTAATTGAGCTTAGAATAAACATAAGAAAACAGAATCGAAACTAAAAAAATACAGATGGGAATAGAAAAATATTGATGCAAAATATATGAAGGTGGGGTAGGTTCTGTTTGGGAAGATGGATACAGAGGAATCAAGCCCAAGTTAGCTGAAAGGGAAGATTCAACTGTATGCGAAATTGGGAATTTCTTCATTAATATTTTCAGTTTCATGAGACTTTCGTTGCTATTAT